TACAAAAGAGAAAATTTAACTGAACTTACTAATTTGTCCACAGACAAAAAAGTACCAGAAAAATAAATGCTTATTAAGAGACCGCTTATGGCATATGGCAGTCTCTTAAAACATTTGGTATATTCACGCTGGATAGTTAAAGCGAAGGACGGCTGCCTTGTGAGCAAGAACCTCGGAACTATGGCGTGAGACTATTGATCGAAGATTAAATGTAAGATCAAGTTCACTGATAACACGAATCACTCTTCTTAATTGCACACACATTATGGCAGAGGGAAAACTTTTTCTGAGGTATGAGCAGATTTTAGACAAGGGCAAAGGAAACATATACATTGTATTGCATTCTCAATACACATATGCAAAAGTGACACATTGTGATGACAACCTAGGTTCTGAAATATCCCTACAATTCCTCAAAAAGAATTATTTTCATTCGGATCCCTATGATGCATATTTCGACATACAATTCCTACCAGTATTCTCCTCTGAGATAGGCTATCCTGAGAAATTGCAATTTCCATGTGAATAACTCCAAACAAGTCAACGAGCCCTGCTGAGCTGTTTTCAAGGTTTCTAAAGGAATGTAGAGAGGAGCTTGGCAAACCATTAACTAGTCTCTTCAACAAATCACTGCAAACGGGTACTGTACCGGATAAATGGAAAATAGCAAATGTGTTACCTATTTACAAAAGCGGAGACAAGTCCTTAGTTTCAAATTATAGACCAATCAGCCTAACCTCAATTGTGGGAAAGTTGATGGAATCATTAACTGCTGATGCAATTCCAAGCCACCTTGAAAGACATAATTTGATCAGCGAAATCTCAGTACGATTTTACAAAGGGGCGTTCTTGCCATACGAATTTATTAACCTTTTCATTCAGGTATCCGGGCGGTAGACCATGATAAAGAATGCGATAGTTCCACACAGAAGACTAATTAAGAAAGCAGCAGCATATTGAACAGGATAAATTATCTGTTGGGTAGAGGCATTACTGATCGATAAGCAAGTTTACATTAATGGGGAGAAATCAGAATGGAGACCTGTTAAGCGTGGTGTACCACAGGGGTTAGTGTTGGGACCCTTGTTCTCAGTTTATATAAACAACATTGATAAGAGAATAAATAGCGACATAAGTAAGTTTGTTGATGACACTAAAATACGCCGTCCAATAATTTTTGATGTAGACAGAAGGCTACGGAATGACCTGGATAAGTAGACGTTATTGTCGGAGACGTGCCAGATGCAGTTCAGTAAGATGAGCATGAGGTTCTAATCCTAGGAAAAGGTAATAACTATATCACCTATAAGCTGAACAATGTAGATCATAGTCAAAGTGAATGTGAAAAAGCTCTAGGAGTTCTAGTTAGTAGAAATTTAAAGCCAAAACAACCACGTGAAAGTGTTTTAAATAAAGCTAATAGAATTTTTGGCTTCATATCAAGAAGTATAAATAATATTAGCTCTATCCGAAGTCTACCTGGATTGTGATTCGAGGGTTAACACCCCCGCGGCCCGGTCCCTCATTTAGATCATTCTGCTCAACATGACACAAAATCGTAATAACACGATTGCAAACAAACCATACCACGGGTGGGGTTTAAACCCGCGGTCAGTGAGTGGCTAACGCGATGGTCTGGAGTTTTGAGACTCTCTGACCGCAGGCTCAAACCCCACCCGGGTATGGTTCATTCTGCTCAGTTCAGAATGGACATAGATACGCTCGAAAATATAGAGAGAAGGATGTCAAATTTGATTCAGAAACCTTTCCTCCGAAACAGGCTGAAGGCACTGGACTTGCACTTTCTGAAAAGGTGTAGAATTAGGGGAATTATGATTGATGTTTACAAATGGAAAGTAAGAATAAATACAGGGGATATAAATGGCATGTTGAAAATATCTCACGGAGACAAGACACGCATCAATGGATTATGTTGGAGAAATTTTGATTCAGAAAGGATACTGGGAAGTACTGGTTTGGCAACAGAGTTGCAGATGAGTGGAACAAACTCCCAGGTAGCGTCAATGAGGCAAGAAATTTCAGTTTTAAATATAGGTTGAACGGATACACATATGCTGCTATGTATGATAATTCTATGTAACTGTATTTGTGTATACCTGAATAAACTTACTTACTTACTTACTTACTATACACGAGCGGATGAGGGTGGGCATGAGTTGCAGCATGGGCCAGTAGGCTTGCTGCTGTGTTCCCTCATTTTCATGTTCCAACTATGTTCTGAAGCTCCTATAGCTGCTGAACCCTTGTTGGAATACTTGACGATATCCTCATTGCCCTGCTGAAGTCTCCCTGTTCAGTCTAACAGATTTCAACACCTTGTATGAGCCCCATCCTGCGTAATGGAAGATGACAGGGAAACAGCTAGCTCTTGTTCCCACTATGTAATTATCATATAGAACAGGGTAGTAGCATACTGCTGATGTATCCAATTTTAAAAATCCATCTGTAACATTCAAAAAATAATTTATAACTCATAATAATCATCTCTTACTATAAAAATTGTAAGTCTTACCTTAAACTGCTTGCACTAATACTGGCAACAGAAGTTGAGTCTTCAACTTCGAAAGTGCATCGGATCAACGTTTCCATATTGTTTGAAGATGAAAGTTTGATATTAAAAAAGCTTCCGTCTTCACCTATCACTGAGTGTCACCAAGCAGCGTTCAAATACGCACGATTAATACACATGGCGCAAGCATGGATTGTCACTGAGGCTTAGGCAAGCTTCAATTATTACATAATATTCGTGGAAGGGGAGAGCTAAATACGCAGAGGTCATACAGTGGGAGTGGTAGACAAATATATTCGATCCTGGAAAGGATTATTATTATTATAATCAAGGGGGAAGCGCTAAACCCGGAGGATTATACAGCGCCTGGGGGGGGGGATGTGGAAGGCATTCAGGCTTAATTCGGGGAACTGGAGCACAGATCCAATTCCCTAAATCAAGAGCCCCTCACCAACATCAAGGAACCTTCCTTTGAGGGGTCCTGGAAAGGAAGGGTAGCTCCTAGTCTTCGGATGAAGGCAATTCTAGGAGAGTGAAGCCTCGAACCCCAGTGGAAATAAGTCACTTTTTTGGGTTATCCTAAGTAATTTACACATATATTACTATGTATGATAATTTGTGCAACTGTATTTATGTGTGCCTGTACCTAAATAAATTTGCTTAACCTTCATCGACAAATTTTCAGAAATCAGCTGTATTCATCTGTTTGTGGTTGCAGGGGTAGATTCATAGCTCCTGGCCCCGCCTCTTCACCGATCGCTACTGGGTCCTCTCTCTCCCTGCTCCATGAGCTTTATCATACCTCGTCTTAAAACTATGTATGGTTCCTGCCTCCACTACGCTGCAGAACCGAAGAAAACGACTACAACCTGCAGGGTAAACTTGCTTAGATATAAAAAGTTTATTGAGGCACAGGTACACATAAGTACGATTATCATACATAATGTAAATTACCTAGTGTAACAAAAGAAGGTCAGACAATGTGACTTACTGCAACTGTAGATCTTTATATTAATTAGGTATCACCTAAAGGGGCAATTTGCACAAAAGGAATTAAGCTGAGTCCAGTCGAAAGCACCGAACTCCCATCTCTCCTTTAATCGAAAAAAGGTATCATATTTATAAGACATTGCCTGAGGATATATAAGTAAAAAGACGCCAACGGTCCACTCACAATGTACTTTTTGACAAAAACAAAATGCAACAAATCTGCGAATTCATACTGTTTATCACAATGCTAATTCATTAATGTTTATTACACCTTTTTATATAAATTCTTACGAGCTTATTTACGTTTACAGAATTTTTTTCTAATTTTCCAGACCAGATAAACAAACAGTTGCATGTTATATACACAAACCTAAATAAAAACTTACTTTTACTTAGGTATGTTACACAAACCTATATAAAAAGCTTACTTTTACTAAGCTATGTGCTCGTGGCTCGATTGGTAGCGTCTTCAGCTCACAAACTGAGGGGGTCCGGGGATCGCTCCCCGGCACGGGTGAAATGTGGGACGTGTTTCTTGTACCTAATACCCCTGTTCACCAAGCAGTAAGTTGATGGGTCGCATCCTGGAGGGTGAACACCAAAGGATCCTTTATTTCTATAAAGTGAAGTACAGTATATTTCTTGTGAATTATTATTATTATTATTATTATTATTATTATTATTATTATTATTATTATTATTATGTGAGTAATTACCAGCATGAGGTTTACAGAGTATTACCTGAATTATTACGTGCAAATAATTTGGGTGAGGTAAGTGGGACTCAAGTCACAGCAGGTCGCTAAACTGTAACTCCCTCGATGCCCACTCCCTACTACAAAAAACTAGACCTGACATTAATAATTATATTAAAACCAGCTACTCTGGTAAATTAAAGTTGTGGACTGTATAGGATTAGGCTTGCTGGGTACACAAAATGTAACTAGTATTAACATTTACCATTTAATTACTGGAAGACAGTTAAAGCTGATGGAACACACCCTAACTATACCCTAACAGCTAGGATTTACGATGGTCATCGCAAAAACTACTGTACATTATGGGTAAGCATCACTATTTTTCCTTTATTTTTCCGTCCTGGTTGCCGAATTGGAAGGGCTTTCCAAACTATTTATCCCATTTCTTCGGGAGGAACGTAAATCACATTAAGGCCCGAAATGCAAGGCATTTCGGGCCTAACGTTCTCTTGAACTAATCTGCTTGAACTTCCTGCTCATTTCTGCAACACTGCAAGCTCTTGATAATGTGTTGATTGCAACACGAAAGACCTAGAGCTATCATTCAACTCCCCCTGTGGTTGTTTTGCATCTTACATCGTTTGTTGCGATTATTACATATTTTACTATTTACGATAATTTGTGTAACTGTATTTTTATGTACCTGTACCTAAATAAACTTAGAATCAGAGTTCGAAAAAGCGTTCGAAGTGTTACTGTAAATCTGTGTTCGAACTTGTGTTATGGTGGGGCTGTAGCCAAGGCTGTGTCAACAAATCATTGCCCACCCCACCACTAGCCTGCCCACCTAATCTAAAATGAAGTTTCTCTTGTAAGTTAGATTATTTCCGGGAATATACGATTGTGCCTCGTGTGAGTAATGGCAGAAGATGGATTTGTTCAGTTCCACCAGGGAAGTGGTAGGTGAACACCATCACTTTATTGACGTAATAACTTTATTTCAAGAACCCCAATGAAATTACACATACAAATACTTTATTTCTTTTATGCACTATACAATCAGTGTAGTTTGGGTGTAATAAAATATTGTTAGGCACTAAAGAAAGCCAAGTATGCAGTCCATTTCGGGCAGTTAAGTCACTTAATTTTTCTTCTGGGTTATCCTAGGTAATTTACATGTTACTCCCCTCAAGGGAGGTTCCTTGACGCTGGTGAGGGGCTCTTGATCTAGGGAATTGGATCTGTGCTCCAGTTCCCTGAATTGAGCCTGAATACCTTCCACCCCCCCACGTGCTGTATAATCCTACGGGTTTAGCGCTCCCCCATAATTATAATTATAATATATATGTTACTATATAAGACGATTGTAATTATACAACAATTGTGTAAAATTGGACCTAAATAAACGTAATATTCCCAAGGAGATGTATATTGGTTACTATTGTAGGTTATCAGTATTTATTTTTTAGAAGGAAAAGTATGTACATGTATAATTGTGCAGAACATTTCGCGTAGTCTTAAACCAGGAAAAAAAAATGGTTATAACTATGACTATAATTTTTAAAGAAGTGGACTGGTAAGCCAGCAGAAGGCCTCGGCCAGATGACCAAAAACTCCAACAGCAGGTCATCATTTGAGATCCCCATCAGGAAACACTTGTCCTGTTTCCTGACGAACCTAACCTTAAACCGGGACTAATAATAGCAGTATGAAAGTAAAAATAAATTGGACACAATAGACAAAGTTGCAATACAAATATGGGACACTTGTATTTAGCTTCTCAGATTTCAATTTAAATATACAGTAGTTTGATATTTAAATTTTGCTGCATTAAGTGAACTGTGCAATTGAGACATTTATATTTTGGGCCTGTGGAAAAAAAATTGTTTTTGGGAACAAAATCTATACTAACATAATCCATTATAACCCTACCCAATGAAACTTGTGTTTCAGTTGACAGTACACTCAACTCACATACTTAGTGTCCGTGGTTCAATTCCCGGTATGGGTGGATATGTTGGGCATGTTTCCTGACACTTGTTCACACTGTAGTAATAGGTATCTGGGTGTCAGTCGACTGTGGTGGGTCGCATCTTGGAGGATGGTAGTATACCTTAGATAGGGCTGGGCTTTGAAATAAGCCTGCAAAATTTATTTTGTAAAAAAAAAAAACCTGACATAGAAGAGGAGTAATTTTAGGTTAGGTTGAGTTACATTAGGTTAGGTTTTATTACCAAAAAATAGTTTTTATCCATTTTATCCAAAATAAAATCCCATTTCACAACCCACTTAATAATGGAGACTTTACATAATAAAAAAAAAAGTAGCTAAACTCAATATTGACCAAAATAAGTCAGTGTTTGGCTTTATTGGGTTTTAAGAACATAAGAATGGATGAGCATGGCAGTAGGCCTGTTGGCTCATGTTAGGCAGGTTTATCTTGCCCAACCACACACAATGTATTTTTTAGTGACTATAACATCAATGTGCCCTCGGAATCATTATAGAATGTTTTTTATTTGTATTCTCTTTGCAAAAGCCTGAATAATAACTTATGCATATAAATTAGCTTTAGTTACCAACGTATTACTCAACGGTACTCTATTTACAGTGGACCCCTGGTTATCGGCCGTAATCTGTTCCAGAAGGTTAGCTGAAATCTGAAATGGCTGAAAACCGAAGTAATATTTCCCATAAGAAATAATGTAAATCCAATTAATCCGTTCCAGACACCCAAAAATATAAACAAAAAAATACATTTTTAAAGAATAACTATAGTTTTACATACAGAAAACAATGAGAAAGAAATATAAAGCACTAATTTTAATAATAAATGAACATTACATATCTTTATTAAGGACTCTTGTTGGCATATGGAAGAAGGCGAGGAGGGGAGAGGGAGGAGAATTTATTGTTTGGAAGGGGAATCCCCCTCCATAAGGACTTCATGTATCAAGGCCCTCTCAGGGGTTACTTCTCTTCTTTGTCTTTTACTGCCACTAGGACCAGCTTGAGAGTCACTGCACCCCTGTTGCACAAAAAATCTGTCCAGAGAGGCCTGTTTCTGGCATCTCTGTAAAGTTTACCTAAAATGGGACAAGACATTGTCATTGAACATGTTGCAGACACGGCTTGCAACAGTTTTGTCAAGGTGATAATTCTCCTCAAAACTTTGCACCTCACTCCACTTTGCACAAATGGCCTTAATCACTGAAGAAGGCACATTCTTTCCCCTCAATTCCTCCTCAGGAGCAGTATCCTCAGCTGCAGTCTGTTGCTGTTCCAGTTGAAGGTGTTGCAGCTCTTCAGTGGTTAGCTCTTCCCTGTGGTCCTCCACTAACTCTTCCACATCCTCGCCACATACATCCAACCCCATGGACTTTCCCAAAGATACAATAGATTCCACAATAGGCGTAGGGTCGTCAGGGTCAGCCTCAAACCCTTCAAAATCCTTGTCAAGGACACATTCTGGCCACAGTTTTTTCCAAAGCAGAGTTCAAAGTCCTGGAAGTCACTCCCTGCCAAGCCTTGTCTATAAATCTTATGCAATGGAGGATAGTGAAGTGATTCCTCCAGAACTCTCTTGTGGTCAATTCAGTGTCCGAGGTTACTTCGTAGCACCTTTGAAACATTGCTTTGGTGTACAGTTTTTAGAAGTTTGAAATAACCTGCTAGTCCATGGGCTGGATGAGAGGAGTGGTATTAGGGGGCAAGAACTTCACTGTGATGACCTTACACTCCTCAAACAATAGGTCTTCCAAGTCTGGAGGATGAGTAGGAGCATTGTCCATTACCAGGAGGCACTTAAGTGGCAATTAATTTTCCAGGAGGTATTTTTTCACACTCGGGCCAAACACTTCATTGACCCACTCAATGAAAATTAGCCTCGTGACCCATGCCTTATTGTTAGCCTTACACATCACACACAGTTTACTCTTCGTGACATTGTTTTTCTTGAACACTCAGGGATTTTCAGAGTGATACCCGAGTAAAGGCTTCACTTTGAAATCCTCACTAGCATTACCACAGAACAAAAGAGTTAACCTATCCTTCATAGGCTTGTGTTCTGGCAGTGCCTTTTCCTCCTGCGTGATGTAGGTCCTCTCTGACATTTCCTTCCAAAAAGAGGCCTATTTTGTCACAATTGAGCACTTGTTGGAGGAGGAATCCTTTAGCCTCTACGTACCCCTTGAATTCGTCAACGAATGTTTCGGCCGCACATTTGTCAGAACTTGCAGCCTTGCCATGCCTTACAACACTTTGTATACCACTATGTTTCTTGAATCTGTTGAACCAGCCTTTGCTGGCCTTAAATTCACTAACAGCAGCACTCGTTCCCAGCATTTTCTTGACAAGACCCGCATGCAACTGCCTTGCCTTCTCGCAAATTATCCCCTCCGAAACATTATCTCCCACTAACTGTTTTTGGTTGATCCACACCAACAACAACAACTCCACATCCTTGATTGTTTGTGATCTCTGTTTCGTTGGCATATTTACCCCTTTCGCAACATCAGCTTCCTTGATTTCTGCTTTCTTCACCAGGATGGAACCGATTGTTGATGTCGACTTGCCATACATCCTGGCAACCTCGGCCACACGTAACGCCACTTTCATATTTTGCTATAACTTCTTTCTGGAATTCTATCATGTTCTCACCTTCTTTACCAAAGGGCTGGAACTTTGAACTTTCTTTGGCCCCTTATTTCAAGTTGCAGTCAGTAAACAAGCACCAAAAACAATGGATGAACGCGCAGAGTATTCCTAACTCAACGAAAGAGATGCGCAGACTGAGTGTGATGCATGTGAGGAAGTGAGCCGCCAGCGGATGGATACGTCTTATACCAACGATTTTCGAGCAGAGGGACGAAATCTGGGGGGAAATTTCACCGAAAAAAGTGCTCGATTTCTGAATTGGCCAATTTCCGCACTGGCCGATAACCATGGGTGCACTATATGTATTTGGATTGTGCAACATGTCTCCACCAATTGGAGCTTAGTATAGAGACTTGTCATGCACTAGCCAGTGTCAACAGAAATGTGCCAATACTGATGGTGGAGTTAAAGTTAAGCTATATTAAGTTTTTTTAAATTAGGTTAGGTGGGTTTTATTAGGTTTGGCTACATTTTCTACCAACTTAATATTTTACAATTAACCCTTAAACTGTCCAAGCAGATCTACGTTCACATGCGTAGTGCTCCAAAAGCAGATTACGTTTTTTTTACATATTTTCAAATATAACAAAAAAAAGTAGATCAAAGTTTTTTACACGTTTTCAAATGTAAAAAAAAAAAAGAAAATCTACTTTTTTTACATACTTTCAAATCTTGAAAAAACATAGATCTACGTTTGGACAGTTTAAGGGTTAAATCTCTAATATCTGAAATCAAATAAAAAGTAGTTGTAAATTATTATGAATATATTTGGTACATACTAAATGCATAAAATTACATAATACTGTATTATAAAAAAAATAGTAAAAATTCAGCATTAAGTGAAAGGCATTAAGTAAAAATTTAATTTTAAATAGAAAATTAGTTTTAGAAAAATTAAGAAGAAAATACAGCAGTAATGACGTAATAATGGTTGAAGATATGTTTAAATTTAGAAAATATTTGGAGAAATATTTCAATTTATAACTAAAGTAAAAATTTGATGGTAATTTAACAAGATACATTTTAAAAAAAAAATCAGGAAAGTACATTAAATACACATATTAAACTGTTACTTGAAGGTTACACCTGATTGCCTCATTTTCCAGGCCCAATTTCCAAAGGCATATTTTAATTTTAATATTAAGAAATGGCAAGGAATGATTACTGTTTTTTCACTCTCATGAATACATAAGATGACAAATTTCTACTTATATTCACTTTACACATACTTTTACTTTCCTACGTGCTTTTCAGTAATTCTTAATCTCGCAATATTTCCTTTCCAACCTAGACTGGTCTGGGGAAGATAATTTCCAGAATCACTAACAGATAACAGATTTAGCAATGCCACATTCCACATAGCAGTAAAAATAACAGCGGCTAAACCAGAAACATTTTCAACAAACTACAGGAAACCATTGGCAAATATATCAGCAAAGATGTGGCCCAGCACAAGTGGATCTATTGAAGAGCAGGGAATTTGTCTAGTCCAAGACTTCATTATTTACCAGTAAATATGAGAAATATTGCTGGCCAGAGGTATAAGTTTTCAAGAAGAAACTAATCACCACGTGCTGCAAGTGCAAGGTCAGCTAGGTTATGATAGGTATGTAGACCACTAGCAGCAACAGCCTGATTGGCCAGTATATCAACAAGGAAGTATGGTCACAGGCCAGGCTGCGAGGATAGAAGGACCCTCAGTCAGCCACAGGTATGTCACCTATTAAGCAGGCATCATCAGTAAGCAGTAGTTGCAGCAGCATCAGCAGCCACTTCTGCCTTATTGTTCAGTTACTGCTTTCAGTATATTTTTATTATAAGTTTTTTGCAGACAAATACAATTCAGTATCATAATTTGTACTTGGCACCCATCCCATGTGCTTCACAGATTTATTGTTTCAGTAGTAAATTTGAGAATTCGTGACTAATTTTATTGGGAATACATTTGCCATTCTATGACCCAGGCCTTCCAGTATTTTAAATAATATAAAATGCTCAGTACATACACAAACCCATGAACCATGAGGGATAGGTATATATAATACAGAGTATATTTTTGCCAAAGTACTTTGCATAATTATGGATATTAACAAACTTAACACATTCTTGTAACACTTGTGCACCTTGGAAACAAAAATAATGTAATAGTAATTATTATTATTATTATTATTATTATCATTATCATCTCTTAACTAAGAGACTACAGTATGGTTTAGTACACTGCTATCTCCTCTAGCAACACAGTAGTCTTAAACCTATTGAGGCAATTTTTGTATCACTTACTGTACTTAATTATAATTAGCAAAATACTGTATCTGATTTATACTTTCAACATTTTTCAGAATAGCTGCAAGAGAAGTGAGAATCTTTTTAATTCAATCATTATATTTTTCATATTAATTTTTATTTGATTTTTTTCAGTGTTTGACAGTGAGAGGTTATCAGCATCTGTCCAGACACTGGATGGTGCATCACTCATTGGTGAGTCACTCTCGAGTCACATTAATGATTGTGTAATCATTGCTGCTGTGACAGAAATTGGAAGAAAACTCAGTGGATTCCTTTGTTGATTATTATAAATGGTATGCAATACAGAAAAGTTGATGAGTAAGACGTGTGTGCAATACTAGGTATCAAGGCTGAGGAATTGATTACCTCAAAACTACCTCTCCATTATTGCTATCACCTTTGTATTTGACTGATGAAGTCTGCTGTGCTGGTAAAACTTTTCGACAATAAAGATACCTAGTGCTGCATACTGGATTCCTTTGAATGTACGAGCAGTATGCTGGAAGTCATCCATAACATGAAGTAGCAACTACTGGACTAACAAATATTGAATTTTACAGGTGACCACAATGAGGTGAATGTGATGGGTGAGAAAGAGGATATAATAGTAAGCAGCATTCCCGATGTGGTCAGTCTACCAATATTAGAGGTTACAATAAAACATGCTGGTTCTTCTCACACTCATAACACGGGTAAGTAGAGAATAATAATAACATTAATGCACTTCTGGCAAGACAGCTATTGAATGAATGATGGTGAATATGTTTCCTTCTTTGAGTCACTCTACTTCGGCGAGAGATGGCTAATGTGGTTAAAAAAAATTAACAACATAAATTTAATAATGAAATACATTGTATAACCAGCTACTTTTTCTGTCTCATAAACACGCTAGATAACAGGGATATCTTGCTACTCCTACTTACACTTTGGTCACACTTCACAGACACGCACATGCATATATATATACATACATCTAGGTTTTTCTCCCTTTTTCTAAATAGCTCTTGTTCTTCCTTATTTCTTCTATTGTCCATGGGGAAGTGGAAAAGAATCTTTCCTCCGTAAGCCATGCGTGTCGTATGAGGCGACTAAAGTGCCGGGAGCAATGGGCTAGTAACCCCTTCTCCTGTAGACATTTACTAAAAAAGAGAAGAAGAAAAACTTTATAAAACTGGGATGCTTGAATGTGCGTGGATGTAGTGCGGATGACAAGAAACAGATGATTGCTGATGTTATGAATGAAAAGAAGTTGGATGTCCTGGCCCTAAGCGAAACAAAGCTGAAGGGGGTAGGGGAGTTTCGGTGGGGGGAAATAAATGGGATTAAATCTGGAGTATCTGAGAGAGTTAGAGCAAAGGAAGGGGTAGCAGTAATGTTGAAGGATCAGTTATGGAAGGAGAAAAGAGAATATGAATGTGTAAATTCAAGAATTATGTGGATTAAAGTAAAGGTTGGATGCGAAAAGTGGGTCATAATAAGCATGTATGCACCTGGAGAAGAGAGGAATGTAGAGGAGAGAGAGAGGTTTTGGGAGATGTTAAGTGAATGTATAGGAGCCTTTGAACCAAGTGAGAGACTCATTGTGGTAGGGGATCTGAATGCTAAAGTAGGAGAAACTTTTAGAGAGGGTGTGGTAGGTAAGTTTGGGGTGCCAGTTGTAAATGATAATGGGAGCCCTTTGATTGAACTTTGTATAGAAAGGGGTTTAGTTTTAGGTAATACATATTTTAAGAAAAAGAGGATAAATAAGTATACAAGATATGATGTAGGGCGAAATGACAGTAGTTTGTTGGATTATGTATTGGTAGATAAGACTGTTGAGTAGACTTCAGGATGTACATGTTTATAGAGGGGCCACAGATATATCAGATCACTTTCTAGTTGTAGCTACACTGAGAGTAAAAGGTAGATGGGATACAAGGAGAATAGAAGCATCAGGGAAGAGAGAGGTGAAGGTTTATAAACTAAAAGAGGAGGCAGTTAGGGTAAGATATAATCAGCTATTGGAGGATAGATGGGCTAATGAGAGCATAGGAAATGGGATCGAAGAGGTATGGGGTAGGTTTAAAAATGTAGTGTTAGAGTGTTCAGCAGAAGTTTGTGGTTACAGGAAAGTGGGTACGGGAGGGAAGAGGAGCGATTGGTGGAATGATGATGTAAAGAGAGTAGTAAGGGAGAAGAAGATAGCATATGAGAAGTTTTTACAAAGTAGAAGTGATGCAAGGAGGGAAGAGTATATGGAGAAAAAGAGAGAGGTTAAGAGAGTGGTGAAGCAATGTAAAAAGAGAGCAAATGGGAGAGTGGGTGAAATGTTATCAACAAATTTTGTTGAAAATAAGAAAAAGTTTTGGAGTGAGATTAACAAATTAAGGAAGCCTAGAGAATAAATGGATTTGTCAGTTAAAAATAGGAGAGGAGAGTTATTAAATGGAGAGTTAGAGGTATTGGGAAGATGGAGGGAATATTTTGAGGAATTGTTAAATGTCGATGAAGATAGGGAAGCTGTGATTTCGTGTATAGGGCAAGGAGGAATAACGTCTTGTAGGAGTGAGGAAGAGCCAGTTGTGAGTGTGGGGGAAGTTCGTGAGGCAGTAGGTAAAATGAAAGGGGGTAAGGCAGCTGGGATTGATGGGATAAAGATAGAAATGTTAAAAGCAGGTGGGGATATAGTTTTGGAGTGGTTGGTGCAATTATTTAATAAATGTATGGAAGAGGGTAAGGTACCTAGGGATTGGCAGAGAGCATGCATAGTTCCTTTGTATAAAGGCAAAGGGGACAAAAGAGAGTGCAAAAATTATAGGGGGATAAGTCTGTTGAGTATACCTGGTAAAGTGTATGGTAGAGTTATTATTGAAAGAATTAAGAGTAAGACGGAGAATAGGAAAGGTAGGGGGTGTGTGGACCAGGTGTTTACAGTGAAACATATAAGTGAACAGTATTTAGATAAGGCTAAAGAGGTCTTTGTGGCATTTATGGATTTGGAAAAGGCATATGACAGGGTGGATAGGGGGGCAATGTGGCAGATGTTGCAGGTGTATGGTGTAGGAGGTAGGTTACTGAAAGCAGTGAAGAGTTTTTATGAGGATAGTGAGGCTCAAGTTAGAGTATGTAGGAAAGAGGGAAATTATTTCCCAGTAAAAGTAGGCCTTAGACAAGGATGTGTGATGTCACCGTGGTTGTTTAATATATTTATAGATGGGGTTGTAAGAGAAGTAAATGCGAGGGTCTTGGCAAGAGGTGTGGAGTTAAAAGATAAAGAATCACACATAAAGTGGGAGTTGTCACAGTTGCTCTTTGCTGATGACACTGTGCTCTTGGGAGATTCTGAAGAGAAGTTGCAGAGATTGGTGGATGAATTTGGTAGGGTGTGCAAAAGAAGTAAATTAAAAGTGAATACAGGAAAGAGTAAGGTTATGAGGATAACAAAAAGATTAGGTGATGAAAGATTGGATATCAGATTGGAGGGAGAGAGTATGGAGGAGGTGAATGTATTCAGATATTTGGGAGTGGACGTGTCAGCGGATGGGTCTATGAAAGATGAGGTGAATCATAAAATTGATGAGGGGAAAAGGGTGAGCGGTGCACTTAGGAGTCTGTGGAGACAAAGAACTTTGTCTTTGGAGGCAAAGAGGGGAATGTATGAGAGTATAGTTTTACCAACGCTCTTGTATGGGTGTGAAGCATGGGTGATGAATATTGCAGCGAGGAGAAGGCTGGAGGCAGTGGAGATGTCATGTCTGAGGGCAATGTGTGGTGTGAATATAATGCAGAGAATTCGTAGTTTGGAAGTTAGGAGGAGGTGTGGGATTACCAAAACTGTTGTCCAGAGGGCTGAAGAAGGGTTGTTGAGGTGGTTCGGACATGTAGAGAGAATGGAGCGAAACAGAGTGACTTCAAGAGTGTATCAGTCTGTAGTGGAAGGAAGGCGGGGTAGGGGTCGGCCTAGGAAAGGTTGGAGGGAGGGGGTAAAGGAGGTTTTGTGTGCGAGGGGCTTGGACTTCCAGCAGGCATGCGTGAGCGTGTTTGATAGGAGTGAATGGAGACAAATGGTTTTTAATACTTGACGTGCTGTTGGAGTGTGAGCAAAGTAACATTTATGAAGGGGTTCAGGGAAACCGGCAGGCCGGACTTGAGTCCTGGAGATGGGAAGTACAGTGCCTGCACTCTGAAGGAGGGGTGTTAATGTTGCAGTTTAAAAACTGTAGTGTAAAGCACCCTTCTGGCAAGACAGTGATGGAGTGAATGATGGTGAAAGTTTTCTTTTTTGGGCCACCCTGCCTTGGTGGGAATCGGCCAGTGTGAGAAAAAAAACAAAAAAAACAGCTACTTTTCCATTTTGGAACCCTGTCTTGTTATGCTTTTAGGTGTTTTAAAACAAGCAGTTGGCAGTAACTTTGTTTAGATTGCTTGAGAATAAACTGTACAATTACTGAATATATATATACTTTTACTGTAATTGAATTTTGTAACCTGAAGAGTGGAACAATTTACAACTGACTGAGAATTTGAGAGGAAACTTTAAAATATGTTTTGGTCCATCCTGGACCAATATCAGATATTGAGCTGTGACTTGGTAATGGTTCAGAACAAACTGAAAAATTATCTAAAGTTTCCTTTCCAAACTTTGGATTAATTTTGAAATTAATAATCTCTTTGCTTTTGTTTTAATAATTGTAGTTTCATTTATTTACAGAAGATACAAGAGTTTCTGTATATAAACCTCCATTATCGCAAGAGCAAATTGTCCTCCATGAAGAAAAGAAGCAGCCTAAGGTCCAGCAGGGGCTTAATGAGGTAATATTGTTAGAAGATGGAAATAATGTGAGTTTACAGAAATCAGTGATTGATGAGTACCGAAGGAAGATGCAGTATTATGGCCCTCTAAAGGCAGTGGTTGAACGAGTTACAGTGGAACATGAGGGCAAAGTGAGAGAGATACTGAGAACCAAGCTAATTCAAATCAAGTTTGTATCAAAAGATGCCTCAGGACAGGACCTGAAAGGAGAGGAATTATTGCAAGCCGTTGCCAAAATACCAGGCCTCATCCCACCATGTGATCCTCCAGTCAGTTACAGGGAAGATGATAGAGTAAATAATGTTGAAAAATTTGAAGATGACAATGAGGATGAGAGGGTATCAATCACATTCTGTGATGGTGAAAATATTAGTATCAGCAAGAAAGCAATAGAACAGTATAGAAAACTTTCTCGGGTAACAAAGCCTCTTGGAGCTCAGAGAGAAAAAACCTTTAAAATAGAAGGTGAAGAGAGGTTTCCTGTTACCATTGTTCGCCTATTTCCTAGTGAAAGTATTGAACCTTCGTTGTCTGACCACATAAAAGAGGCAACTCCGGTGGAGAGCAAAACACCAGTAATTAAAAGAGGGAGATCTCAAGGGCAAAGAGGTGGAAAAACAAGAGATAGAAGACAACCCAAATATCTCCAGGAGTACACTGCTTTGCCTAAAGGCATAAAACCTAAACTAAAGAATGAGTCTGAAGATGGTGGCATCAGTAACTTTGGTTATGAAAATGGGTTGATTGTTCAAATGAGCCCTAGTTACAGTGCTTCAGAGACTGACATTGATCTTGACAGCTGTGATAATGTTCCTGGTGAAGATCTGTTACCTCTTCAGCTTCAGTCTGCTCCTTCAGATATGAATGCTAGGCTTACATCACTTGAAATTTGGAAATATCTCACAGAATATGCCTCAGAATATAATCAAGTTCAAGGATTGATAACACAGTTTAATAATGAAAGTTGGTTAGAAGTGAAAAGAATGTCAGATTTTTATCATGTAGATGGTGAAGTAATGACAGATATATCATTTAAAGCTGTATACAGGAATGACCCTTCTCCTGTTACTTTTTTCCTACGAGGATTTAGTCGATTAATACGAACAGGAGAGCTAAACACAGCAAATGATATCAACCACCTGTTTAGCGGTCTGTCTTGTGACCGAAAGTTGTGCCTTGGCTTAAAGCCCTCTCCCTACCAACCTGACATTGAAACAAATGAGCAAGTACGGCTCTACTTCAAACAGAAAGGTCACTTTGTATCAACACCATTTGAAAGCCTCTTTTCCAAAGCTTGCCGAGGAATAGTAACTGTGAAAGGCATGCCAAGCTCCAGTAACTTCACTCGAGGCTCAAAGAGTGTGTTGGGTGTGCATGCTGTGTGTAGTGCCTGTGCATTGCTTGGCAAGAAGATGAACCAACTCATCAAAGCTTCAGTCAAAAACGGTGCTAATGGAGAGACTGATTCAAATGAAAAGGTGAGTTATTTAACGTGCTTTTACTTTTACACCTCTTTTTAAGAAGACACCATGATGCTAGTAAAGCATTCTTGATCCACAAAATTGGGACTACCCTCTCCTTCCTTGGATCTAACCTGATTGCCTCCCATTCCTCAGGTGGTGTGTATATGACCTCTACTGTGTTAGCTTTTCCCATGAATGTAATTGTAAAAAAAAAAAAAATTGCTTATACAGGAGGGAGGGAAGGTCCCAACCTATAAACAAGTTACATACCCATTATTTTAACCTTATGAAAAAATGATTTGTAACCTGGAATCTGCTATCCTAAAGAAAATAATACAAGAGATAACTATGTGTCACATGTTCATAACTGCAGATAGGCATTCAAAATTTATTTTCTCAATATTATGTCCTTCGAACCTTGCTTGTAAGAGTGGATCTCCGTAACTCCGGCGTTTGTAGGTTATCAACCCCTGTATATAATGGTTAGATGGTGTTTAGACGGAGATGCTGAAAGCAAGTGGGGATACAGTTTAAGAAAAAAAGAGCATTATGTAAGAATAAAGGAGCATTGCAGCAGCCCTACTAGCCCATATTACCTATCCATTGCCAACTGTGTAGTACAGTAGGACCCCACTTATCCGGCAGGTTAGGTTCCAGACTACTGCTGGAAAGCAGAATGCCATTTTATTCCACTTATAACTGCATGTACATGCCAGGTAACAAGTTTACACTAACATATTAAGTTAGCAATAGAACTAAGCATTAAAAGCATTAAAAAGTAAAATAGTACATACACAGTACACCCATTACTTACCTTAAAATATTTGTAGTCTTAATGTAGGGTGAGAGGTGAGTTTTATTTGTAGGAAGTCAGGTTTGTGAGGTGTGGTAGCCAGCCAGGGCAGCCCTCCCCACCCCACCCCACCCACACGTAATGTAAACAAACCAGGAAAGCGCGTCTGGTTTTTGTTCATACAATTTTTGTGTTATACCATAATACAAACACTTTACAATGTGTACAAGTTGTCTCCATGTTGATACAGTAGAATAAATAAAGAGAAACACTCCCATTCGTATGTAACACCATTTTTAGAAGAAATGATGCTCTGAGTGAAGGCATATGGAAATAAGTTACTTTGTCTGGCTTTTTTGGGTTATCCTAGATTCTCTACACATATACATGTACTGCTATGTATGATAATCTGTGTATTTGTATATACCTGAATAAACTTATTTACTTATATATGAAAGGAATAATTTTCTAGTTACATTCAATAATATTACATATATCATACACATTTTCTCTGTTGTTTGACTACAAGTTGCCTGGCTACCACAAATCCTACAAGTCGCCTGGCTACAACATCTCATATTTCTTCTTTCTTTCAACACATCGGCTGTATCCCACTGAGGCGGGGTGGGCCAAAAGGAAAAACAAAAGTTTCTCCTTTTACATTTAGTAATCTATACAGGAGAAGGGGTTACTAGCCCCTTGCTCCTGGCATTTTAGTCGCCTCTTACAACATGCATGGCTTATGGAGGAAGAATTCTGATCCACTTCCCCATGGAGATAACAGGAAATTAAACAAGAACAAGAAACATAGTAAGGAAAGTATATAGGATAAGAAGGGAAACCCCCGGAGAAAAAGCAACTGTAGTTGTGCTTAGTACATGTATGTGTAGTGATGACCTAAGTGTAAAAAAGTTAAGCAATACCATACCCTCTAAATCTTGCATGTTTATGAGACATGAAAAAAGAACCGCCAATCCTACCAAATATGTAAAACAATTACAGGTTCCCGTTTTGTGCTCACATTGCAGACAGTATACCTCCTGGGCGGTTGCTGGATACCAACCCTACACCTCTTACCATCTCATATTTAGTTAAATTTATTCCTCCCCTTGGATGTATTTATGTTTATATATTACATAGCGTGTTTGTCATATAATTTTGAAAAAAATATCATTGATGGAGTAATGGAAATGTCTATATTAACGTAATATACAACATTTAATGCGCTCAAGAGGTAACGTATTATTATTATTAATATGGCGTCAGGAGTAGAGAGAGACTTAGTGATTATAATGTGTACATGCACACCAGCACAGTGTGTAAGTATACAGCCTCTCCTCACTTAGCGACGTACTTGTTTACTGATGCTTCAGACTTATGACGGGCTCTCTGACCAATATGCGTGCCTAAATAATGTATACTAGATCTCATTTTCTCTATTCTGTTTATTACAATATACAGTACACTACTGTATAAACATTGAAAAATATACCAGAAATGTTTAAATGGTGCAAAGGTGACATTAAAACAATATCAAAGATAGTTGACACAAACCCACTACCATTATAGTATGCTTCTCACTTAGCAATGAATTCATTTACTGACGTGGTCATAGGAACAGAACTCCATTGTTAAGTGAAGAGAGGCTGTATTTAGGTACAGGTACACATAAGTATAATTATCAGAGTGCATATAAAATATGCAATAAGTTTAAAACACTTGAAATTTTGGAAAGTTTCCAGACATAATAGAGAGATGTGCTCATGGAGAATGTAAACAAACTGGGTGGGGCACGCCTTATTAGAAAGACCAGGAGCCGTATAGCAAGTTTTGGTCATAATTTGAAATCGCCGTATTAGCGGAATGCCATAGAGCGGGGCCCTATTGTATTTATCTAGCCTGTTTTTAAAGCTTAAATTCTTTGCTGCAAGTCCTGTTTTGGTTAGATTTTTAGCACTGCTTTGTATTGCTGTTTAAGGGAGACTTTCTTCTAATTGCTCTGCATTGGTTACCCTAAATTCATCCTTAGCAAGTTCAGTGACCTGTAGGGGAACACTCTTTGTTATATGTTATTTTGCCCACAGTGGGGCTTTATCAAGTACAGTACCTGATAAAATACTCACCCTTTCTTACCTTAGAGAAGGGCAATCTGCTCCACTCTAGAAGTATTGACAGTCACACTGACTGACATGCATATGTTACCAAACTGCCTTCTTTATCAAGTGGCACTTCGACTTTTTCAACCTTATTGTTTTAATGCTGCTGTGCTTGCTTTGCATTCCTCTAAAAGTGCCATCTGTGTTATGGATGTTATCTATGAGCATTTTTGTTATTAAAAGTTGATCTACTGCAATCGCTTCACCACATTCTCATACTGTTTTGCATTACATTCTTATTTCTGTTTTACTTGTGCTAAGGAGCAGATTTACTGTGAAACTAATGAATCTTTAGCTTCAGGGCCCCTACTCCTGGAGGGGCCCCAGAAATGACTAAAGTACACATTGCTTAAAAATATTTGGTCTGCTGTCTAAGAAGTTTTTTAAATAATAATATAGTGTAATTCAACAGAAAATAATAATTAAAATAAAAATTAAAAGGTTATTAAAGTATCATGTAGGCTAGCCATTATTAGTTGCAAAGGGGCCCCCATAACAGTTCAAGCTTCAGGGCCCCAAAGCTGTAGGTCCATCACTGCTTGTGCTGTTCTTATTTTAATGTGCACCCTGTCTACCATGCTGTTCTAAATGACCCTTAAGTAATTTATCATGTGTGAATGCTATAACTATCTCTCAGAGTGCCTACACTCTGAAGGATAGTTATGAATGATGCAGTTTTGAGGGTCACTTGAATTATGATATCTGTACTATTTTGGAAAGACAACAAGAGAATAAGCAGTGATAAATATGTTTTTAGGTCCCTCTGCTTTGGTGGGAAATGACTGATATGTTAAAAAAATAGTGACTATTGTTATTACAGCATTTGCTTTTTCTGTTTCAGAGAAGTGAACATGCATATAACAGACAATTCCTCTATCAGCCAATCAAGGATAGTGGTGCAGCATTAAGCAGCAGTGCTATAAGAAAGATCTTTACTCAGAGTATTACAGATGTTCTATCTGCAAAAGGTTCAACCAGCTTGTCCAATAATAATGAAACTAATTTGGGTGAAGAACTCCCAGTAAGGGGCAAACGGAAAAAAAATAGAAAAAGAGCCAGTGAGGAAGGTGAAGAAGAAGAAGACATAAGACCCAGTGTTGGTGTTACAGAAGAAGAGTTTTTGCAGATGATAGATTTACGGCCACCAAATCCTGGTATTTTAGCAAGATCATTAGTAAAAAAGTGTAATGTATGCCAATTTCGTGCTCCTTCCATGTTAGCACTTTTTTCTCACATGCAAGGACATATGGGTACATTAAAGGAAAAGTGTGGTGATTGCCAAGTTCAGCTGTCCAGCAAAGAAGCTCTTGAAATTCATAGAAAACAGATTCATTCTCAGCGTTCACCTCTGTGCACTGTGTGTCAATTTGATTTTACCACAAAAGATCAGCTTTTTGATCATATGAATAAACATCGTAATCATCTTCCATTTGAATGTCCATTTTGCGATCATAAACTGACGAATATGGATGCGTACAAAAAGCATGTGAGAATAACACACAAAGTAAAATCTGTTAGAGACTTAAAATATTCTTGCAAGACATGCAATATTCACTTTTACACACTGGATCATCTACTTTTACACCGTGTTAACCAGAATCATGAAGATATAGACTTCTTTAATTGTAAGGCCTGTGGCTCCGTTCTTGTTACAGCCAACGAATTTCGTAGTCATATTTTAGAGCATACAGAAGAAGAAAGAGAGGCAGCAAATATAGCAATATGTTCACAGTGTTTCAAAGTTTTCTTTTCAACTTTTAAACTCAAATATCATATAGAAACAAAGCATAATCAAGGAAAGCAGGAACCAGAGCCAGTTAAAATTGAACCAGATACTAGTGAACCACCACCACCACCAAAGAAGAAGAAGAAAAAGGGACCATATCTACGGTATTTGCGGGCCAATGAAAAATATGAATGTTATAAATGCAAACGAAAATTCAAAACACACGAAACGCTGGAAAATCACATAAAATTTTCTCATGGTGAAAAAAAAGTGACAAAAGCAAACTGGGAGTGTACTCATTGTGGTCGCAAATTCAATGCTTTCAAACGATTGGCCACTCATTTAAAAATTCACTCAGGCAACAGGCCTGTTTTTCAGTGTGAGGAGTGTGGCCAGATTTATAGCAAGAAGATTCAAGTGCTAGAGCACATTCGCACTGACCATGCTGAGCAGGTGCAGCGACATCAACAACAACAAGAGTTGCTTCAGTCTAGTCAGTCTGCAGAGCGTTTTGTAGATATTCAAGAACAACCTCATCACTCAGTTATTGAGGGAACGGCTTCAGCCTCTTGGAGCCCTATCAAGAGTCCTTTCAAAGTTCCCACAGTTGAACAGACTCAAGAGGCAGTGTATAGTCTCCTACAGCTGACGGATTTTTAATGGCAAGATTCTCTAAGAACAATAAAATGTAAGAATAAACCAAGATGAATTAAATGATTTTACATAAGAATAAAAATACGTAATTAAAAGGTTTAGGTAAAAAAATTGTGTTGCTGGCAAAGTTCTTATTGCACCAATAGCAGTATTAAAAATCAACAAGTGGTGCTGAGGTTCCTTTTTTGATAAACATTTGTTGTTCTAAAAAGTCATCATCAGAAGTTAAAAACAAAAATTAAGATAGGAATAATGTTAAGATGAAAAGTGGTATTCTTTATCTAATTTTGAAGGTTAGATTTAGAATACCATGTTGCAGTTCTTATGAATATGAAGCAAGGTTTCTAAGACCAAGAGAGGTAAAATGTAAGAACAATAAAGATTCTTGATCTCTGTACAGTAATATCATAGGACAATAGAATTTAGAAAGTACTGTACAGTACATGTTGAAATATAAGAAAATTGTTATATGGAAGATAAATTATAGATCCATGTATAAAATTAATCATTACCAGAGAATTGGTGTACCTTATTCCACTAGAGGTACAATATTTCCAATGAAGATTAGTAAAAGGCAGAAAAATTAATAATTTTTTGTGAGTTATGTATAACTGTTTATACATGTATAGCTGTTTAAAGTGACATTTAAACTGTCGTATTTGCATGCCTCTGCAAAGACAGCGATAGTGTGAATGATGGTGAAAAATTTTCTTTTTTTTTGGGGGGGGGGAAGGAGGGTCACCCTGCTTCAGTGGGAGACGGCCATCATGTTAAAAGTATATATATATATAACTCATGAAACAGATAAGGACTGTGCCTGAAAGTGAAAGCGAAAATAGAGCCAGAAGCAGGTTTAAAAAGAAAGTGAATTAATAGTGCTTGGTGTTCAAGTATTCAGTTAAAAATTGTTTATGATGTTATACTGTTAAGAAATTGAGAATATATTGAATGAATTTAATAATTTCTATTTTTTTTTTTTTTTACCATTTTATATGTGAAATGTGCAGTGAGAAAAGACTTGTTCAGCATATCCATTATGAGAAGTTAAAATGTCAAGTAGAATCAAGAGGAACATATTATTAGTAGTGGAGTGGTTTTAATCAGTTTCATTTCACTATTAATGTAAATTTATCCCTATTCCAAAATAGGTAAACATAATGTAGCTCTTCTTTTCAATTTTTTTTTTTTTTTTTTTTTTTTTTTACTTATACTATATACTATATATGGCAAAAAGAACTGCAGGTCCCAAGCAAATTTGAGGGATGACCCAAATGTTTGCTGGAAATAGTGACCATGATGTTGATGAGCATATTTTTGTTTATACTGTAGCACAATACAATACAGTACATAATTTTAACATTGCCATATGCATATGCTAAAATTTATTTTCTGAAATTTTATGCTGATACTGAGTCTAAGGAGGCTATGAGTGAATGCAAAGGGCTTAGAAAGCCACAGAGGCAGGAAGTGAATAAAGTGCTTTGCCCATGGTATCAACCAATAAAGGCTGAGGACTCCACCTTGATAGGTATATTGTACAATATTACTGTAGAATTAGCTTCCTGAAAAATACATTTAACAATAAATTTGGGCAGCACAGTCATCTGCATGAGAGAGGGAATGAGAAAGGGAGAGGGAGAGGGAGGGAGGGAGGATGGATAGGAGGGGAAGAGGAAGGGTAGTTGATTAATGGCAAAGTGATGTGAGGAGTGAGCTCTACATCTCTCACTCAATCACCTTGCCCCTATCTTTTGCAAAATGAATGAGCTTAACATGCATTGAGGCACCCTTGAAACTACTGACTTGAAAAAATTTCCTGTAAAATTAGTTTATTATTGGATTTGGGGAAAAGGGCATGCTGCCTATATATGATCCATATTATTTCGTAGGATTTGGGTTAAAGGACATGCTGCCTATATGATCAATATTATTTCAATTCTCTACAATTAGTAAATAGTAAAGGGATATTTTTGATAAGAAGCTCTTTAAGGGAGGTAGATGCTTGAATGCTGGTGAAGAGCTCTTGATCAAATAAATTGGATCTAAACATGGATCAGAGCTGATTATCTCCCTTTCCTCAGGTGCTATGATGACCCTATATGTTCAGTACTTCCCCATGATAATAATTTTGGTAAGAAAGCAAGAGAATAACAGTACTGTACAATGTAAAAGCAGCTACACAAGAGTTTGTGATGCTACCCAACTTTATACCAACCTCACAGTACTGAAGAACATTCATTTCCACTTCACTTTGTCCTGTAGTACATTCTAGTTCTTATCTGTTTAATTAGCATGTATACATTATTTCAACAACTTTTATAACTACAGGTATTTATTGTAAGTGAATGGGAACAGTACTAATAGAAAATATTGGGTAGATATTTTTAGTGGTGGTGCATTGAGGCATCTGTGGAGACAAAGAATTTTATCTATAGATGCAAAAAGGAGAATGCACTAGAGTTTAGTGGTACCAACACTTTTGTATGGGTGTAAAGCATGGGTTTTGAATGAGGAGGTTGGAGAAAGTAGAGATGTTGTGTTTGAGGGTAATGTATGGTGTGAATATCATGCAGAGAATTCTGAGTTTTGAGATGAGGAGGTGTGGAGTCACCAAAAGTATTCAGAAGGCTGAGGAGAGATTTTGAGGTGGTTTGGATATTTAGAGAGGGTGAAAAAAATTAGGATGACTAAGAGGGCATATAAATCTGGGGTGGAGAGAAGGATAAGATAAGATTTGTTCAGATTTTTAACTCAGAGAGTTAGCCACCCAGGATAACCCAATAAAGTTAGTGTATCATCAGGGGCTATTTGTCTTATTTCCACTGGAGTCCATTAATCTTCTTCCCCAGGATGGGACCCAAAACAATTGACTAACACCAGGTACCTACTTACTGCTAGGTGAACAGGGACAGCAGTAGTAAGGAAACATGCCCATTTCCACCCATGCCGAGGATTGACCCACAGACACTCAGTGAGGTGAATGCACTGTCATCTGAGCTATGGGACACTATAGGTAGGGATTGTCCTAGGAAAAGTTGGAGGGAGGGGGTAAAGGAGATTTTGAGTGTTAAGGGCTTGGACATCCAATCTTGTGTGAGCATGTTTAGATAGGAGTTAGTGGACGCAAGTGATTTTAATGATTTGATGTACTGTTGGAGTGTGAGCAAGGTAACATTTATGAGGGAATTTAGGAAAACTGGTTAGCCAGACGTGAGTCCTGGAGGTGCAAAGTATAGTGCACTCTGAAGGCAGGGTGGGGATGTTGTGGTTTGGAGGGTCATCTAAACTGTAATGTTTGTACCCCTCTGGCAAGGCATTCATTGGTAATGGAAGTTTTTTCTTTATTGGGTCAACCTACCTTAGTGGGAAATAGTCGGAGCATTCAAAAAAAAGAATGTACTTAGTTAAAAAAGTGTAAGTAGAAGCGGACTATTATGACTCGAGAATGCATCTCAGATTACAAAATGGGTGTTTGAGGGAAAAAAAAGTTCTGAGTTATGAACAAGTGAGTTATAAACAATTTTCAGGGACACACAACCATCATAAGTGGTGAACTTAATGTTTATCTTTATTCTAATTTTGGCCAAAATATAAGTGTGCCTCATAATTTTCCTGTAAAGTAGTAGAGTGACAGTGTATTATTTCTCTGACATATAAGGCATTGAGGATCATGAAAAGCTCGAGGATATTTTATTCATTTAAATTTATTAGAAGGTAATAATTCCAGAAATATAATCTGGATGATGCAAAGTTAAATAACATACCTGTTAACTGTTATATAGGAAGAATAATGTTAAATTGTATTGAAGTACAGAACAGTATTGATGTTAGCAGTGATAAATGAAGGACAATAATTATCTTTATTATTATTATTATTATTATTATTATTATTATTATTATGATTACAGTAATTTTGTTAATATAATTTTTATTATTGGTATTAAAAATTATATGGAGAAAATTGGTTTGTATCTGAATGCTTTAAAAAAGAAAACCTTATTTGCGTATAAAGCCATAGCGGAGGAAATTCATCTACTTCGTAGAAATAACAAAGTACAGTGCTGTAATAGTGATGAAGATAATAATTTTTGAGAAAGATATTTATTAAATAACAAAACAAGGGGTATCTTGCTAGTACATAGTAACATATGTACATACAGGGTTTTAAAGTTTACATCAATATTGATTATGACTCAGTTTCATTTGCTTCAATAAAATCTCATTCCGTTAATTTAAAAAACACTAATTTTTGCGGTTAGTGAGTCTTCTGTTCTTTGAGCTGATCATTTTCTCTCTTTCAAGAGAGAGCTGACCTGATGCTGGGGAAGCACTCTTAATCTGAGGAATTGGAGCTGCCCTCTTATTCCTTGGATCAAGCTTAACTGCTTCCTAGTTTCCAGGTGCTATAGAATTTTACATTTTGCCATCTTAGATAACACCTTCAGGGGGCAGACTTGCTTCATAACTTTTTAACTAAAATTGACATTATGCGAACTCTGACTTCACCCTTTAGTACATGAGCTCGCCCTCCGCACTTCTTTTCTCTGACATTCGCCTATGTAATTGACATACGTATCTCATGAAGAAGCGCTCAGCACAGCTCTGAGAGACTTACAAAGTTCCATTGTCATTTCACTATCATACTAATGCTGTCCTGTCTCTCAGCAGGCTTGCAGAATTTAACTTTGCTATCATCACCACCCTAATGCACTTAGTTTATCTGACCTTGCTAACATCCCCACCTTTAACACAGACTCCCTCTTTAACTTTTTGTCAGCAACTACTTTATTATACCAACTTTGATTATTTTCCTTTTAGTACTCCCTACTACCCTTTCTGACTCGACCTCTTTCATAAAGATAAGATAAAGATTTATTTCTTGGTAAAGGTTACAATGTGTAATTACAATTTTGGTTTGCTAAGTACAAAGAAAGCCACTATCATGCTGGGGCATACTCTGAACTTTGCATATTATATTTTTAGCACATCCAACCATGCAGTGCTGTATGACTCATATGGGTTTAACACTTATGATTGGGTTTAGCACATTTGATTGTGATAATAATAATTTTCTCTGACATTCCACACCTTGCTGTATGATGCAAGTTTAATAATTTTTGTGAATATACTAGTATACTTTAATAGTAACAATTAGATATATTTCATGGTCTTCCTTGAATGTGCCAACCTCAAGATTGAACAAATCTTCCAGAGAGTTTGTGATAATGTTCAGCATATGACATGTTAATGAAAGAGACCCTTCATGGAGTAATAATGCCTTGATGCTAGTGAAAGCCTATTGATCCAAAGAACTGAACCTGTACAGTGGACCCCCGGTTAACGATATTTTTTCACTCCAGAAGTATGTTCAGGTGCCAGTACTAACCGAATTTGTTCCCATAAGGAATATTGTGAAGTAGATTAGTCCATTTCAGACCCCCAAACATACACGTACAAATGCACTTACGTAAATACACTTACATAATTGGTCGCATTCGGAGGTGATCGTTATGCGGGGGTCCATGTACTCCCCTTGGTTAAAGGCTTGAGTGTCTTCCATTCCCCAAGTACTGTATGACTCTTATGGGTTTTGTACTTTATAGGTAGGTCCCTCTTATACACCAGGTTAGGTTCCAGGCTATTGATGTAAATTGAAAATAGGCATAAAGTGAAACATAGCCTTTTTTCACTTTCAAATGCCCAATAACACGTTTACACTATCATATACGTATTAAGCGAGCAATAAAGCTAGGCCTAAAAAATGCATATACACAGTATACACATTGCTTACCTTTAAAAACTTTTATCCTTAGCTTATAGTGAGTGGTGAATACATTTATTGTAGGAAGTCTGAATAAATAAAGAATAGGTATAACAAAACCACTGTATTAGTGAAATGCTGTACAGTGATGTGCTGCAAAGCAGTGTTCACCTGTGTAGTATACTAATCCAGCTGGATAAGTCTTACATACCGCAGTTGTGTGATGACAAACCATCGTACCTTAATGTTTGCATAAGGGACACTGTGGTTAGTACATTCATTCTCATTATAAAAGAGTCACCTGTTAGGAATTATGTATTATGAATGTTGTTTGAACTGACAAGTCATACATGTATATCATATGCAGTAATTTTATGATTTACCAATAAAAATAATAAAAATTTTAAGTTTTGCCTTTCCCACTTTTTTACATTGCTTCCTAAATGATAAAATGCATTCACCATTAATTGCACTTTGGTTACTTTCTAGAAGACAACTCATGCTAGGGTTCATTGTTGACTGGTTGAGCTGTGACATTCCTGACCAACTTTGACGTGTAATGTTCTGTACATTGTACTATACATCTAAAACTCAACCCATCTGATGGCATACAACTTCTTGCAGTGGCCCTTCAGTGAGAAGCCTTGATACTAGTCTACCTGAAGTCTACCTGGAGGGTGTTCCAGGAGTCAATGCCCCCACAGCCAGGTCCTTAACCAGGCCTGGTGAAGGGCCCCATATCTAAGGACTTGAAGCTACTCTACCTGCATCATCAAATCTGACTACCTCCTATTCCCCAGACCCAGTCCCTTAACTTATTTATTGGTGGCTCTGTAACTTATTGACTACATATGTAATTCATATAAATGGTATACATGTATTTGAATGTTGCTAGTCACCCGGACAGTGCTGTATAGCCCTTGTGGCTTAGCGCTTCTTTTTGATTATAATAATAATAGTAGTCACCCGGAACCCTTCAGTTTGATGTCTTGATGCAGGTGATGTACATTTGATCCAAAAAATTTGGGATGCCCTCTTATCAAATCCAGTTAGATTCGTAAGGCACTACAGCCCATGCAGATTCAATACTTAGTGAATACTCTATGACCTTATGGGGTTAGAACTTAGTTTGATTATAATATTAATAATAATAATACCTTGTGAATATATCTCCCTGCAATAGGAAATTTCAATTAGTCAGATATGGTAAACACGAGGAAATTAAATCTTCATCAGAGTACAAAACAAATTCTGGCCACAAAATAGAGCGAAACACCAACGTCAAAGACCTGGGAGTGATCATGTCGGAGGATCTCACCTTCAAGGACCATAACATTGTATCAATCGCATCTGCTAGAAAAATGACAGGATGGATAATGAGAACCTTCAAAACTAGGGAGGCCAAGCCCATGATGACACTCTTCAGGTCACTTGTTCTATCTAGGCTGGAATATTGCTGCACACTAACAGCACCTTTCAAGGCAGGTGAAATTGCCGACCTAGAAAATGTACAGAGAACTTTCACGGCGCGCATAACGGAGATAAAACACCTCAATTATTGGGAGAGCTTGAGGTTCCTAAACCTGTATTCCCTGGAACGCAGGAGGGAGAGATACATGATTATATACACCTGGAAAATCCTAGAGGGACTAGTACCGAACTTGCACACGAAAATAACTCACTATGAAAGCAAAAGACTTGGCAGACGATGCACCATCCCCCCAGTGAAAAGCAGGGGTGTCACTAGCACGTTAAGAGACCATACAATAAGTGTCAGGGGCCCGAGACTGTTCAACTGCCTCCCAGCACACATAAGGGGGATTACCAACAGACCCCTGGCAGTCTTCAAGCTGGCACTGGACAAGCACCTAAAGTCAGTTCCTGATCAGCCGGGCTGTGGCTCGTACGTTGGTTTGCGTGCAGCCAGCAGTAACAGCCTGGTTGATCAGGCTCTGATCCACCAGGAGGCCTGGTCACAGACCGGGCCGCGGGGGCGTTGACCCCCGGAACTCTCTCCAGGTAAACTCCAGGTAATATCTCTCTGACTCATTTGTGTCTTCAACTTCCAATTGTGGCCTATTGTTTCTGTGTCCCCTCCCTGGAACATCCTGTCTTTGTCCACCTTGTCTATTCCACGCAGTATTTTATATGTTGTTATCATGTCTCCCCTGACCCTCCTGTCCTCCAGTGTCGTCAGGCCGATTTCCCTTAATCTTTCTTCATAGGACATTCCCCTTAGGTGTGTGTGTGTGTACTCACCTATTTGTGGTTGCAGGGGTCGAGTCCTAGCTCCTGTGTGTGTGTGTGTGTGTGTGTGTGTGTGTGTGTGTGTGTGTGTACTCACCTATTTGTACTCACCTATTTGTGGTTGCAGGGGTCGAGTCCTAGCTCCTGGCCCCGCCTCTTCACCGGTTGCTACTAGGCCCTCTCTCTCCCCGCTCCATGAGCTTTATCAAACCTCGTCTTAAAACTGTGTATGGTTCCTGCCTCCACTACATCATTTTCTAGGCTATTCCACTGCCTTACAACTCTATGGCTGAAGAAATACTTCCTACTATCTCTCTGACTCATTTGTGTCTTCACTTCCAATTGTGCCTCTTGTTTCTGTGTCCCCCCCTGAACATCCTGTCCTTGTCCACCTTGTCTATTCCACGCAGTATTTTATATGTCGTTATCTGTCTCCCCTACCCTCCTGTCCTCCAGTGTCGTCAGGCCGATTTCCCTTAATCTTTCTCATAGGACAATTCACCTTAGCTGTGTGTGTGTGTGTGTGTGTGTGTGTGTTGTGTGTGTGTGTGGTGTGTGTGTGTTGTGTGTGTGTGTGTGTGTACTCACCTATTGTGGTTGCAGGGTCGAGTCCTAGCTCCGCCCGCCCTCTTCACCGGTTGCTACTAGACCCTATCTCTCCCCGCTCCATGGCTTTATCAAACCTCGTCTTAAAACGTGATGGTTTCCTGCCTCCACTACGTCATTTTCTAGGCTATTCACTGCCTTACAACGTGTGTGTGTGTGTGTGTGTGTGTGTGTGTGTGTGTGTGGTGTGTGTGGTGTGTGTGTGTGTGTGTGGTGTGTGTGTGTGTGTGTGTGTGTTGTGTGTGTGTGTGTGTGTGTGTGTGTGTGTGTGTGTGTGTGGTGTGTGTGTGTGGTGAGAGTTCACATGATTTTGTGTGGAAGACATACGTGCGTATGGAAGAGAGAGAGAGAGAGAGAGAGATAGGAAGGGAGTCAGAAACATGTGTTGATAATGGTGAGCGAGGTGCACAAGTGTGCATAAGACAAGTGTTAAGTACCTGAGGATGCGTCATCATGTTTACCTGGCAGTCAGACATGCCAGGTAAACACATACGATACCTAGCAGGTGAGACACCAAGAGTCACACTAGACAGCTGGGGTAGGTACGTTAATATAGTGGTGCTGGTGTAGGAAGACAGGTGGTGCGGCACAACAGCTGTGACGTCATTATTGATCAAGCTGGAGCCTGGTGTGTCTGGTTGGCACTGTCTGGCACACATACCAGCCAGCTGGCTCACCTCCTTCACCTCACCTCCTTCAGGCACTCAGGTACTCTTTATTTCTTCGTTTCCTGCACCTCTCACCAATCTTCCCCAAGGGAGGCGCCTTGGTGCTGCTGAGGGGCTCTTGATCCAGGAATTGGACTTATCCTTGCATTAAACCTGAATGCCATGCGTTCTCTGGGCGCAATCTGAACCTTGTGGGTTTAGCGCTTTCCCCAGATTAAAATGAAAATCATCTCTACTTCAGTCACCAACCATAAAAGACATTTGTAATAATTCAACATTTTTTTTTCACATTATGCATAAATTATAGTTCATTGCATAAAAAATCCTACCTATAGCCTATGTCTAATTCTTAATTAGTCATTAAGCATTAGGATTAATTTACCCAAAATGCCTTTGCATGCTGGTGGTTGTTTTTTTTTTTTGTGTCCAACAATGTTTTTATTATATGTAAATTACCTCATTTGTGTATATCACTAAAAGAAATAAAAATAAAAATTTGAATTTGAATGTTGACCAGCAGCCAGTGTATGTATATAAGAAATCTTGTATAATTTTCCAAGGATTTAGCCTTGTTGTCCGCTTGAATCGAACCTGATAGCCTCCCATTCCCAAGGTGCTGTCTGGACCTTATTATACCCAAGGGGATAACAAAAGCTTCCTGGGGGACAACATTAAAAGGACCCTAATGGAAATATGACACAGTCCCTTAGGATGCATTGACTTGATTGGGCTATCCTGGGAGGCTAACCTTGCAGATTAAAAATCCCAACTATTCTTATTCAAAAATAAGTTAATTAATGGGATTTTTTCTATTGGGGACTTTTTATAAGCTGTTCCCCAGGATGAAACCCACAGTTGTGAACTAATCCACAGATATATACCACTGTGTTACAGGGGCAGTAAAGTTAGGAGATTTACACATATTTCCTGTTGAACCTGGGATTACATAGGATTAAACTCCGCATCTCCTTGGTACTGATTCAGGTGTAAGTTTATTTAGGTACAGGTACACACAAGTAGAATTATCATACCTAGTAACATAAGTGTAAATTACTTAGGATAACCCAGAAAGCCAGTCATTTATTTCCATTAACTTTTAACCATTGTGCTGCAAAGTTCCAGTAGACTATATATTCCTGTTTGTTTCTATTACCATTTATGCTGTATGACTCTCCTTAGGTTTAATGCTTAAGTTGATTATAATAAAGTTTTATTACCATTTTTCATTCACTCCATGCAAGACAGTGATGGAGTGAATGATGGTGAAAGCTTTTCTTTTTCGGGCCACCCTGCCTTGGTGGGAATTGGCCAGTGTGATGATAAAATAAAAAAAAAATTTATTTAATTAACTTAACCAAGATTTTAATAGATTCAACTGATAAAAATACTGTATGCTTAGAAAAACTTGCCATTTAATAAGTAAGTTTATTTAGGTACAGGTACGCATAAGTATAGTTACACAAATTTCAGTGATTACTGTTATCATACGTTGTAATATATGGGTAAATTACCTAGGATAACCAAAAAAAAAAGTCAGTGTTTATGTGCAACTAGCTTTCATCTTTGACAAACATTTACATGCAGTGATGATTTGCATGCAGTAAAGATTCATATGCATTGAAGATTCACATGTAGTGAAGATTTACATGCATTGAAGTTTCATGTGCAGTGAAGATTCAAATGCAGTGAAGTTTCACTGCATGTGAATCTTTCACTGCATGTGAATCTTCACTGAACATGAATTCAGTGAAGATTCACAAGCAGTGAAGTTTCATGTTCAGTGAAGATTCACATGCAGGGAAGTTTCATGTTCAGTGAAGATTCACATGCAGGGAAGTTTCATGTTTAGTGAAGTTTCATGTTCAGTGAAGATTCACATGTAGTGAAGATTCACATGCAGTGGACACTCACTCTTCTCAGTAGTCACACAAGTCACATTCACACAAGCCTAACATTCTTACGGTAAGTAGACTTTTATTTAGGTTTCGATCAAGAAATATTGCTGAACTGAAACCAGGGAATTTTGTCAATATTGACTGCAGGCTTTTATGAAAGCTTCCTTTGCACCGTTATTTTCCCCTCATTGCTATTGGCAGTTCTGAACACCCATCTTAAAGTTTTCAAGATTCAAAGTGGGGGACTTCATGTAATAATGGGATCACCTAAAGTTTGAAGAGCCATAATTATACAGTAATTCAGCTTTGAGATTCTGTCCAACAAAGTATGGTCAAAATTCACTATCGTCAGGGTATCCTGTTGTTTTAAAGGATAGAATGGGTCTGACTTTGTGTATAGTATATATTGTTTTTTATTTTTAGCACATCTGCTGTCTCCCACCAAGGCAGGGTAACCTGAAAAAGAAGAAACAAAAGTTTTTCTTCATTTTACATTTAACACTATACAGGAGAAGGGGTTACTAGCCCCTTGCTCCCGGCATTTTAGTTACTGTACCTCTCATGACACGCATGGCTTATGGAGGAAGGATTCTTCTGCACTTCCCCATGAGGAGTATGCTATGTATATATAATATGTGTGCATTTATATGCACTTTTGTTACAGTTCTACCATGCTATGTTATATACTTATGTGTATGCATGTGTACACATATGTTTTTACAATTCCTGATGTTATGGAATCATCATGGCCCAGGTATTCTATGCTGTTTATTGATTTTGACTTTTCTACATCCCTTTATGTATGGTACTTAGTTTTACTTTCTTTTTCCAGACTTAAAGAACGAATTGGAAACCGGGTAGAATGAATGAGGGATCAGACACTGCTATGGTGTTAAAGGAGGTATTACCTCGTAAGGGTTTACTGTACCAAGAGGACTCGGCTTACTTGGCACTGTGCCGCCCTAAGCTCATGCCCCTGAAATCTGTTACATTGGAAAAGTTAGAGGCCATGCAAAAGAATGCGCAAGACAAACTTCGTCAGCAGCAAGAACAGCAACAGGAGCACCAGGGGTTGTCTTCAGGCTCTAGTGCCAAACCCCATTTCTTCTAATGCTGTACAATTTGTGAATTCTTGAAGTTATCCTTACATTACTGTTTATGTAATTTTTATATGTTCCCAGCACTTTCTTAGTAAGCTTTCTAGTCCATAACAAAGGATGTGACTAATGTTAGACTCAATTGATGGAGCTATAGTGTGTGTTTGTAACTAGTATTTTCTTACTCCTAGTCTGAATATTTGTAATGTGTTGAAAACTTAATGTGTTGATTTCTGCACCTTAAACACTTCTTGAAAATAGCCATATCACTCACTGGTAAGACATTAACAGACCTACTCATACAAAACTGTTAGAACTCATAAACAAGAAAACACGTGCAATAAATGACTTGTCTAGTGTGTTTGCTATGCTTTATCTGTTAAATAAGTGTTCAGTGGAAAATTATTTGAATTGTGCAATTAATTTTTAACATTTATATTTTGGTTAAGTTGCTGTAAGATATTTGTGCATTTATTTTCTTAAGAATTACTGTGGAATGCTAGTCACTATAATAAGGTCAGTTTAGCCTGTGAATATATACACATAGAGAAATGTGATAGCGAAGTTAGTTGAGAGACTTCTGGATCAAAATAACCTACAAGATGGGAGTGGGACCACTGTTTGTAGAAGTACTTTTGACTTTCGTGGTGGCAGCTGTGGTGCTTTCCCAGTATGGTAACTGGTATCGTCATCACCTGGTGGTTACTGTGGCTGTACTAGTGGCCTGGTACTTCTCCATGCTTATTGTCTTCATCCTTCCATTGGATGTCTCAAATGTGAGTATGTCTGAAATAAAAATATTTTTCATTCATTTATTTTGATTGTTTCAGATTACTTGCCTTAGGTATTTAGAGATTGGTAGATTGTTTTAAAAAGTTATCTATCCTTCAGTGTTTCAAGATTGATTATAAGTATTGAGAATTTGCTGTGTCTGTGTTGTATTAACATCTTCACATCACCTATTTATTATATACCAAAATTTTGAGCTATATTTAACATTTTTAATATAGACAATTGTAGTACAGTGGACCCCCGCATAGCGAACTTAATCCGTGCAAGAGGGCTGGTCGTTATGCGAAATGTTCGCTATGCGAATTAATTTTCCCCATAAGAAATAATGGAAATAAAATTAATCCGTGCAAGACACCCAAAAGTATGAAAAAAAAATTTTTTTACCACAAAAAAATGTTAATTTTAGTACACACAAACTGAAAAAGGCATGCACAATTACATGACACTTATTTTTAAATTGAAGATCTGGTGATGATTGATGGGATGGGAGGAGGGGAGAGCATTATCTTCTTACTGTTTAGAAGGGGAATCCCTTCCATTAGGACTTGAGGTAGCAAGTCCTTTTCTGGGGTTATTTCCCTTCTTCTTTTAATGCCACTAGGACCAGCTTGAGAGTCACTGGACCTCTGTCGCACAACAAATCTGTCCATAGAGCTCTGTACCTCCCGTTCCTTCAAGACTTTCCTAAAATGGGCCATAACATTGTCATTGAAATAGTCACCAGCACGGCTTGCAACAGCTGTGTCAGGGTGATTTTCATCCATAAAGGTTTGCAGTTCAACCCACTGTGCACACATTTCCTTAATTTTTGAAAGTAGGCACAATGGATTCCACAACGGCATAGGCTTCTCAGGGTTAGCCCCAAACCCTTCAAAATCTTTCTTAATTTCCATACTAATTCTCACCCTTTTTACCACAGGGTTGGCACTAGAAGCTTTCTGGGGCCCATGGTCACTTATTTTCCAGAAACAGCACCGAAAACACTGTAATAATACGAAATATTCCGAGTGTATGCTTGAATGTTACCGCGGAGGCTAGCTGGTAAACAATGGGACGGGCGGCACATGTGAGGCTGGCTGAGGGCCCACATTGGACGCGTCTCGGACGAAGTTCGCTGAGCGGGTTTTTGTCTACTATGCGGGGCAAAATTTCAGCGAACAAAGCGTTCGCTATGCGGATTGTTCGCTATGCAAGGCGTTCGCTATGCGGGGGTCCACTGTATACTAATTTATTGTTAAATGGTTGGTATATATGTGCTTTAGAATAGCAGAATGCAACCCTCAGTTCTGGAGTTACTCTAAAATAATTGCATCATAAGTATTACATTGTGTTGTATAAAAAAGATATAAAATTTGTTTTATGTATATGAATGAGTAAAGTTGACTGAGTGAAATGGTATGAAAGATCTATTGATGGAATTTAAAGACAAGAGAGGAGATACCACCAGAAATTGTGTGTGAGAAGTAACATTCATACTGTAATCTGATTGGGATATCAACACACTTATAAAAAGTCAGTGATTGAAAGAATGATGGTGATTGCTTTCTTGTTTTAATCACCCTGCCTTGGCAGGAGACAGCTATTGAGATAAAACAAAGCGAATGGTATTTTGTACAGCATTTATTTGTATAAAACAAATGTGCTGTATTTGTAATTACCTTTTTATAGTTACAAGAGTAGGATTATGCTCCTGGTGTCTTGACTTAGTTAATTTATTCATCTTATACTGTACTTTGTTTTTGTTGGTTGTGGTACATTCTATAGTACCTCTCGAGTGCTTTACTTTAGAGCTCATTTTAGCTTTCCAGTCACTCTATTTGTAAAACAATTTGTTGTTGTTTTCTGCAGAGCCTTTGTTGTAACTTTAAATAATGACTACTACTGCTACTACTACTATCTAATTTACATTCCCAAAAATCTACCCTTTCTGTTTTTGCGTAGCCTTTTTCAAGCATATACTCTACAGTACACTCTATTTGTTTATCTATTTGGTTATTCATCCTTTTCCACCAAAAGAATTTCAGTTGATTTTAATCTTTCATGATTCATATATCGTAGGGTAGTTTTGTAATTCATTTTGTTTTCAACATGATGTCCATTTTAATAGCTTCCTTTTAGGTTTTCAGTATTTAAGATTCTAGCAAGGGTTTTGTAATTATTGCAGTACCTCTAGAGAATTAGAATATGATTGAGCTAATGGGGTATTTAATGAATATTGCTATCTTAAACCTGTAATGATTTTGTCTAATGCTTTAAGAACGGAATATGTAATATTTACATGTTTTAATGTGTGTTGTTTGTTGTGACTGGATATGTAATTTTTAACATTAATTGATGGATGACTTTATAGTATTAGTACTCTGTAAATTCCACTATCTCATTCCATTTTGTTGCATGTAATAAAATTTTGATTTTTGTCTACATGTTTCCTTAGGTGTAGGCAATATTTTAAGTTAAAAAGTACGTATGTGGCATTTATCTTTGATAAATTCCATCATACATTTATCACCCTTTGCTTAATTTATATAAGCTTTTTACTGTTTTTTACAGTCATTTTGTTTTTCAATTTTGCAGAAGATGTTTTTGCATTATGTTTAAACATGTTGATATATAGTGAGCTCTCCTGTAATCTTTCTTTTTAATTGAATTCTTCAGCTTATTTAGTGTTTTCTTTGATTCTTAATCTATTCTTTCTGAACATATGCTTCCTAATGCTGTATAACTATTCTTGACATTTTCCATTTCCAACCCATCCATATCCTCCTAAGTTAATGATTATTTTTTTAAAATGCTAGCAATCACCCACAGAGGCAGGGTGATCTAAAAGAGGAAACACATACACCATCATTTACTCAGTAGCTGTCTTGTTAGAAGTGCACAGACATCACAACTTAAATGACCCTCTTTATAAGTAGCACAAATACTATATATGAGTAGATTTGTTTTTTGAGAAGGATCTGCATAGCATGGGTCACTAGACTTCCTGCAGTGATTCTTTATTCTTACACTCTTATCCCCACACCTACTTCAGAGTACAGTACTGTTTTTTCAGGAGTCTGACTGACTACTTTTCCTGAATTTCTTCATAAACAAAATGTTACCTTGCTCACACTCCAAAAATATCAAACCAAAAAATCTACTAGTCTAATATGCTCACACAAGAATACAGGATGTTCAAGCTCCTACCACTCAAAACCTCCTTTGCCTCTTCATCCCAACCTTTCCTAGGATGATCTTTAATCCTCCATCCTTTTCACTTCCAGTTTAAACACCCACTTGGTCATCCTGTGCTGCTCCATTCTCTCTAATTGTCCAAACCACCTCAACAACCCCTCCCCTGCCCTCTAAATTACACCTTTCCTAACCCCACACCCTTTTCTAAATTTCTGCTCTCCTGATTCTCTGCCTAATATTCACACCGCACATTACTCTTGAACATAATATAATCCACTGCCTCTAGCTCCTCTCTGCACTCTTCCTGACTACATTTGCATAATATACCATACTTGCCTGTTTCTGATTTATAATGCCACTTTTCTTTGCTTTTCCAGCATTTCCCCCCCCCCCCTTTTTTTTTTAATTTTTCATGATTCATTCTTTGTATTCATAATTTTTCAACCTTAAATATGTTAGAGTCAGTAAGTTTTTCTTTGTTTGTCAGCAAGTACAAAATGTTAATTAAATACAGCAGGCAGGTCCAGCTTTACAGGGCTTTGCTTTGTAGCGTTTCGCTGATACAGCAGTTTTCAATTATACCAGTTCTTCATTTATTCAGACTTCTATAATAAATGTATTCACCACTCATATAAGCTAAGGATGAAAATATTTAGAGGTAGGTAATGTGTGTACTGTATATGCATTTTTTAGGCCTAGCTATATTGCTCACTTAATATGTGAGAGTGTAAACATGTTATCAGGCTATTATATGCATTTGAAAGGTAAAAAGGCAATGATTCACTTTACAGCAGTAGCTCAGAACCTAACTTGCTGTGTAAGCGGGGCCCTCCTGTACATTAAAAATTTTCACGTGCAGCATTTTGACAGATATCATTTCTTTATATAGCGGTAAATGGTAAGAAAAATACCGACACAATGGAAAAATAGATACAAATGCAGTCAAAGGATCGTATTATACTGCATTTGTGTCTATTTTTCCATTTCTTTATATATTTAGACACTCGATACATTTCATATACAGTACAGCCTCTCCTTACTTAGCGACGTACTTGTTTACCGACACCTCAGACTTACGATGGGCTCTCTGACCAGTATTTATACCTAAATAATGTAGTAAATATATTAGGGCTGCTTTCCTCTATTCTGTTTATCTCAGTATACAGTACAATATAACATTTAAAAATAGACCAGAAATGTTTTAAATGGAGCAAAGGTAACATAAAAACAATATCATAGATGGCTGACAGTAACCCACTACCATTATAGTATGCTCCTCACTTAGCAACGAATTTGTTTAACGACGTGGTCTTAGGAATGGAACTCCGTCGTTAAGTGAGGAGAGGCTGTATTAGCATTTGTTATTCAAGATACAAGTAAAGGATCCCCTTTCTGATGTTTCAAAATTTGTTAAGCTCCAATATTTGAAACTTTTTTCAAGCACCAATGTGATACCATAAATGGAAAATTCAAATTGGCTTTTGGGAAGTTCCCAGGTATTGTGTAAATGTCTCCGTGCCCAAAGAGTTGCAACACATGACCTCGCATACCCTGGATGGGGCTCTGACACTGTTGGCACCAGTTTTTCAACAGTCATCACCGCCAGACCTATGTGCACACTCACTGTGATTACTGTGTGCTTTGTGCTTATTCTCTGCTCTGTTGTGCAAAGCTTTTGTTGAAATATAAAAAAAGCCTGCAAATACTACCTCTTTGGGTAACAGTGATAAGAAAAAATTCAATATACAGTAGCCTTTTAATCAAAACATGGCATTATAGGTGGAGACTGAAAACTTGCCTTACTTATTCCTTTTTAACAGCTGATGTAGGCATTTTGCTGATGCTGCTGTACTGCTGTATTAAAAATATTGTTTTTGCTATTAAAAATATTTTTTAATTAAAAATATTCTATAACACTACCATCAGGATATATGTATAAGTTGTATTTGAAATATAAATGGATTTCATATTTAGACATAGGTCCCAACCCCAAGCTATCCTGTTGTATTCCAAAATCCAAAAAATTCTGAAATCTGAGACACTTCGAGCCCTGAGCATTTCAGATAAGGGATACTCAATTTGTGCTTATTACTGGCATATGTTCAGGTGGTGTTCTTGGTAGGTAAAAATTTTTGTGTAATATGATTTTTTTGTGTTTGCTTTAATTAAAATTTGAATGTTTTCTAAAATTTGCTGTAATGTGCTTTCTTTTGTGCTTAGACAATCTACGAGAATTGTCTGCAGGATCACGCTGAACAGGCGTTAGCTAAGCACTTGAGAGCAGTAGCAAGCAGTGTAGTACCAGAGAGCAACATCAGTGATGCAACTCTGAACAACGTTTCACTGGATGAAAGCAATGAGACCATACTAACAACCACTGCACCTCCACCCTTGGAATGCCACAAGCCATGGAGTCTTGTTCCTGCAGGGGTGTTCCCTGTTTTCTGGAGAATTGTTTATTGGACATCACAATTTCTCACATGGTATGGTGCTTCCGAGTTTTCTTGAGAATTAGTTACTGTGTAACATTTCTCAAGCTTTTTCTATTTCACATATACATATTTTAGGTGTCGATGCATACTACACCTGCATATTCTAATCTTGATGTAACATACATTGCAATGTTTTCCAGTGTCTCGCCAATACCACTTATAATATCTTCCTCTCTGATACTTTCATTATTGTCTCGTGCAAGGAATTCAGACTGCAGAAATTAAAAGACATTGTGAGGTTATGAAAAGTATTATTCAGAGGACAGTGAAGTTATTTTTGAGGTGGTTTGGGCATTAATAGAGGATGGAACAGGTTAGGATAACCAACAAGTACATGTATAAATTTTACATGCAGGAGGATGGGTAGGAGGCATCCTAGAATGTTATGGAGAGAGGATTTTATAGAGGTTTAAAGTCACATGTTCATGTGTGTGTTAGACCAGAGTGAGTGAAAACAAATGGTTTTAAGGATTTGACGTGCTACTGGAGTGTGAGCAAGGTAACATTTATGAGGGGATTTAGGGAAACAAGTTTGCTAAACTTGAACACTGGAGGTAGCAGGTATTGTGCTTGCACTCTGAAGGAGGAGTGTGGATGTTACAGTTTTTAGGTACTTTTGAATTGTAATGACTACCTGGAGTCTTCCTAGAGTGGGTCACTGCCCCATTCCTAGACCAGGTGGCCTGGTAGAGGGCCTGATCAACCAGACTGTTGTGCTAACTGCATGAAATCCAGTATATGCACTACACCCCACCTGATCAGGAACTTCTGGCAAGACTTCATGCCAGATCCCAGAAAGCTTTTTCTTCCTCTCATTCTGAGCTATTACCTCTCAAAACGTCCTTCACTCCTTTCTTCTAACTCACCCTTGAACATTCCCTAAGTCTCCTTCCATTCACCCCAAGTTTATATATCCTCTTTACCATCCTATCCCTCTCAAAGGATGTTCCTTGATGATAGTGTGGGGCTCTTGATCTAAAAAATTGGACCTGATCTCTCCTTCCTTGGATTAAAAGTAATTTCCTTTTAGGCATGTATGCCCCTATGGGTTTAGCACTACTTTCCCCATGAAGGTAATTTGCCATCCTGTAATGCTCAGTTACTTCTACATGACCAAACTACCTCGGTGATTCCTCTTCTGCTCCCTGAATTATACCTTTCATACCGCCACACCATCATATAGTAATTTCTTCACTGCTTATGCTGTTCATAATATTCACACAACACATTTATCATAGACATAGTACATATTTCCTGACTTCAGCCTCATCCTTGCTACATGTAACAGCTATGCCTCACATCTATATAAAGCATTGGTACTACTGTACCCTAATACTGTACATTCCCCTTTTTTTCATCCACTGATGACCTTTCTTTCCACAGACTTTACACTCTTGTAACTTTGTTTACCTCATCTATTTTGTGATTTACTATATCTTTCACAGACTCGCCTGCCAACACAACCACTTGCAAATATTGAAAGATGACTAAATTATAAGTTTGATTAAATTATAGGCCTTTTCACAATTTTTTAGCAAGTTGTAAATGTCTTTCAGGTTAATATTACCCTTGATGCAATCTTACACCAAGGCAGGAGATTTCACCATTGGGACAAAGTTACGATCAGCTGTAATTGACAATGCAATATATTATGGGTCATACCTGCTCATTGTGGGGATCCTCCTACTTTACATAGCACTCACTGATCTTGGTCTTGATGGGTGAGTATTGAATAATAGTAGCATTCATAGTGCAATGCTGTTTTGTTTTCCTAATACTACAGTACATTTAAATGTAGGCGACCTGGATGTAATCTGCCTAGCTGTTTTCGTTCAATATGAACAAAAAGTGAAAGGTATTATTTTGAAATTTAAATGAATTTAGAGTGTGATAATTGTATTCATATGAGAAAATGCCAATGAAATGTAAATTGTTTGAAATACCTTTTGAGCAGATTTAACCACCACATGTTTGGCAGATAAGCAGTACATATAAGTGATATGTATACTATACTCAGATCTCATACATGTTCTGTGTATGTTATGTACATGAATATGCTCTGATGTAATGTACATCTGTAGCTTTAGCACTGTCATGTACCACATTAATACTAAATGTACATATAAAATACTTTAGTGTATCACAACATCCGTGGTCATATGGTGTGTTAAAACGAACCAGCTGTGCCTACTATAACAAGCACCAAGATTAATTGTTAATGCACTATACAGTGCTGGTCACTAAAGTATGCCTGGTGGAGGTGCCCAGCATACTTTAATGCTGAAATAATACCCAGCCCTATTATGTGTTTTAGTGCAGCAAGAATTAATACTGGTATGGCAACATATAGTGAGATGCAACAGGATTCCTTAAGGCTACTGTATGAAAAGGTAAATCCCAGGTGGACATTAGGTAAAACATGGAATGGAAAGGATCTACTGTAGATATTTTGGACTCAATGAGAAACCCTCTTCTGCAGGTTGAAACTGAAATATACAAATCTCATTTATTCTGTTTCCAGTTCATGTGGGATTTGCCTTTTCATTGATCAGTGTTTGACTTGTAGTAAAGCATTTATGTATATAATCTTGAGTATTGCATTCAGTGACACATCTAAAATCTCTGTAGAGCAAAGTTGCGTGCCATTGCTGCATCAGCTTCCAACACTTGGGGTTTATTCTGGCTGGTGTTGCTGTTGGGCTATGGTCTAGTAGAAGTACCACGATCTATATGGCACTCTGCTTCCATTGCCCATACACTTCACCATTCATATTTCCGAGCAGCTAAACTGTCTCAAGAACGAGCCGAGTCCAGTGAACGGGTTAATGACCTTCTACAGGTAAGTCTTCATTTTCATTTAATCTTTTACAAATGCTAGGCTTTCCTTGATTTGCTTAGACTAACTTTATTTGTACTGTAATTGATAAACTTGAAAATATTCTAATTATGCTGCCTAATTTTTCATCAAAATTGGATTTTGAATGCAGTGATACAGCATTACATAACACTTTTTAAAATAATTGTAGCATCATACTGACTGAGGAAATATGTAAATAATATATTCTCTCATAAGCTTGATGCAATAATGGATTTACAGAGCATGCTTGCTGCTGAGTTAATGATTTAATACATATATTAATGGATTTTCAGAGTATGCGTGCCCTTGGTGGAAGTATAGGACCAGGGCACCCACTTCGTTCTCATATGGATGTCATTGAGAACAAAATTCCCACAGAGTTGCTAGATCGCATTTGCAGGCAAGCACCACTAGACTCTCCTCATGCTGATGTGCCCTCGGAAAAGGCTTTGGTCAGGTTGCACAAACAGGTAAATAAGGTTGAAGTTCTTTAACACATTGGCTATCTCCCACCAAAGCAGAGTGATCTAAAGAAGGAAACATATTCGCTATTGCTTAGTCTCTAGCAGTCTTTCCAGAATTGCAGACATCTTACTTTACATAACCCTCCAATTCACAACATCACCACCCATCTTTTGAAGTGCAGGTGCTGTACTTCCCACCTCCGAGTAAAGCTAGCTGGATTTTCTGAGTTCCTTCATAAGTGTTACCTTGCTCTCACTCACACAGCATATCAATTCCTAAAAACCACTTGACTCTTTGCATTCCACTGTTGGATGCTCATATCCCTAACTCTCAAAACATTTACACCTTTCTTTCAACCCTTCCTGGAATGTCCTTTATGCTTTCCATCCATCCCAAGTTTATTCACCCTTTTGGTCATCCTGTCTTGCTCCATCATTAGTACAGAAGATTGTCAATTAACACGTAATCTATTAACACTTTTTGAAATTTTCAATGAGTGCACTGTATTATGTAGCAAGTAATAAAATTAAGAGATAATAGCTAAAAGGGGGTACATACAAGGCTAGTAACTAATAACTTCATTGTAACTGGTCATTCCTGTGCCTTTAACAGTTATTGACTTAAGGTAGGTGTAGGAGAGGCTGAAAAGGGAGAGGAGAGTACTGTACATGCATTTTGAAGATTTTTGTGAAATTGTATTTAATTTGTTGTGATAGGTGACTGGAGAGCCCTGCTTGGGTTATCTTAATGGAGTCAAGCTTTTTCTATTTCTTGCATCCTTTTCCAGCTGAATTACCTAACTAAAATTTATTCTTTATCCCATATGACAGTAGAAATAATAACTATATTAAAACACAGCTGATCAAGGCTCTACAAAATCAGCGTCGTGTTGAAACACAGTGGGGATTGCTGGTAGAGAAGATTGTGACTTTGGAAGACACACATCGCAATGCAATCTCACATGATACGTCCTTCAAGCACTCTACACCCCCTCGTAGACATTACATCATCACCTACATATATACACCAACTATAGGTAATGTTTTTCGGCTTGGAGTATATTTTTAATAATGGTTTGCTTATCTGAAAATCATATAAATCCAGTAGATAATTTAAGATTTTTATTCTGCAGTGGATGTTGGTTAATTCATTGTATCCAAGTATCAAAAGCTGTCAGGGATAATTCACTTATGAATTGTCATTTTAATTCATTAATCACTTTTCATAAACATACAATACAGGTCTATGCATTGTGCATAACTGCAGCCATAGTGTTGGCATCTTTGGTGCATAGCAACATCTAGCTTGTTGCTTTATTTGTGCACTTTATGTTTCATATGTTGTAGGTAGTAGGCTGGTAGACAGCAACCGCCCAGGGAGGTACTACCGTTCTGCCAAGTAAGTGTAAAACGGAAACCTGTAATTGTTTTGCATGATGGTAGGATTGCTGGTGTCTTTTTTCTGTCTCACAAACATGCAAGATTTCAGGTACATCTTGCTACTTCTTCACACTACACATACTACGTGTACAAGCGTATATATACACACCCCTCTGGGTTTTCTTCTGTTTTCTTTCTAGTTCTTATTCTTGTTTATTTCCTCTTATCTCTATGGGGAAGTGGAACAGAATTCATCTATAAGCCATGCGTGTTGTAAGAGGCGACTAAAATGCCAGGAGCAAGGGCCTAGTAACCCCTCCTCCTGTACAAATTACTAAATTTAAAAAGAGAAACTTGTTTTTCTTTTTGGGCCACCCTGCCTTGGTGGGATACGGCCGGTTTGTTGAAAAAAAAAATTCAACAAACTGGCCGTATCCCACCAAGGCAGAGTGGCAGGAGACGGCGGCCGACTTGTTGAAAAATCAGTAATCAGTGTTGTTTCCTTGACTATTCTCATATTTCTCTTCAAAGCTTCAAAACACAGTGCCAAGATCTTAAACAAACAATATCAGTATCCTATGTACTAGAATCGATAAATATATATTTCTATAGTGTGAAGTGCTTTTATACCCTTTATTATTAAAGCTTATTTTATTTTTTTTTTTTTCAACAAGTCAGCCGTCTCCCACTGAGGCAGGGTGACCCAAAAAAAGAAAGAAAATCCCCAAAAAGAAAATACTTTCATCATCATTCAACACTTTCACCACACTCACACATTATCACTGTTTTTGCAGAGGTGCTCAGAATACAACAGTTTAGAAGCATATATGTATAAAGATACACAACATATCCCTCCAAACTGCCAATATCCCAAACCCCTCCTTTAAAGTGCAGGCATTGTACTTCCCATTTCCAGGACTCAAGTCCAACTATATGAAAATAACCGGTTTCCCTGAATCCCTTCACTAAATATTACCCTGCTCACACTCCAACAGATTGTCAGGTCCCAAGTATCATTCGTCTCCATTCACTCCTATCTAACACGCTCATGCACGCTTGCTGGAAGTCCAAGCCCCTCGCCCACAAAACCTCCTTTACCCCCTCTTTCCAACCCTTTCGAGGACGACCCCTACCCCTCCTTCCTTCCCCTATAGATTTATATGCTTTCCATGTCATTCTACTTTGATCCATTCTCTCTAAATGACCAAACCACCTCAACAACCCTCTTCTGCCCTCTGACTAAAGCTTTTATTAACTCCACACCTTCTCCTAATTTCCACACTCCGAATTTTCTGCATAATATTTACACCACACATTGCCCTTAGACAGGACATCTCCACTGCCTCCAACCGTCTCCTCGCTGCTGCATTTACCACCCAAGCTTCACATCCATATAAGAGTGTTGGTACTACTATACTTTCATACATTCCCTTCTTTACCTCCATAGATAACGTTTTTTGACTCCACATATACCTCAACGCACCACTCACCTTTTTTCCCTCAATAATTCTATGATTAACCTCATCCTTCATAAATCCATCCGCCGACACGTCAACTCCCAAGTATCTGAAAACATTCACTTCTTCCATACTCCTCCTCCCCAATTTGTTTTATACAAATATTTATTTCAATATATACTGTCCTCCAGAATGGCTTTGGAGGTGCCGTGTGAGAGGATATCTTCTACGTGCTCTTGCTGTGTGCTTTGCCCTAGTGTCAGTGGTGGTTGTCTGGTCAGAGTTAACATTCTTCAGCACCAACCCAACCATCTCATTGTTTGCAGTTTTTGTCAACCTTGCCAAGACAAATTATGATTACTTTACAATTGAGGTAACTTGATTTTATTTTTAATGAGTTGCCTTTAGAGAGTATCTTATTGCTTTTCTGTCATTTATACAGCATAGTGAAGTATGCCATATTACTAATGGTCATAACACAGTAATGTAAATCTTTGGTATATTTTCCCAGTGTATTTAGTTATGCATAAGTGATGTAATATTGGGGGTAGGGGTTGCCCTAGTAAAGGTTGGAGGGAGGGGGTAAAGGAGATTTTGTGTGTGAGGGGCTTGGATTTTCAGCAAGCATGCATGTTAGATAGGAGCCAGTGGAGACAAATGTTTTTTATGACTTGACATGCTGTTGGAGTGTGAGCCAAGTAACATATATGAAGGGATTCAGGGAAACCAGTTAGCTGGACTTGAATCCTCAATGTAGGAAGTACATTGCCCACGCTCCAAAGGAGAGTTGTTGTTATGTTGTAGTTTTTATCTGTAGTGTAGGTGCACCACTGGCAAGATGGTGATGGAATGAATGGGAATGAATGGTTATAAAAGTGTTTCTTCTTTTTTGTGTCACCCTGCCTCAGTGGATAACGGCTGATGTGTTAATAAAACAAAAAATAAGTATAATTTGCTGCTTATAAGACTGTATTTTTTCAGTTTTATATGTCTTTCTTCTTTCAACAAACTGGCCATATCCCACTGAAGCAGCGTGGCCCAAAAAGAAAAAAGTACAGAAAAACAAAAGTTAGAAGAAAAACATAAGTTCAAAGGAAAAACAAAACTAATTTTATGTGTATTTCCTTTCATTTATCAGTGAAAGACTATATTTTCAAATAAATCTAATATATTTGGTTATTTCTTTGCAGGTACTTGTGGCTTAGCGCTTCTTTTTGATTATAATAATAATTCTTTGCAGGTAATATCCTCCTTGTCAATGGCATACATAGCCCTGTGTGCTTATTCAACACTATTTAAGATTCGTGTGCTAAACCTGTATTACCTAGCACCTCATCACCAAACTGATGAATATTCTCTCATATTTTCTGGGATGATGCTATGTCGCCTCACTCCACCAATGTGCCTCAATTTCCTCTCTCTTATACACATGGACTCTCATGTTATCAAAGTGCACACTGAAGAGACACATTATACACAGGTATGTAAAACTGCGTGTTATTTACAAGAGTAAATGTACATTATAGTATTTCAATAATGGTCATGTGTAAAATACTTTAAATAATAGTTAAAGATAGAAGGAAGAAAGAAAAGAAAGTAAACTGCTTGATAAATGGATTATTTTAGTGAGTGAGTGAGAGAGCTTAAGTATATGAGCATACTTACAAAATCGTATTAACATGATTGCAAACAAATCACGAGTAGGGCTTGAACCCACAGCAGGCGAGTCCAAAAACTCACAAGGCAGTGTATTAACCACTGGTCCACAATAAAACATCACATTAGTTGCATCTGTGTCCTTTTACTTAACATTCCTATGGTGTATAGAAGTATACCTGGTCAGTTGAATATTGTTATGCCTGTCATGGATCAGCAGTTAGCACACTGGCCTGCGAGCTTTAGGACCCTTCTGCCATGGGTTTGAGCACCAGTTAGCCAGACTTTTCTGGTGGTGGGAAGTAGAGTGAGGAATGGGCAGGGATGTTAAGGTTGAGTGGTTCACTTTCATTGTAATGTCCATACACTTAAGGACAAACAGCTAGAGAATGAGTGATGATGAGTGCAGTTTTCTTTATTTTTGTCACCCCGCCTTGGTGGGGAAATGACCAAAGTGATATAAAAATAAATATTTAATATTTAGAAAAATTAATTAACAATAATTAGAGTTTGGGATATTTGATGTTTGGAATGACTTCTGAATTGTTGTATCCGAACGCCTCTGCGAAGACGTTACGTGTGAATGATGGTGAAAGTGAGTGTCGAATGATGGTGAAACTATTTCTTTTTGGGGTCACCCTGCTTCAGTGGGAGATGGCTGGCATGTTAAAAAAAAAAAATTAGCTTAAAACTGTTTTTTTCATTTTTGTACAGATAATGGGTCATATGGATGTTATAAAGATCATCAGTGATGGATTCAACATTTACTTCCCAATGATGATTGTGGCACTTTGTTTGGCTACATATTATAGCTTAGGATCCAGACTTCTGTCTGCTCTTGGCTTCCAACAGTTTATGTGTGATGATGATCTCACGACAGATCTCATTGAGGAAGGCAAAACACTAATAAGTAGAGGTATGAAAAATAATGAATTTTGGTTATCTATAATGCCTAAATGTTTTGCCATCTGACCAAAATGCATCAGGATAAATGTTGTTTGATACATTTAACTGAAAGATAATGGTATACATAATTAAAAGATTTTGTTTCAGAATCCCGTCGCCGCCAGAGAATGGAAGATAATGCTGCTCGTCGGAAAAACTTCACAGAGAGATTTGGGGGTGGAGAATCATCAGCTAGTATGTACAGGTAAGACAGTGATCTCCGACAGATTTGCAGTTGGTTGGAGGAAGCAAAGGTGCCTCCTTGGCACTGAGGGTTTCAGCACATGTTTATGTAACAAGCCCCCCCTTTTTATTTTCTTCCCAGCAAGCATGCACGAGTGTGTTAGGAGTGAATGGAGACGAATGGTTGTTGGAACCTGATGAGCTCTTGAAGTGTGAGCAGGGTAATATTTTGTGAAGAGTTTCAGGGAAATCTGTTAGCTGGACTTGAGTCCTGGAAATGGAAAGTACAATGCCTGCACTTTAAAGGAGGGGTTTGGGATATTGGCAGTTTGGAGGGATGTAAACTGTCGTATCTGAGCATCTCTACATAGACAGTGTTTGAGTGATGGTGAAAGTGTTGAATGATGAAAGTTTTTTCTTTCTTTTTGGGTTACCCTGCCTCGGTGGAAGTGGCCAACATGTTAAAAAAAAAAGGCTTGTGGGGAAGAAGTAAAAAAAAATGCCATAAAAACATGTTTAGATAGTTCTTCCTGGAAGCTTCCTGTAAAGTTAATGAGGTAACAAGACATAAGATATACAGTATTTAGCTATAGTCAGCATTGCCATTTTCCACTTTTAAGAGGATACCTTGATGCCAGTGAAATACTCATAAAATTGAAAGAATTGGAGCTGTTCTTTCATTCCTCAGATCAATTCCCAAGCACTGTGCTGGGAGCTAAGAATTGTTGATGGGCTTAAAATTCACACTAAAATTCAAAATGATAAACAGTCTTATGAGTTTGTAATTTGTAAGGACTTTCAACATTGCATTTATATTTTTGTTTTGTGATACTTCAGTGTCTCTGAAAAAAATTATCCTAACTTTTATAGGCCTATTCTGATGATAGGCCTTGAGCTTTAGCTTGCTCAGTCCATGCCTCATAGTGCCATTTCCCTACATGTTTACTGCCTCCCCATGGATATAATACTGTAGTATTGGCAGTTTGGAGGGATATGTTGTGTATCTTTATACGTATATGCTTCTAAACTGTTGTATTCTGAGCACCTCTGCAAAAACAGTGATAATGTGTGAGTGTGGTGAAAGTGTCGAATGATGATGAAAGTATTTTCTTTTTGGGGATTTTCTTTCTTTTTTGGGTCACCCTGCCTCGGTGGAAGACGGCCGACTTGTTGAAAAAAAAAAAAAAAAAGTAAAAGGTGGGGAGGCAATAATTCAGAAAGAATGGAAAATATATGGAGGAAAAAGGAAAGGCCTATGTTTTTCATAATATTGCACCCCTTCAAGGAGGGGTCTCTTGTTGCTGGTGAATGGCTCTTCATTCAAGGAATTAGAGCTATGCTTACCTGCTCCGGTAGTTTCCCAGGTAATACATATTAGAGATGTATCAATGTGAAAATTTAGATAGCCACAGATGCAGAGGTGTATGAGGATGTTTTACTTATTTTGCGGATGTAAGAAATTGTCCGGCTGCTCCGCAGATGTTGATGTGGATATAAGAAATTGTGAGGATGTTCCGCGGATGCGGATATCCGATACATCACTAATGCATATGACCTTTAATACCATAAATACTAGCATACAAGTTAATTTTTGTGGCTTGTGTGAAAGCTATAAAATTGCCAGTACTACACCTCTTAAAAATAATTCAGTTTTGGGCTCTTGCATTAGTTTTGTGCCATATCTCTTAAAATGCTGATTTTAAACTTTATTTCATTTGAAGTTATTAAATGAACCCAAGCATTTTCCTGATATGCTTGCAGTATACCATTTACATTGGGCTTGGGAATATTACTGCTAATTGCTGTGGACCCTTTCAGAGTGAGCTTCATGCTGTGGGGAAATCATTCAGAGAGCCAATATGCAAATCTTTTTCTCAGATTTACTCTCCTACCTTCAGTTTCAGTTTAATATACTTTAATCACTACTCATTATCCATCCATTGAGCATTACCATACAGATACACTGACATAGTATAAAATAATTTATGTAATTTTTTAGGTCAGCACGACAAAGAGCAGAAGAGCTAGTTCAGCCATTGAAACGGGAAGATTCATCCGAGTCTGCTCAGCTTGAGCTTCTTGGCGGCTCAGACAGTGTTGCTGACTACTCTTCACGTACAACCACCTCCTCTCTGACCATGGAGGATGACCTGGAAGCTGGCCATGGAGGTGGCAGGATGTCTGCAGTCTCTGGGCTGACGCAATATTCCCGAGTCCGGACACACAAGCCTGATAAAGGGCTGTTTGATGATGTATAAGTAGTGTATAAGAACATACATAAGTGTTATTTGTTCTAATGAAGAGCCGAAAAATACATTCTCAGAATAGTTTATTTTATCAAATTTCAAGTTAATAAATATATTTAATATTTAAAATATGACATTTTTTCTGTAATGAATCAATTTTACAAATGAAACAAAACCAGATTTTTTTCAAACTTATTTTGCTACACTATTATCCATTAGTTTTTACTGCATTACTGTATTTCAACAAAAATCTGCAAGCTTTCATTACATTGCACTGACCTACATTTGTTAGTGCTGAAATGTTATTTCTTACCTGCTGCTGACAAGTTAAGTGATTAAAAAAAACTTGCAAAAAGGTATGATAGTTAAAATGTATAATTTTGAAGTACAGTAGATGAAAAAAAAAATAACTTTTAACTTATAATAAATTATGCTTAATTAAAAAAAAGATGCCATAACTTCTAAAAATGTTATTAACAAAGATAAAAAAAGAAGATAATTACTGTGAAATCTCTTATGCTAGTATCCTTGTAATACACGGTATATACTACATGATATGCTTTATTTCTAGTATTGGCTCGGATAGTAGTAAAATAGCATATTAGTAATTATATACTAGAACCACTACCTTTTTTTTTTTTTTCAAAATAATTTCTGTAGCTCAATGAATTGCTGGTGGTACTGTATCTGCTTATCATTTTTGACTAACCAGGGTGGTAATCTAGATGTACAGTACATGGTGTTGATAGAAATTTAGACAATAAAACTGTATGAATGCAATTGAGGAGACATCTCTTGCAATTTCCCAGATACTTAACAGTAAGCCATTTTTAGCCTGCCATAGTAAATACAGTGCAAATTTTGTCCATTTGTGTGACTGAACCTGCCTTTAGAAGTAAAGTTAGTAATATTCTTTAATGATGTTTTGGTCTCCCCCATGAACTTTAGCTTTAAGAAAGATTTTAGTAATAATACAGTTTATGAAACCTGACAAAGAAATATAAATGAGTTATCTTGAGTTAAAACAATATTAACACTATTGGTTATATATATATTGGTTATATATATATATTGGAGAAGAGAGAAGTGTAGAGGAGAGAGAGAGATTCTGGGAAATGTTGAGTGAATGCATGGGGAGTTTTGAATCAAGTGTGAGAGTAATGGTGGTTGGGGATTTCAATGCTAAAGTGGGTAAAAATGTTATGGAGGGAGTAGTAGGTAATTTTGGGGTGCCAGGGGTAAATGTAAATAGGGAGCCTTTAATTGAGCTATGTGTAGAAAGAAATTTGGTAATAAGTAATACATATTTTATGAAAAAGAGGATAAATAAATATACAAGGTATGATGTAGCACGTAATGAAAGTAGTTTGTTAGATTATGTATTGGTGGATAAAAGGTTGATGGGTAGGCTCCAGGATGTACATGTTTATAGAGGGGCAACTGATATATCGGATCATTATTTAGTTGTAGCTACAGTTAGAGTAAGAGGTATGATGGGAAAAGAGGAAGGTGGCAACAACAAGTAAGAGGGAGGTGAAAGTGTATAAACTAAGGGAGGAGGAAGTTCGGGCGAGATATAAGCGACTATTGGCAGAAAGGTGGGCTAGTGCAAAGATGAGTAGTGGGGGGGTTGAAGAGGGTTGGAATAGTTTTAAAAATGCAGTATTAGAATGTGGGCAGAAGTTTGTGGTTATAGGAGGGTGGGGGCAGGAGGAAAGAGGAGTGATTGGTGGAATGATGAAGTAAAGGGTGTGATAAAAGAGAAAAAGGTAGCTTACGAGAGGTTTTTACAAAGCAGAAGTGTTATAAGAAGAGCAGAGTATATGGAGAGTAAAAGAAAGGTGAAGAGAGTGGTGAGAGAGTGCAAAAGGAGAGCAGATGAAAGAAATTTTTATGAAAATAAGAAAAAATTTTGGAGTGAGTTAAACAAGTTAAGAAAGCCTAGGGAAAGTATGGATTTGTCAGTTAAAAACAGAGTAGGGGAGTTAATAGATGGGGAGAGGGAGGTATTAGGTAGATGGCGAGAATATTTTGAGGAACTTTTAAATGTTAAGGAAGAAAGGGAGGCAGTAATTTCGTGCACTGGCCAGGGAGGTATACCATCTTTTAGGAGTGAAGAAGAGCAGAATGTAAGTGTGGTGGAGGTACGTGAGGCATTACGTAGAATGAAAGGGGTAAAGCAGCTGGAACTGATGGGATCATGACAGAAATGTTAAAAGCAGGGGGGGATATAGTGTTGGAGTGGTTGGTACTTTTGTTTAATAAATGTATGAAAGAGGGGAAGGTACCTAGGGATTGGCAGAGAGCATGTATAGTCCCTTTATATAAAGGGAAAGGGACAAAAGAGATTGTAAAAATTATAGAGGAATAAGTTTACTGAGTATACCAGGAAAAGTATACGGTAGGGTTATAATTGAAAGAATTAGAGGTAAGACAGAATGTAGAATTGCGGACGAGCAAGGAGGCTTCAGAGTGGGTAGGGGATGTGTAGATCAAGTGTTTACATTGAAATATATATGTGAACAGTATTTAGATAAAGGTAGGGAAGTTTTTATTGCATTTATGGATTTAGAAAAGGCATATGATAGAGTGGATAGAGGAGCAATGTGGCAGATGTTGCAAGTATATGGAATAGGTGGTAAGTTACTAAATGCTGTAAAGAGCTTTTATGAGGATAGTGAGGCTCAGGTTAGGGTGTGTAGAAGAGAGGGAGACACTTCCCGGTAAAAGTAGGTCTTAGACAGGGATGTGTAATGTCACCATGGTTGTTTAATATATTTATAGATGGGTTGTAAAAGAAGTAAATGCTAGGGTGTTCGGGAGAGGGGTGGGATTAAATTATGGGGAATCAAATTCAAAATGGGAATTGACACAGTTACTTTTTGCTGATGATACTGTGCTTATGGGAGATTCTAAAGAAAAATTACAAAGGTTAGTGGATGAGTTTGAGAATGTGTGTAAAGGTAGAAAGTTGAAAGTGAACATAGAAAAGAGTAAGGTGATGAGGGTATCAAATGATTTAGATAAAGAAAAATTGGATATCAAATTGGGAGGAGGAGTATGGAAGAAGTGAATGTTTTCAGATACTTGGGAGTTGACGTGTCGGCGGATGGATTTATGAAGGATGAGGTTAATCATAGAATTGATGAGGGAAAAAAGGTGAGTGGTGCGTTGAGGTATATGTGGAGTCAAAAAACGTTATCTATGGAGGCAAAGAAGGGAATGTATGAAAGTATAGTAGTACCAACACTCTTATATGGGTGTGAAGCTTGGGTGGTAAATGCAGCAGCGAGGAGACGGTTGGAGGCAGTGGAGATGTCCTGTTTAAGGGCAATGTGTGGTGTAAATATTATGCAGAAAATTCGGAGTGTGGAAATTAGGAGAAGGTGTGGAGTTATAAAAGTATTAGTCAGAGGGCAGAAGAGGGGTTGTTGAGGTGGTTTGGTCATTTAGAGAGAATGGATCAAAGTAGAATGACATGGAAAGCATAAAATCTATAGGGGAAGGAAGGCGGGGTAGGGGTCGTCCTCGAAAGGGTTGGAGAGGGGGTAAAGGAGGTTTTGTGGTAAGGGCTTGACTTCCAGCAAGCGTGCGTGAGCGTGTTAGATAGGAGTGAATGGAGACGAATTTGGGACTTGGGACCTGACGATCTGTTGGAGTGTGAGCAGGGGAATATTTAGTGAAGGGATTCAGGGAAACCGGTTATTTTCATATAGTCGGACTTGAGTCCTGGAAATGGAAGTACAATGCCTGCACTTTAAAGGAGGGGTTTGGGGTATTGCAGTTTGGAGGGATATGTTGTGTATCTTTATATGTATATGCTTCTAAACTGTTGTATTCTGAGCACCTCTGCAAAAACAGTGATAATGTGCGAGTGTGGTGAAAGTGTTGAATGATGATGAAAGTATTTTCTTTTTGGGGATTTTCTTTCTTTTTTGGGTCACCCTGCCTCGGTGGGAGACGGCCGACTTGTTAAAAAAAAAAAAAAAAAAAAAAAAATATTAAAAAATCAATCTCTTTTAAATATCTCACACGTCACTGTTCTACTGGGGTAGGGGGAACCAGAAAGAAAGAAAAAACTTTAAATCTCGTTCAGCCTTTCACCATCACTCTACAAATTCACTGTCTTGCAGAAGCACTCAGATAGACATTTAGATGTCCCTCCAACCTGCCAAATTCCAAACCCCTCCTTTAAGTGCGGGCATAGTACTTTCCCTTTTCCCGGGCCCCAAATCCACTAACCTTTTTTTCCCTAAAATCCCTTACAAAATATTACCCTCTCCACCCCAACCTTGAGGGGTCTAAAAAACTTTTCATCTCCATTCACTCTATAAAACACCTCACGCACTCTTGCTTAAGTCCAATCACCTCACCCAAAAAACTTCCTTTTTACCCCCTCCCTCCAACCTTTTTAAGGATTCCCCCTACCCCTGCCTTCCCTTTTCCCCTACAGTTTTTAAATGCCTTCATGTCTTCTACTTTGTTCCTTCCCTTTTTAAATGACCACCTCAACAGCCCTTCTCAGCCCTCTGACTAATATTTTTTAGCAACTCCACACCCCCTTTAAATTTTCCACACTACGAATTCTCTGCATAATATTTACACCAAAAATTGCCCAAACTAAAATACGGGCCCCAGCCTCCCCTCACTGCAGTATTTACAACCCATGTTTTCACCCCCCATATAAGTGTTTTTTTGGTACCATATACTATGCCTTGTACTTTGCTTTCTTTGCCCCTGGATAACATTTTTTCTCCACAATACTTCAAAGCATACTCATTTTTTTTTCCTTAAATTCTAGGTTAAACCTCATCCTTCAAAACCCATCTGCTGATAAGTCAACCCCCAAAATTAAAACATTCACTTTTCCCATATCTCTCCGTAATTGATATCCGTTTTTATCGAAAATTTTTTGATGCCCCATCACTGTACTCTTTTCTATGTTCACTTTTTAATTTCTACCTGACACACCCTCCCCAAACCCTTTACTAACCTTGGCAACTTTTCTTTAAACTCCCAAAACCACAGTATACAAAAAAACTGGTCAACTCCCAATTTTTATATGGTTCCCCTAATTTTTTTAAACCCACCCCTCTCCCCGCACCCTAGCATTTCTTTTTTTTACAACCTCATCTTTAATATGTTTAAAAACCATAATTTTTTAATAGCTTTTTTTGTGTGTATTTTTTCAGTTTTTTTTGCTGCAAAGATGACACTGAATGAGTAAAAAGTCTCAGACAGTGAGCAAGGCATTAGAAATTTTATAATTGGTCATTAATTTGCAGTGAGGCACACACTGTACCTGCTTTAACGTGTATTCTTACACATAAAATGCTGACACTGTACAGTTCAACTAACCTAATTATACTTTTGAAAACATCCTTCACTGCATCTGTAATTACACAACACTACTGTTCTTTATATATCACTAATCTTTCTTCTGACTTTTGCATACTGTATGCCTTATCATCACAGCAGCTTCCTGCCATAACTTCCTTGAACTAAGATTTTTTATAAAAAAGTTAAGGTACAATGCTTCCCCCTGATTAAAATAAATTGCCTCCCATTCCCCAAGCTCTATATGACCCCCCTATGGGTTTAGTACTTAACTCCTGATTATTATGTAGATGAATGGCTCAGAGAACCGACAAGTTGATAAATTACACACGTCTAATTCATCATCCCGATTATAATAATTTTTATAAATACAGTGGTACCCCATGTTTCATATAGCTCCCAACTCGAACAATTATGTAAATGTATTATTGTAAGTGCTTTTGTAAGTATTTTTGGGGGTCTGGAAGGGACTAATCTAATTTACATTATTCCTTATGGGAACAAATTCATTTGGTAACGGCACTCGAACAGCCTTCTGGAACGAATTATGGCCGAAACTCGGGGTACCACTGTACTAACTCTCTTTGTAATAATTTTTGCTTATTTTTTTTTTCCTCTCCAGAAACCAGTTTAACACTATACATGAAAGTCTGGATCAAAACTCATTCCTGAAAATGTTATTCGCTAGATAATTTTAAAAGCATCCAGTTTTGAATTGTCAGTTGTCCTGATATCTTTAAGAGGAACAAATGTCTTCATGCTGGCATAGGACTCTTGATGCAAGGGACTGGAGCTACCTTCCTTGGGTCAAACCTGATTACCTCCAATTCTGCAAGCACTATATAACCCCTACAGGTTTAGCACTTCCATATGAATCAAATAATTAATTCTCCCAACCTCCACTCACATTTTGTCAAGGCTTGAAATAAGAAGAGAATCTCTTAATCCTATTTATTACCATACCTTTGCATATTAATTTGTATTTTACAAAGCATGGCTGTAAAAAAAAGCTGTACATTGATTTAAGGACCTATAGGAAAATAAAATTATTAAACATATAAATACAATCGTCTAATTACATTTTGTCGTCTTCTTGAATGACTTGACCATACTCTCTGGCATTGGCTGGTATGGCTTGTTATCAAGTCTAGTTGTCTGCCCAAGAATTCTTGCACCTATAAAAATAAAAACATTTGAAAAAAATAGCTATGGGTTTAGCACTCCAAGATAAAAATAAAGAATGGTTATCACCTGTTCACATTATGTGAAAGCTAAATACAGTGTTGGTTTTCACTTGTACTTCAAATGTACTGTAAAGAGAAAAGTTGCAACAGGAATTTACTGTATCTAGCTGTGGTACTAATTTATAATAGGCATGTGTGGATAATGTACCCCCTATGATTATTTGGGTTGCACAAAGCCATAATTCTGTAATTTCTTAAAACTATTATGTGTGATTATAAAGAAATTAAAGATATCAGGATTATACCACTGATGTTGAAGAATTTCATTAAATATTTATCAAATAAAATACTGTGTATCAAAATCTAAGAGTTGTGGTAATTTATCCAAAAGGAATAAACCATGCATGCCCTTAAGTTTACTTTAAAATCTTTACTCAGAATTTCTTGAAACTAGAAACTATGAGCCTTGTCCAATTCATAACCTCTATGAATTCATGATAGTCAAGATCTAAAATAGTCAAAAGAAAAATCTACTAGGCTTACGGTAACACCCATCATCCTTTCTCACAGCTTGTATAACACTTGTTCGTAGAATTTCTTCCACCTGCTGTCCAACCGTGATGAGCTGGTAACGTTATTGAATCTGCATTAGTCACTGGCTTGTATTAAGTAGATTTGTTTGGTGTTTTGGACCATAACCTTTAGACAATATTTTCAGTAACCAATACTCTCTAAGTGCAAAAAAACACTGTGCTACATAATACTGGATGTAAAACTGGTGCTAAATGTTAAAAAAATCAAGTAAATAATACATGTATTTTCAGACTGACAAGCTACTGTGTGTAAGGGTAGCTTTAGTAGAATAGTACTATATTTCCTCCACAAAAATACAATTTACATACTACAAAACAGTGCCATCACATAATACTTTTTTTTTTTGCTGGATGATTACATTCTCTAAGACGCCTGATTTCTATGGGATGAGTGAATTCTGAAGACTACACATTGCTATATGACTTGAGTTTATAAATAAAAGGATGACCCTACTCCACCTTCCTACCCCCACAGATTTATACACTCTCCAAGTCATTCTACTTTGTTCCATTCTCTCTAAATGACCAAACCACCTCAACAACCCCTCTTCAGCCCTCTGACTAATACTTTTAGTAACTCCACACCTCTTAATTTCCACACTACAAATTCTCTGCATAATATTTACACCACACATTGCCCTTAGACATGACATCTCCATATATATATATATGTTGTGCCGAATAGGTAAAACTTGCATTTTTGGCTTAAATCGCAACGCTCTTCTTGCTGAATAAGGCAAATGAAAATTTGTATTTTTTTTTTTAACACATCGGCCGTTTCCCACTAAGGTAGGGTGGCCCGAAAAAGAAAAAAAACTTTCACCATCATGCACTCCATCACTGTCCTGCCAGACGCATGCTTACACTACAGTTATAAAACTGCAACACTAACACCCCTCCTTCAGAGTGCAGGCACTGTCCTTCCAATCTTCAGGACTCGGGGTCCGGCCTGCCGGAATCCCTTCATAACATTACCCTGCTCGCACTCCAACAGCACGTCAAGTCCTAAAAACCAATTGTCTCCATTAGCTCCTATCTAACACACTCATGCATGCTTGCTGAAAGTCCAAGCCCCTAGCATGTAAAACCTCCTTTACCCCCTCCCTCCAACCTTTACTAGGCCAGCCTCTACCCCACCTTCCCTCCACTACAGATTTATACACTCTCAAAGTCATTCAATTTTGTTCCCAATTCTCTACATGTCGAACCACCTGAACCCCTCCTTGGCTCTCTGGATAATAGTTTTGGTAATCCCACACCTCCTCCTAATTTCCAAACTACGAATTCTCTGCATTATATTCACACCACACATTGCCCTCAGACATGACATCTCCAGTCTCCAGCCTTCTCCTTGTTGCAACATTCACTACCGATGCTTCACACCCATATAAGAGTGTTGGTATAACTATACTCTCATACATTCCCCTCTAAATTCCATTATGTTACACAAATAGATAAGTAGTGTACACTTGTCTAAGAGTTTTCAGAGTCAAGGAAAGAAGAAAGAAGCTGAGTTACCTCCTCGACTGCATCAGCATTGGATACATGTTTATTCTTCACAAATTCAGTGTTGATTTTCTCACGCGCAGCTGTAAAAATCAAAGGAAACACTTAACATCTAGGAAAGAAAAAAAAGGGGCATATCTAAAGTGAAAATGTACAGTTGTTATATAAATCTGAACAAATCTCTCAAAATTGTACAATATTAAAAGTATGTTACAAGATATCCCCACAGAAAATAAAAGCTAAGTCTCACCAGCAAGTGCAGTTGTGTCCCCTTCGAACACCATCAAAGTTGTTCGATGCAATTGCTTGAAGCATGTAAGCACCTATTAATAAGATGTAATAAAATGTGATATAACAACCTGTACAGTATATTAAAAAGTACCTTATCTTTGTGAACCACATTATTGTAGCCCAGCAAGGCTGAAGCAGATGGGAGAAGAACAGATGAGGTAGAATGAGTGAGCAAAAAGGATGGAGTCATGACGTAAATCAGTTTCAGTTAACAAATCATACGGCTAATCTGTAACAAGGGTGGAACAGTCAAAGAGGAGGGCAGAGTAAACAACTAGAGCATTGAATAGGTCAAAAATAAAGTCTGCAGTGGCTGAACACAACAAAAGTTTTTGAATAATTAGCATGGCAAATATTCTGAGACACTGGGTACCCCTTCCATGAGATAACCACATGCGAGTCTAGTCTGACCAATACACAGGTCTGAAATTACAGTTTCCTCACACTCAACAGCAACAAATAGTGGATGTACAGAACCCCATCTGTGATTCAATTAACATTATTTTACCGGTCACTAATGCACACGTGATGGTACCAATGCAAGCTACAGGTGATCTTGCAAGTGCTGTGTTTAGGAGTTACCTGGAGAGAGTTCCGGGGGTCAACGCCCCCGTGGCCCGGTCTGTGACCAGGCCTCCTGGTGGATCAGAGCCTGATCAACCAGGCTGTTACTGCTGGCTGCACGCAAACCAACGTACGAGCCACAGCCCGACTGGTCAGGAACCGACTTTAGGTGCTTGTCCAGTGCCAGCTTGAAGACTGCCAGGGGTCTGTTGGTAATCCCCCTTATGTATGCTGGGAGGCAGTTGAACAGTCTCGGGCCCCTGACACTTATTGAAAGGTCTCTTAATGTGCTAGGGGACCCATCCCTTTTCTTTGGGGGGGGATTTTTGCTGGGTCTGCCAAGTCTTTTGCTTTGTAGTGGTGTTTTTTGTGTGCAAGTTCGGTACTATTTCCCTCAAAGGAAATTTTCCCGGTGTATATAATCATGTATTCCCCCGCCTCTTTCCGGGGAATACAGGTTCGGGAAACCCTCAAGCGCCCCCAGAATTTAGGTTTTTATCTCCTTTATGCGCGCCGGGGAAGGGTTCTCTGAAACTTTTTTCAGGTCAGAAAATTTCCCCTCCCTTAAAAAGGTGCTGTTGGGTTTTGCAGAAATTTATTCCAGCCTAGAAAAAAACAGTGACCTAAGGGGTTTTCACAGGGTTTGGCCCACCCTTTTTTGGGAAAGGTTCTCATTACCCAATCCTGTCTTTTTTCAGCTTTGCGATTGATACAATGTTATGGTCCTTAAAAGGCCCGAGACCCTCCGACATGTTTCACTCCCAGGTCTTTGACGTTGGGTTTTTTGCTCTTTTTTGGGGCCCCAAATTTTGTTTTTGATCTGATGAAATTTAATTTCCTCATTTTTACCATATCAAAGAAATTTGGGAAAATTTTTCCCTTGTTTTGAATTTTTTTTATTATTTTTCTGCACCCCCCAACTAAAATTTTTTGGGTTTTGATGTGGCCTGGAGCCTTGCAGTGTCGAAAGGGAAGACACTGCATGCAGATTTAGGTGTCATCTGCAAAGGAAAACACGGTGCTTGGTGACATCCTTTTCCCATGTCAGATATGAGGATAGGAAGAAAATGGGAGTGAGTACTGTGCCTTGTGGAACAGAGCTTTTTTACCGTAGCGCCTCGGAAATTTTTTCTCTGTTTACTAAATACTCTCTGTGTTCTGTTATGAGGAAATTATAGACCCCTCGACCGAACCCTTTTTCCGTTATTTCCTTTAAACAAAAGGGGATTTTTGTGCGCTATTACGCCCTGGTCACACTTGTCGAAGGCTTTTTCAAAGTCTGTATTTTTTTTCAAACTGCATTCTTTTTGTCTTCTATTTTCATCTAGAACCCTTTTCCCGGGGATTTCCCAAAAGTTTAGACAGGAAAAGGAGCGGGCCTGTTTAAACCCATGTTGCCCTGGGTTGTGTAATTTATGGGTTTCTAGATGGGTGGTGATCTTGCTTCTTAGGACCCTTTCAAAGATTTTTATGATATGGGATGTTAGTGCTATCGGTCTGTAGTTCTTTGCTGTTGCTTTACTGCCCCCTTTGTGGAGTGGGGCTATGTATGTTGTTTTTAGTACCTGTGGGACGACCCCCGTGTCCATGCTCCCTCTCCATAGGATGGTAATAGCTCGTGATAGGGGCTTCTTGCAGTTCTTGATGAACACGGAGTTCCATGAGTCTGGCCCTGGAGCAGAGTGCATGGGCATGTCATTAATAAATAAATAAATAAATAAAATAAATAAATCTCCTGTTCGAAGTCATTTGGCGTCAGGATAACATCAGATAGGCTTGTGTTAACCAAATTCTGTGGCTCTCTCATAAAAAATTCATTTTGATCTTCGACTCTCAGTCTGGTTAGCAGCTTGCTAAAAACTGAGTCATATTGGGACTTGAGTAGCTCACTCATTTCCTTGCTGTCATCTGTGTAGGACCCATCTTGTTTAAGTAGGGGCCCAATACTGGGCATTGTTCTCGACTTTGATTTGGCATAGGTGAAGAAATACTTTGGGTTTCTTTCGATTTCATTTATGGCTTTTAGTTCTTCCCGCGATTCCTGACTCCTATAAGATTCCTTTAGCTTAAGTTCGATGCTTGCTATTTCTCTGACCAGTGTCTCCCTACGCATTTCAGATATATTGACCTCTTTTAGCCGCTCTGTTTTTCTTTTCCGTCGCCTGTAAAGGGAGCGCCTGTCTCTTTCTATTTTACATCTACTCCTCCTTTTTCTTAGAGGAATAAGCCTTGTGCATACATCAAGTGCCACTGAGTTAATCTGTTCTAGGCATAAGTTGGGGGTCTGTGTTGCTTAGTATATCTTCCCAGCTTATATCAGTTAGGACTTGGTTTACTTGGTCCCACTTTGTTTTTGTTGTTGAAGTTGAATTTGGTGAATGCTCCCTTGTGACTAATCTCATTATGTCGGTCTGGGGCTCCGCGCATACATGTCTGAACCTCAATTATGTTGTGATCTGAGTATATTGTTTTTGATATGGTGACATTTCGTATCAGATCATCATTGTTAGTGAAGATGAGATCTAGTGTATTCTCCAGTCTAGTAGGCTCTAGTATTTGCTGGGTTAAATTGAATTTTGTGCAGAGATTTAAAAGCTCGTGTGAGTGTGAGTTTTCATCAGAGCTTCCTCCTGGTGTTATTACTGCAACAATATTATTTGCTATATTCCTCCATTTTAGGTGCCTTAAGTTGAATCCCCAGGAGCAAGAAGTTGGGTGCATGAGCTGGCAGATTTTCCAGACAGTGGTCAATTTTTAACAGCTGTTCCTGGAACTGCTGGGATGTTGCATCCGGAGGCTTGTAGACTACCACAATGACTAGGTTTTGGTTCTCGTCTTTACTGCTAAAACTTCCACTACATCATTGAGGCATAAGCAGTTCTGTGCAAACAAGTGACTCTGCAATATACAGGCCCCAAACCCCCTCCCCCCTTTTGCCTGTTCACTCTGTCGCATCTGTATAGGTTGTAACCTGGGATCCATATTTCGTTGTCCAAGCGATCCTTTATGTGGGTCTCAGTGAAAGCCGCAAAACATTGCCTTGGCCTCTGCAAGCAGCCCCACGGATGAAAGGTATTTTGTTGTTTGTTGCTGGCTTTAGACCCTGTATATTTGCAAAGAAGAATGTCATCGGATGGTGGTATTGTTGGTACTGGGGGGGGGGATTTTTTTTCCGGCATTTAGTATCGTATCGGGTTGGGTTTTGGAGTGGAGGCCATCGACTGTGGTTCCACTCCGGGAAATGACTGGATTTGGTGTACGTTTCTGCCTTTTCCCTGCCAGTTTTTTTTCCTTCCTGGCACTAAAAAACCTCTCCCTCTTGGGTGGCTGTGGCTACCCAGGTTTTCCCATGGCCTGGATGTTTTGTATCTTTTTGTCCCCTTTAGATGGTGCCTGGCAATTTAAGTTATAGCACAGTCTTTCCTGTACTGAAGAGGTACACATTTCAGGGTGAAAAAGCTTACAGGAAGGAGTTTGCATTTTCCTGTTGTCATATGGGCATGGCATTTTCTAGGGTGGTCGTAGTTGCACGTCCCATCTGTTTTTCCAGATTTCCCATGCCTGCAGATGCCAAGTGCATAGTATGTGCACAGGCTTGGTTTCTGTTTGCCTTGGGTTTCTGTGACTGTATTCACTGTTGGTGCATGTTTACCTGTCTTATTCCTATCCTCACTAGCACCAACAATGGAGCTCCCACCAGTTGTTTTTGGTTATATCCTCACTATTGCTAGTGGAGTCCTCTTGTTTGCTATTTCCTGTGGTATTTCTAGTTTGCAATATTGGTTTTATCTTATCTTTGACTACACTGGAAGAGTTTGAAAATGGAAAATGCCTGTGTGTGTTTGAAAGAACCTGAAGTCTAGACTGTGGAGAATCTATAAATTCATTGCCCTGATCTCCAGCATGGCTGAGAATCCAGCAAGACTTTTTTTTTTTTTTTTTGTATATCACCAAGATGCAATACACTCACTGATGAATGCAAAAGAAATGGGCATGTGAAGAATTGAGTCTTGCAATTTACTGACGAATGATGATGCAACAGTTATGTTGTAAGAAATGAAACATGGTAGTTGTTTTACAGCATACCTTGTTATGAAGACAACATTTATAATGATATAATAAATTACCGGTTTATGGTTAGCCAGAGACTTACAACTTTTATCAGAGCTTTTTGAACTGTTTTTCTTTTTTGATTATAATAATAATAATGAACTGCTTTTGTATTCTTCGATTTTATATTATTATTATTATAATTAAGGGGGAAGCGCTAAACCCAGAGGATTATACAGCTCATGGGGGAAGATGTGGAAGGCTTAATTCGGGGAACTGGAGCACAGATCCAATTCCCTAAATCAAGAGCCCCTCACCAACATCAAGGAACCTTCCTTGAGGGGTTCGATTTTATAACTACAGACACTGCCTGGCCCTTGTCCATTTTATGTATGTCTATTTACCTTAAACCTTTTCAGCAAACAGCAAATGTTTTCTAACGAGTATAATATTGTCTGGTATCAGGATGGCCTGTAGCCTGGTAGGCAACGTTCTTGCTTCACACTGAGTGTCCATGGTTTGATCCCAGCAAGAGTGGAAACATTGGGTGTATTTCTTTACACCTGTTGTCCTGTTCACCTTGCAAGCATGTAGGTACCTGGGTGTTAGTTGACTGGTGTGGGTTGCATCCTGGGGAGAAAGTTTGAGCCCAACGGAAATAAGATAATCCTCGATGACGCACTGACTTTTTTTTGGGTTATTCTGGGTGGCTAACCCTCTGGGCTTAAAAATCAGAACAAAATCTTATCTCTTCAGTTGTTCAATTACTCAGCTACTTGCTTCCAGTTCTTTAAGGTATATTTTTTTTTTGTATTTTACAATAGACCTCACAGTGTATTAAAGCCTTATAAACAATGCATTACATATACCCAAGTAAGTTTATTTAGGTACAGGTACACATAAGTATAAATATCATACATTGTAACGTAATCACCTAGGATAACGAAGCAACTGACTATTCTGGGTTATCCTGGGTAATTTACAATTATTCCTATATGATAATTATAAATACCTATGGAAATAAATCAGTCTGATTTCTTTTGAGTTATCCTAGGTTCTTTACACATATGCTGCTATGTATGATAATCTATGTAACTATTTGTGTATTATTATAATCAAGGGGAAAGCGCTAAACCCGTAGGATTATACAGCGCCTGTGGGGAGATGTGGAAGGTATTCAGGGAACTGGAGCACAGATCCAATTCCCTAGATCAAGAGCCCTTCACCAGCATCAAGGAACCTTCTTTGAGGGGTGTATTTGTGTATACCTGAATCAACTTACTTGACAGCCTTACGTGTAACTGTACCACAATAAACCTACCTTCCTCCTCAGCTCCTGATTCATGTTCTTGTTGTTATTAAGGTCCAAGTGACAGTAAGATGTATTAAGCTCCACCTCGCCAGTGGTGGATGAAGAGCTGGTAATGATTTATTTTACGTTTCACATACAACATACAAATATTGTAGTGGACTTGAGAGAGGTAAATAGGTACCTGGATGTGTTGTGACTGTTGTAGGTTGATATCCTGGGGAAGAGGATTAAATCCCTCGTGAAATAAGTACATTAAAGAATAAAAAGGCACAACACCGTGACTGGAACAATGTACATGTAACTGTATTTGTGTATACCAGAATAAACTTACTAACCCCTCACCAAGAGAAGGAAACCTATGAACAATGCATGTACAATATTCTAAATTATAGGATAACCTAATAAAATTATACTGTGTTACTGATTACCTGGAGAACGGGGTCAACGACCCTCGCGGTTTGCCAGGTCATACATTATTCCTATAAGAATTTGTATGCTAGAAATAAATCAGCTGACGAGTTTTCTAGGTCTTTACACATGCTGCTATATGATAATCTTGAATCTATTTGGTATAATTATATCAAGGGAGCGCTAGTTAGATATCCGGCCCTGTGGGACTATGATGGTCATTCAGGAACTGTGCACGTCACATCCCTAGATCATGGAGCCCTTCACCAGCATCAAGAACTTCTTTCGAGGGTGTATTTGTGTAGCTGCAATTATTGACAGCCTACTGATATGTACCATGAATAAACTACCTCCTCCTCAGCTCGATTCATGTTCTTTTGTAATTAAGGTCCAAGTAAGTAAGATGTATTAACTCCACCTCGCCAGTGCGGATGAAAGCCTGTAATATTATTTCGTTCACATATCACTACAATTGAAGGGTCTTGAGGGGAGTAATAGTACCTAGATGGTGTACAGTGAGCTTGATATCCTGGGAAGAGATTAATCCCTAGTTTTAAGGTTCATTGATAAAGCCAACCGTGATGCTGAACATGTACATGTATGTATTGTGTATACCAGAATACTACTACCCAGCTTAACGAGGTGAAAGTCTATACACACTGTCTATGTAGAAATATTTTCTAAATTAACCTAGGATAACCATAATAAAATTAAAGATGACTGGCCGTTAAAGTCTTAACACTGTTCCAGGATGAAAATATAATTATTTGCTACCGGTAAAAACAGCATTAGCAGACATCAATTATACCATTTATAAAAGCCAAATTTATCAGGCATTTGGGCAACATTAAGTCTAAGGTAATCTTGTTCCCCAGAGCACCCCATCATCTGATAACCCACGTCATACATTGCTCTGTACTGACGAACACCTAGTGTAAGGAAACACGCCCAATGTTTCCACCTGTACCGGAGATCGAACCACAGACCCTCGAGCACAACCAACAGGAGTGAAATTTATAACACATTTGCATATCAAACTTTCCCTGAATCGATTTAGATTTTGCCACCGAAGTGGCTAGTTTATTGTGCACACCATATCCATCCTGTGGACGGTAAAGAGCATATGGATACACAAAAGGCCCAGGAACTAGACCCCAAAGGGTTAACAGGAATACATATGGATTTATATCTACATATCTATAGTTCACTTATCTGTTACAAGCAAATTTAGAAAATTTGCTTAGTATATCTGGTATCTTATTTTCATTAATATCTTGACATGTCAGTAAGTAGGTTATTATACTGTCTGTCTCTGTATTCCTCAATAAGTGGACAATTAAGCACATAGTGTTCAAGACAGTGACCATATGCCTGATCACATAATTTACATTTAGTTTGCAGCGCTGTATAGCCCTTGTGGCTTAGCGCTTCTTTTTGATTATAATAATAATAATACATTTAGTTTGATCATCATCTGTGTCTCCCTAACTGCCAGAAATACTTGTAACCAAGTGTGGAAAATTGCATTTATCTGAATTTATCATTATGTACATAACAGTAAATGAATAAAGATAATTATGATTTATCAGTTAGACAAGTAGGAATTTGGGACACCTAGGTCGCAAAAAATGTCCCCCTTCGATACCTACCACCGTCATATCCACAAGTTGCTCTGGACCTATTAATTATAAATGAAATATACATCACCAGGAATGCTGGTAAATATATAAATTTGTGGACTGTATATTAAAATTAAATGGTTATATATATACACAATTACATAACAGAAGGAAAGTATATCTTAATATCACTCACCAATTTGACTGGATATTAATGTGTATCATACTCACAAAACCTCACTCTAACTAAATCTATGAAAATAATGCTGACCAGAATTACACACAAATCTAGAGAGCTTATCTGAGGTTCCTGGAGCTGTCTTGTCCAGTCGTCTGATATCTCAAGTTATGCAGGAATGCACATCCACCAATTTCGCCTCCTATTTGAGAGGTGTCAACACAATTTTAACCTCTAGAGCACGAAAAATTCTTCCCATTACACCAACGTTTGTACAAAATTCAAAACTAAGATGGCTAGTCTCCTCTGCGCAGACGCAGGCTTTCCGTTTTCTATGACATAAATATTATTAAATACAGTATGGCCATCTATTTACATATAAATACTGAATTTCTGGAAAATATATACAGTATTTTCCACACCAAGCCTAAGCCTGGCCTCTACAACATCAGTCTGTTCGGACCCTCAACAATCGACTAATACACAAGTGCTTATTTACTGACAGACATGGTATGGGAATTTATGTGAGGATTTAAATGATATAAGAGATAACTCTCACTGATTTTGAAGGCGAACTTCTCATCTTTTGTGTTACTGCTTCTACACCATTGATGGTGGTTGGTGTAGACAGCTATGAGAGCATTGTTGGGGTTCGAACCACATGATTTTTATTTGATAGTCCGGTGGTGCTAATAACCACGTTGTTGAAGCACTCTAAGCAAAAACGAAGAAGCCTATGAATTCAGTAGTGTAAAAATAAGGGTTTACCAACATTTGCACCAATAACTCACTACAGTTGTGACCGGGTGTGGAAGTGTGAATTGCTCATTACTCTAAAATTTGTTCATGATTGCAGCCATGTATACACGTAAGTAACCATTCTTACAGTATTCATTACCTTTGTAACTTGTGAGTTCATTACCTTTGTAACTTGTGAGTTCATTACCTTTGTAACTTGTGAGTTCATTACCTTTGTAACTTGTGAGTTCATTACCTTTGTAACTTGTGAGTTCATTACCTTGTACCTAGTTCAGCCATCAAAACTTTGGAGCCCGGTCCCTGGACCCATTGTGTACCTCTGTAATCTGTAAATACCTTTGTAACTTGTCATGATTGTGACTAGACCTACCTGGAGTTCATTACCTTTGTAAATTGTGAGTTCATTACCTTTGTAAATTGTGAATTCATTACCTCTGTAACTTGCTCAGCTATCAAAACTTTGAGGCCCAGTCCCTGGACCCATTATGTACCTCTGTAATCTTTTGACTGCCGCCCACTGGATGGGTATGGGGCGCATAATAAACATATTAAACTAACTAAACTAACCCTAGCTCATCAGCATTAAGGCTGTTCCCATCGCAATACCCTTTACTGTAAAAAATGTATATATTTAAATTGTCAAAAATATTCTCATCCACTTCACAAACTAAGGGTTTGGAGTCGCGGTTACCTGTCAGTCACTGGGGTCCATGAGTCATGAATATTTTAGCAGGACCTGCCTGCCTTAATTAGCCTGGAGCTAACACCTGTGCTATCCTTCCAATTCAAACACACTGTTCATTAATGCCGTAAGTAATTCATGATTACAACCACAGAAGTAATTAGAACTTGATAATTGATTTACCTTCAATGTATTGATGAATGAATTAAGCTTATTATTCAAACATAAGGATCATGCCTCATTACCCTGACCACCGATATCTAATTAAATCCTGGTTTCTATTGGAGCATTTCCCCATTTGCGATGTATTATAGTCGACTAACTCCTAGATACCTATTTATTGCTAGATGAACAGAGACAGCAGGCGTAAGATTTGTCTACACTCCATGCTTTATCGTTTTTTATATTTGTGTCGTCAGATCAGCTAGTGAATTTTGTATTTCATGTACATCCAGTGAGCGGTTGCGCAGGGAGATAGTTTACCTGGAGTTTACCTGGAGAGAGTTTCGGGGGTCAACGCCCCCGCGGCCCGGTCTGTGACCAGGCCTCCTGGTGGATCAGCGCCTGATCAACCAGGCTGTTGCTGCTGGCTGCACTTATCTTTTATATACTGTACTTAAGCTTCCGAGGGACATCGCCTCCAGGGCCAGGTCTTACAACAGATTTCCTTAGAAGGAAGGTATTACAGGATCTATTAATAAACACGCAGACAAATAAAGTTATATTGAATGCAGGTAAACGGTTTCTTACATGTTTACGAGACAGAAAGGAAAGAACAGTACTCCTGCTAGAGTAGAAAATGTTTAACAAGCTTCTTTTTCAGTCATATGACAGGACGGTATCTCCCTGGATTGCTGCTGTCTAACCTACAACCTGGTCACACTGTCTGGATCAGACTCCATAGCTAGCTTGTGTCTACTTAGCAGCACACTACTGATGTACTCAGTCTTATATAATAAAAAGTAGTTAAAAAGGTGTGAGGCAGGCATGTAATCAGGCCAGGCAGGCAGGCAGGCAGGCAGGCAGGCAGGCAGGCAGGCAGGCAGGCAGGCAGGCAGGCAGGCAGGCAGGCAGGCAGGCAGGCAGGCAGGCAGGCAGGCAGGCAGGCAGGCAGGCAGGCAGGCAGGCGAGGGTAGTCGGGGCTGGATACTAGTAGCGCGTGAGTGGTTGGATCTCACGCACCTGGTATTTAAAAAGAAGGCGGAATCTTGCCTGTACACAAGGGTTGAAGGACTGATGGCCCGACCACTGAGAGAAGTACTGGTGAACCCGAAAGTGGTAAGAGGTCTGCAGGAACACCCTGGTACCTACAGGTAACTTTCATCCCTCCCTCTCTTCCACATTTACACATGAGTAAGTTTATTTAGGTACAGGCACACATAAGTACAATTATCATGCATTGTGTAAATTACCTAGGATAGCTCAAAAAATGTATACTCGGGATCTCCACTCTGAGTTTTTACATTTAGTATGTAACCCATAAGCCCACGAAGAGACCGATCATTGAACTTATAAAGACGAAGGCAAATTTTCTTCAAGTGGGTGATGGGTAGAGACGGAGGTCGGAGACTGCCGCTTTAAAAATTTACAGCGTTTGCATTAAATAATCCCATGATTAGCACAGGCACAGTGGTGATAAATTATGAAGATTTAATTATCGGTAGAGCGTTTGGCACAACCGAAATGACCCAGGAGTAAGGCGAGACGTTTAGCTTATACCACTTACCTCTTGTCACTTAGCAGTAAATGAATACATAGGAATTTGTCGACTGTTGGAGATAGCATCCTGGAGAAGAGAACGTAAGAATCCAGACGGAAATAAGTAACACTGCTTGGCTTGTTTGACCTATGTTTACCCTTGGAGAGAGTTTTCCTCGACGGGCTCAGTCGAGGCGGCTCGGGCCCGTCATGGCCACCTCCTGTAGTCAGAAGCCTAGTATCCCTCTGCATTGCGGGCTTGGCTAACCGGAAACCCAACGCGAGCCCAGCCCTCAATTCACGAATGACTTTAGGTGTTGCCAGTGCCAGTTAAGCTAGTTGTTTGGGTTCCCCCATATCATCTGTGGAGGAGTGAACATTGGGCATGACACAAAATGGCCTAGGAACTAGTGACACCCAAAAAGTTTTCAGGGCGGATATGCATGTTGCCTCAAGCGCCAAGCTTTGCTTCGTAAGATTCGAGACTACGTCATTCAAGTTCGTAACTTAGTCCCAATTAATTTAGATTTTTCCAGGACGATATGATCTGTACTCGACCTCCTGCGTTCCACTGGAATCAGGTTTACAACACATTCAGGCTCCAGTAAATTGAACGTTTTTAAATCTACGTTATGCCGCCTTAGAACCGTTTCTCAGAACATTTTCCTAAGGACTGACAATTTCATTCATCTGTCCTCTTATATTGCATTTAGAGCTGCACAACAAATTTCCCAGGAGCTAGATAGAAACAAGTGCCCTGAATATTGTAAATCATGGGGATTGGCCTCCCTTATTTTAAAGCTTTTCTACCCTACTATCTAATTCTAGCAGATGCGTTAGATACAAAATAAAATTATTTTTTTTTTTTTTTTTTTTTTTTTTTTTTTTTTTTTTTTTTTTTTTTTTTTTTTTTTTTTTTTTTTTTTTTTTTTTTTTTTTTTTTTTTTTTTTTTTTTTTTTTTTTTTTTTTTTTTTGGTCCTTGAAGGTGAGATCCTCCGACATAATCACTCCCAGGTCTTTGACGTTGGTGTTTCGCTCTATTTCGTGGCCAGAATTTGTTTTGTACTCTGATGAAGATTTAATTTCCTCATGTTTACCATATCTGAGTAATTGAAATTTCTCATCGTTGAACTTCATATTGTTTTCTGCAGCCCACTGAAAGATTTGGTTGATGTCCGCCTGGAGCCTTGCAGTGTCTGCAATGGAAGACACTGTCATGCAGATTCGGGTGTCATCTGCAAAGGAAGACACGGTGCTGTGGCTGACATCCTTGTCTATGTCGGATATGAGGATGAGGAACAAGATGGGAGCTAGTACTGTGCCTTGTGGAACAGAGCTTTTCACCGTAGCTGCCTCGGACTTTACTCTGTTGACGACTACTCTCTGTGTTCTGTTAGTGAGGAAATTATAGATCCATCGACCGACTTTTCCTGTTATTCCTTTAGCGCGCATTTTGTGCGCTATTACGCCATGGTCACACTTGTCGAAGGCTTTTGCAAAGTCTGTATATATTACATCTGCATTCTTTTTGTCTTCTAGTGCATTTAGGACCTTGTCGTAGTGATCCAGTAGCTGAGACAGACAGGAGCGACCTGTTCTAAACCCATGTTGCCCTGGGTTGTGTAACTGATGGGTTTCTAGATGGGTGGTGTTTGACCTATCCTGGGTTATTAACCCTTTGGTAGAGTAATCCAAAGATTTTCTTCTCGACGGGCTGCAGGTTCGAGGGCGGAGCTTCAATGGTGGTGTCTGCCGTTCACTGGCCACCTCACGTAGTAGTAACAGAAGACGCTAGTGGACGCCTCTCCATTGAGGGGCCCTTGGCTAACCTCCTGGACACCCTCGCTGCCTCCCTCAACTTCACGTAAGATTTAGAGTTTGCCACTGAAGTAGCTAGTTTATTGTGCACCCCATATCCATCCTGTGGACGGTAGCGCAAGAACATATGGATACACAAAAGGCCTAGGAACTAGGCCCCCAAAAAGTTAAGGCACATGGATAAATGCATGTTGCCTCAAGCGTCACAGAGCTTACCAAGACTCACGACAGATTCGAGACTACGTCATTCACGACAGATTCAGAACTGGGTCAGTCACGACAAATTAATTTAGAACCGTTATTCACGACAGATTCAGGACTGGCTCACTAACGACAGACTCAGGACTGGTTCACTAACGACAGACTCAGGACTGGTTCACTAACAACATATTCAGGACTGATTCACTAACGACAGATTCAGAACTGGTTCACTAACGACAGATTTAGGACCGGTTCACTTAGAACCGATTTGCTCAGAACAGTTTCCCTGTACAGGACTGAATTCTTACGATAAATTCAAGGGTGAATCTCAGTCTGCACCTCCTTATATTTGAGCATTTTCTACCCCTACCTATCTAATTCAGTGAGCATGAGTAAGCGTCAAGACAACTACAGGACTGAATTCTTACGATAAATTCAAGGGTGAATCTCAGTCTGTACCTCCTTATATTTGAGCATTTTCTACCCCTACCTATCTAATTCAGTGAGCATGAGTAAGCGTCAAGACAACTACAAACATAAGAAATATATTACCTAAGTACGGATTGCCTTAGCATTGTATTTTTCGTCAGGTACCATATAGTGAAACCAGCAGATGGCTCCTGGGGCGCAAAGTTCAAGAATGGCACCTGGTCTGGCATGGTTGGCCAAGTGCTACAACAGGTGAGTCCTTCTTCTCCTCCTCCTCTATCTACTGATGGATGCAGCCATTCTTCTTCTATACTTTATTCCCTTCCCTTACCACTGTTATTGCTAGTTTTCATAATTTTCTTCACCCTTTCTCATTGCTGCTACAAGTAATTGTCGTTCTCCTAATCTTCTATTATTTATCTTCCACTTCTTGCGTTTGCTAACACCACAAATAAATATAATGCAAAGAGGCAAATACTGTCAGTGAAATGCATCACAACAGATTACTGCTGGAGAATCAAGCAGAAGAGATTCATATTATTAAGGTTACTCCTTATTAGTCTTTCTCTTAATTACAACTCATGAACTAAGTTAAAACAGTTGGTAATGCGTCTGTCCAACTAGGGATGAGTTGGCATAAGACCTGTTAATGCTACTTTGGAAATATTGACACAAGACTTGCTAGTGATGCTGCTGTACATTAACATCTCCGTTCAAAGCAGGTGAAATTACAGATCCAGAGAGTGTACAGTGATCCTTTACTGCACGTATAAGTTCTGCCAAGCATCTTAACTACTGGGAACGCTTGGAATCACTTGACTTGTACTCGTTGAAATGCAGGAGAGAGAGATATATCATAATGTACACTTGGAAAATCCTGGAAGGAATGGTCCCGAATCTGCACACAGAAATCACTCCCTACGAAAGTAAAAGACTGGGCAGGCGATGCAAAATACCCCCAGTTAAAAGTAGGGCGCCATTGGTACGCTAAGAGAAAACACCGCAAGTGTCCGGGGCCCAAGACTGTTCAACAGTCTCCCACCAAGCATAAGGGGAATTACCAATAAACCCCTGGCTGCCTTCAAGAGAGAGCTGGACAAATACCTAGTCAGTGCTGGATCAGCCGGGCTGTGGTTCGTACGTTGGACTGCGTGCGGCCAGCAGTAACAGCCTGGTTGATCAGGCCCTGATCCTCCGGGAGGCCTGGTCGTGGACCGGGCCGCGGGGGCGTTGATCCCCGGAATAACCTCCAGGTAGATGCTATGGACGTAAAACTGTTGGGTAATGGTACATTCAAATGCTGAAAGAGTTGGTCAAATAACTCCTTATAGAAAACTTAGAAATTCACAGCAGATACTTATCTGTTCCATTGCCTCAGTATTGCAGTTGAGAGGCATAATAACGTGTTGCAATTTAGGCTGAGGAGCTGATGTATATAATGAGCATTTTTTTCCTGTTAAATATAAAACCAACTTTACCCCTTACAGGAGGTGGACATCGCTCTGGGGCCATTTGGCATCACTGAGAGCAGGAGTAAAGTGGTCGACTTCACCCGCTCTTTCTACTTCGACGACCGCAGCATCCTGGCAAGGAAGGGCGCTCCTGAGGTTGACCCCTGGGGTTTCATGCATCCCTTCACAGAGATGGTGTGGTGTGCACTGCTGCTGACGCTGTTCCTAGCCTGGCTATCTCTCGTTGTGCTTGGTCGTGACCACAAAGGTTACGGTCACATCACGTGGGCTTCGAACCTCCTCTTCCAGCAGCTAAGAGTGCTCATCCAACAAGGTAAATTAAAAATACAGAAAAAATGCTAAAATATTAAACTGACATTCACATCAAACCTATATTATATTGAAATAAAATAATAATAGTCCTTTATCTTCTTGTGGTACAGTTATAATTACTACTAAAGATATAACTGCAACAAATTAAAAAAAAATATATTGTCTCTGTTGCACAAACGATTCCATAGGGGCAAATTTAAAAAAATGTAAAGTACTTTATATTTCGGCTTATCACCGAGGTCTTCTTCAGTAGACTGTGCAAGTCGAAGTATATAGTACTCTTCTGGAGGAGTATTTGTCAACAATCAAGTTTCAGACACTTCATTCAGCTCCTCAGAGCTGAGAAGTGTACCAAGGATTCAACTGTCATTATCCCTATGAACTGTAACACTGAGATGTTAGAACAGGAGAGTAGCTCTTCTGGAATCTCTGAGTCTTCTTCCTAATTCAGGAATGTGGAAGTACTGTTTCCCTATGAGCCGAGGGTGTCTTTGTCAACCAACATGTAATGAGGAAGTTCGCCACACTTTTTATAGACACTTTTTTAATATGTTGTTTTATTTTATGCAAGTTGATATGTTTTTGTCTCTGTCAATCTTCATTATACCTCTGTGTTTCCTGTTTATTTATAATTAGTAAGAGCATTGCTGTCCACGGTCAGACGCACCAGTGAAGTTGTTCCGCGGGCGCGAGCGTTTCCTGGTGGGTGGGTGGGTGGTGGTGGCTATGATGCTGGTCTGGAGCTACCAGAGCACCCTGGTGGCATTACTGGCGGTGCGATATATACCCCAACCCATACGGAGTATCAGGGACGTCGTGAACAACCCCTCCCTCACCGTCATCATGGAGCCCAACACCATTGTCACCGACACTATCTCCGTGAGTCAGGCTCCTTTCTCAGGTACTTGAGGAAGACAGGTTCGCAAAAAGTGGACGAAGGATTGAGCCTCCATCACTCCTCCCACTGAATGACCCAATGGGTAAACCGCTTCATGAAACACAACTGAAAAGGTCCTTGATGTAAATAATTAACTAGATTCAAATTCACTACTGTCGCGCAACAATAGTGCCGACAATAATGAATAAATGAAATGTTGCAGAACAAACTTTTATTGGGACAGCGTTTCGCTCTGTGTAGAGCTTTATCAAGTTTATCACGACTTGACAAAGCTCCACAGAGAAACATTGTCCTAAAAGAAGTTTATTTTAGAACGTGTCTTTTCTTCACCTCAAAATAAACATCAAATAACTTTGGATGGGGGGGGGAGGGACACTTACAGACAATCAAGTTCGGTGATTTGAAGGAGCTGAACGACCTAAAGTACATTGGTCGTGTGGATTACCAGCCAGCATCCAACTTTCCCCAGGCTCTAGATAATCTGGTGAGGCGCCACACACACGTCATCATCAGCACCAGCCTCTCCTCTGACCTCTTCATTGCTGACCTCTACGCCAAAACAGGTAGGCCTATATATATATATATATATATATATATATATAGGGAGGCACCACCTCTAGAACTGTCCTGGGGACACGTAAAATTGGTCAATTAGCAAGAACTCATTTAAAATTAAGTCATTATTAAAATTTTCTCTTATACGTTTAAAGATATGTTTTTCATTTGTGTTAATGTAAAAATTATTAATTTTGTACCAAAAGAACCTTAGAAAACTTACCTAACCTTATTATAACAAGCGCAATTTAATTTAGCCTAATCCAACTAAATATATTTTAGATAAGTTTACAATAATTTAATAATAAACAAACACAATGAAATATATTTTTTTCGTTAGGTTCAGAATGATTTTTCGAAATTATTGCATACACACATTTTCGCTTGCCTTATTCGGCAAGAGCGTTGCTATTTAAGCCAAATTCGCAAGTTTTACCTATTAGGCACGACAGGCAAATGGTAGTGTAGACACAGCAAAGACCCTTTTTTATATAGCGCTGCACTCCCTTGTTGATGAAATGTATAAATCAAAGATTCTTTGTCACTGCTAGTGCCGCTGTTGTCATGAAGAGCAATGACTCCTATACAGAAATTGGTGCATGCATGAACAACTGGGCTTCCACCCTTCAAGCTTAGCCGTTTGATTTACTCCTTGCAATCAAATGTGTCCATGTAACTAAAGTTGACACCTTAATTATAAGCGAGTCTCTGTCATCTATAAATTCTTTTGGCACTAAAAGTCAACTGTGATGTGCTCGTGTTTGAAGTCAAATACAAGTAGAAACGTATTAACTTCTGTTTGTATCTTAAAATCCATATAAAAGTGTATGTGTGTGTGTTATTGGCAAAAAGACACGTATGCACTGAGAGACATTTACTAAGGAAACTTTTTGCCGTAGTAAATGTCTTGATCAGTTCATACGTCTTACTCATCCACGTAATAGTGTCTTCCGTGGCACCGCAGGAAAGTGCGACTTCTACAAGGCGCGACAGACCTTTTTCACCTCGACTCACTGTATCATTGGACAAAAGGGCAGCCCGATCGTGCCAGTCATCAGCTATCGGTGAGTTTTTTTTTTTTATTTTGCAAAGTTGGATATTTCAGCTGTATGCTGCGACCCAGTTCTATACAACAGTTACTTCAAATACTTGGGATAAAAGATATTCATGTTTTCCTGCCATATTCCATCACACTTGATGGGTTTTATACATGAGTGTTGAAATATGTCAGTCTAAGCTTTGGCCCTACCCACCATGGTAGGGTGACCCAAAGGAAGGAACGCATTTACTTTCATTCATTCAGTGGCTGTTTTGCCAGAACAGGGAAATCACAACTGAAATGACCTTCCGAACTGCAACATTCCTACCCATCCTTCAGAGTACAGACACTGTACTTCCCACTCTTAGGACTAAAGTCCAGGTAATCAGCTTCCTTAAATAAATATTACCCTGCTTATACTCTAGCAGCACATCCAGTACCAAAAGCCAGATGTCTCCACTTCGACTTACCAGGTTCATACTTTAAAGATGAATGCTCAAACTACTACCGTTCAAAATTTCCTCGATTCCACTCCCTCCAACCCTTCCCGGGACTCCCCTTACGCCTGCTTCCATTCACCCCACACACACACACACACACACACACACACACACACACACACACACACACACACACACACACACACACACACACACACACACACACACACACACAAATACACACACACACACACAAATACCATGAACAAGACTATAACTAACATTGCTAGGTTTGATACAAGGGAGGGAAGGATACCAAACTTGAAATAAGTGAATTCCTACTGTTCTGACACAGGATTCGACCCTTAGTGGAGTCGGGGTTGTACGTCTACTGGTTGTTCCGAAACATTCATTTCCTCGCCAGCTGCAAGGCATCACCCTCCAAGATCACCGTCAGGGAGGCTCTCTCTCTCAGTAACCTCTTGGTAAGCTTAATTTACTTTCATTCTAAGACCTTTGAGTAGTTACTGGCTTCTCTCCAATTGTCATGCAAGAACCTTGAGTGATTACAACCGGTGCCCCGTCACTCAGTCACTCAAGAGTATTAAGTTTCTTCTGGGTTACTGTCACTTGTATTCACTCAGACATCACCATTCGCTCGCACACTAGCTTATATACCGGTATTATGAAATTCTAAGTAGCAACAACATTAACTTTAAGTACACTTTCATTCTCTGAAATAACCAAACGTACACTCAACAATCAACACTCACCATATACATTCAACATTCACCATATACACTCAACATTCACCATATCCACTCAATCAACATTCACCATATACACTCAGCAATCAACATTCACCATATACACTCAACAATCAATGCTTATCACTAGAATATCGTGAGTTAATGATTGTTGAACTAGGATACATTTGTAATGTTATGTTTTGTTTATAATCATGGGGAAGCGCTAAACCTGTAGGGATTATACAGCGCCTGTAGGTAGGGATATGGAAGGTATTCAGGCTCAATTCAGGGAACTGGAGCACAGATCCAGCGTCAAGGAAGCTCCTTTGAGGGAAATATTGCCTATATCGTTACTCCCACAAGGAAAAGGGGGTAAGGGTTGTTATCTTAGTGAAAGGCTCTTGATCCAAAAAATTTAGTTAATATCCTTATTCTTACATTAAAACTGACTGCCGTCCATTTCCTTGGGGCTGTATGACCCCTTCGGATTCAATGCATGTACATGAGTTTTATTATTAACCATGAGAAGTAATACACCCATACGAGTTTGCTAGTGTATGTTATACACGTATTCTTTGGTTAGTAGTTATAGCCTTATAATCAGAATTCCTAATGTAAAAAGTGTGCAAAAAGTGTTGCAGTATTATTTTACAAATTCTGCATTTTTTATATTTATATTTTCATAAATTCTTTTGCTGTAATTGCAGCATCGAGATGGTTAATGTTTATAGTGTAGTAGTACATATTCTTAAAGTGTTATTTAAATTTAAAATGTTTTACTTTTATATTATAGCCACATTCTGCAATTTTTGGCAACGTCGTTTGTTTTTACGAAGTTATCCTATGAAGTGTTAGAAGTTCCTTTGAACCTCTCTTCGCTGTTGCTACTCCTACTAATTTTTGTTTCTGTGGTTGATCATCCCAGGGCATCCTAGTGTTACTGGGGGCTGGCACCTTCCTTGCCACCCTTGTCTTCTGTCTCGAGCTCTGCATCACTGGACACTGCTCCGTCAAACGCTGCTTTTCTGGACGTCTCTCAGCCTCACGCGGCTTTTCTGGACACTGCTCCGCCTGACGCCCTGGATCTATCTAACATCATGGATACGACTTTGTGTAACGAGATCCTTCACGCAACGTTATTTTTTTCTGTGTAACACTAATATAGCTGACCAAATTATAACATGAAATGATAACTCATGTAAGAAATTATGTGGGTGAATTTCACAGGTATAATGCTGAATTAACATTTCACACGTAACTTGGGAAAACTCTGGCACATTTAAAACAGATTATACTTACTAATACTTGTTGTACCTCAGATTATTATTATTATAATAAAAAAGAAGCGCTAGTTGTAACTCAGAGACAGGTGGGACTTGAACAGTGGGTCTCATCACTGTCCCTCATTCGATGCCCACCTCAGCTCCCCAAACTCACACATTTGGACCCTAAATTATTTGAACGTATAGTTCTAGAATTTTAAACAAAATATTCCAAGCCAGTAACACTGGCTGTATTAAATTTGGCTGCGAACTGTATATATATTTAGTTGTATCAATTACTTGATCTGAATAATTTGTCCGAGTGATTATATATAAATTACATAATTAGAAAAAATGAGGGACATTTAAATATTACTCACTAAATTATGATCCTGGTAATATATCCTAACGCCTCCCTATCGGGAGGCAACTAATATTGGTCTCACCTGCAGTGAGATTTAATTCACACTGGGAGGCGTACATTACATATTTGATGATACATGTGGTCGGCAATGTAGATTCTCCAGCAACAACCCACGTTTTATTCGTATTATCCTTATCACTTTGTATTAGAACCCTTTCAGATACACGTTAAATTCACTTATTATAGAGGACACTATATTTACCAATTCTGCTTCTATCGGCTTAGATTAAATGAGATTAAATCACAAATTCCCAGTCCGATCTGTATTACTCTCCCATTTTCGTTTTTCTCCTCCTACGTTTTCTCAAGCAATACATCTTTTCAATTAATTTTATAACCCTTCTAGGTATGTACTACATTTTCATTACTGGAATATTCCTTTCTTTTTAGCATTATAAGTACGTAAATTATAGGGGTTGTTGATTTCTCTGTGACTTAACATCTTCTAAGTCACATCAACACTACACATCTACACTACGTTATATAAATAATATCTCTAATTTATTACATTAATTACAGGAAAATTATAAAAAAAATCCACAACTAATCTCAAGTGAAATCTTGCAAATCCACTAATAAAAGCATGAGCAAATATAAAATAAATGATAAAATAATGTTTTGTTTTTTATTCATATGTAAATAAAAAAGTATAATGCACATACAAGGAACTGAGGATCTACTTGACATTTACTTGACAAGTCCTGAAATCTTTAAATATATTTGGTACGATATACCCTAAACTATTCTCAGTTTAGTTTCCATGCAATATTTTTTTTCGATTGGAAAGAAGATACTGTACAGTTTTTTTTTTTTAATCTCAGCAGCTACTCTAATTTCATCTTAGCGTACAATATTCCGAGTGTTCCAACCTAGCTCACCACAAGCTTCCTATATGAAGTGCAGTGTAGGGTCATTATCTTAGTTCTTGACTCCCTTTCTTAACCTCTAGAATTTGGTGATAAATTGTAGCCACTGCTTCATTGTTCGACCTTATACATGTATTAAATTGCAAGCTTCGTTATGTGTTCATGTTCCCAGGCAAGTTACTATTATACTTATGAACAAATGTTAAACCCATATGGGTCATTCGGCACTTCATCCAAGCAATTATCACTGATACGAGCTGTACATTCCCTACCAACATACGCGCACACAAACACAAACCACAGGCTTCTTAATGCTTTACCTTAAATTTGTTATTTCCCTGTACTCTAAAAGGTTCACAGATTTCAAAACTAGAAGCCTCGGAGCATTACAATAAACCATTGTACAAAACACAGATGCTTATAAATTTTTGCCCATTTTTACTATTAAGTTTTATATGACTTGTGAACCTACGTTGGCTGGTCTTCATAAATGCCTTTGATTCGAAGGTTCTTTGGGTCAAACGGTGGACGGGTGTGAACAGTAGCATCAAAAGTTTCTCCCATGGATTCCAGCTGCCACCTTCCACTTTCGAGGAAGTCACTTGTCACTTTACCTTCACTGGGGTTGTGCACGTACCCATACGCAATGGGCCGACCTAGAGCAAAAGCATATTCAGCGCGACGTATATAACCCACTGGCTCCCCATTACGCCAGATTCCCTCCAAACCCCAAAGAGGTCGTAGAGGGTCATCTAAGGTAAAGGTCACCAGTTTCTTGGTGATTCCCTCGGTCTTCTGTACCTCCAGTGCCTCACGACCCAAAAATTTTATGGGAGTCTTAAGCTTACACGTGAAAGCTAGACCGGCCTCAAAGGGTGTGTCATCTGGACGAATATCAGCGTGCCAGTGGCGGTAACCCTTTTCGCAGGAGAGGGAGTCAATGGCACGGTACCCAGCGTTAACAAGACCCAGTGGTGTGCCCACGGCCATTACCGCTTCGTAAACTGCGACCGCTGACGAGTTTGGAATGTGCAACTCCCAACCTGTAGTAAACATAGAGAGAAACATAGATTATAGATATCTTATGATTAATTGATAATATTCAAAGCATAATAAATCTTCAGTGAAAATATTGTAAATCACAGAATGGGTGAAGCTGGAACCCATGGCATGCGAGTCCTAAAACTTATTTGTTTGAAATCGTTTTATGATTTCGTGAGTGAGTCATACTGTAATTCATTATTATATTAATGGAAAAACGTTACACCAGTACGGATCATACAGCGCCTGGGAAATGGTACGTATTACGTAATCAGGATTCAAGGAACGCGAGGGTAGGTCCATTTATATTAATTAAAAGCTTCTCATTATCAAGGCAGCCCCCTTGAAGGGAGTAGCATGCATTACTTACCCATTTCTCCCACAAAGGAAAGTCTGAGAGCACGAGCTTTGTGTCCAGCGATAGTGATAACTTTATGAGTGGAGAATGGAAATACTTCATCACTGAGGTCTTCGTCAGTCAGCTGCTGCAGAATAGCCCTGCTGTTAGGGCCCTGCACTGACAACATTGCCAGCTTCTCTGTATGGTCTAACACGTCCACATCCCACTCATTATTTCTTATTTCCTTGACAACATGGGCCAGGTTCTGGAGTGCCGCTGCCCCTCCAGCTGCAAGGTAGAATCCTCGCCCAGTGAAGGTGGGATCACACGCAGACCCCTCACCTCCTTCACAAATGCTCTGTGGCAGACAGCACAAGGATAATAATAGTATTTGGGGATGATAGGCATAGCGTTATTTTTTATAAGTTATTATGTATCGCAGTGGTTTCTAATCAGTGGTGTACAGCATCAGTGGTAGTAGATTACTATTATATACTGGGGAGTGCTAAACCTGTAAGGGTCATATAGCTCCTGTAGGAATGGAAATCAATTAGCTTCGATCCAACGAAAAGGAAGGACAAGTCCAATTCCCTAGATCAGGAGCCCGTCACCAGCGTCAAGGAACCTCCCGTGAGGGGCCTGACTGCGGTAGTCACATATTACCCATATACCATCAGTGACGAATATTTTAATCCATAAAATAAACAGTAAACTGTTAGTGTATATGAACTCAGATACAGTATACACCTTTGGGTGTGTATACTGTCAGATTCCTGAATATTAAAAAAATAACAATCAAGCAGCAGTTCCAATCTTTAGTACAGAATTAATGTTTATGTGCATTAATGCTGTAAAATACATTTTGATTACACTTCTTTATGTTAAATAATGTTCTAAATTTACACTTAGTAAATTTAAAATATCTTATAAATAATGTACTGCACATTATTGTATCAGTACTGTACTCTTCAAATTGCAATGTTTTTGTCTTTCAAAAAATCCTATATATGCTGTATCTACCCTATTGCAAATATTTTGTTTATTTTTCATCAGTGGTATAACTTCTAAAAGCTGGAAACCACTACTATACTTAACCTATTTATGTATTATATGTATTAAATTTATGAGAGAATTAATACATATTCAGTCGTTAAAGAACTGCTTGTATGAATATAAGAAAGCCAAAAACACATTCTACAGAATGAGTGCAGTACTGGTTGGTTGGGATACTAGGTTTTTTAAAGCCTGTCAGTTGCACCTTTACCTTTGATATACCTTTAATGAGTTCTGAGTTTTTCTACTCACGAAGACCCATAGGATGTATACACCACTAGTCAAGAATATATGTATGTTCTGATGAGTATCACTCTTGATGTGTATATGCTGAGACAAACAGTGCATGTATACAAGGAGAAGTGTATGTCTTAGTATATAGATTGAATTTACTTTAATCCTATATTGGATATTAATTTAAAGTATCCATGACTTGTAGTGTACAGGTAACATGCAGCTTAATGACCATTCGTGCAGTAGACAGGTTTGAAGCCTAATGAACCAACCATTTAGTAACCCAGCAATTTCCATTATTTTTTTAAATAATCGAGAATGTGAAACTGGCATAAATCTGTCTTACATTTCAGCTACATATAGCTGTCTTTATATTTATAAAAAACATATCTATGAACATTTAGTCTAATAACGTCTTTAACTATGACATCGTTAGCTACAAAGCTTCATTCTGTCTATGCATTTTTGTTTATTTTTGGCATTAAAATATCGATTCGAGATAAAATTGTGCTATGTGGCAACTTAAAAATGTGAACGATAGGCGAGAAGTGTGTAACGCGTTCAGTGTGTTATCAGCCGCTGAGGGTGGATGTCATTAGCCGCTGAGGGTGGATGTCATCAGCCGCTGAGGGTGGATGTCATCAGCCGCTGAGAGTGGATGTCATCAGCCGCTGAGGGTGGATGTCATTAGCCGCTGAGGGTGGATGTCATCAGCCGCTGAGGGTGGATGTCATCAGCCGCTGAGAGTGGAGTGTTGTTTGGTGATTGCGCTATATTGTTTTTCAGGTTTGAGACTATATTTTTTTAAGTTATACTGTATGTATTACCCTAAAATCCATGTTTTTATGATTATTTTGTACTTTATTTTTTGTTAATCCGGTATAGATATTTCTATATCGGATTAAAGGAACCTCAGTGTTTATACATACACATACGTATGCCCCTCGGATATGCATAATTTCTCTCGGTGCATATACATCAAGGGAAATACACTTTAGAATATGTACAATGTATATTCTATAAAACACAACGTATCCTGAAAAATATATTTAGGGACGTGTCCAGGGGGTCAACGCCCCCGAAGCCTGGTCTGGGACCAGGCCTCGGCGGAACCTTATGATACTCCTGCATGCTCTCAATATGTTGCATTAACACTCACCACAGTGAGGTCTGCTTCAACGCCAGCCTTGTGGTTTAACATGCAGGTGTAGACTGTAGTGCCTGGAACTCGAGATACATCAGCTGAGAAGATCCAGTCAGCAGCTCTCTGTGCATCAGGACCCGTCATGTAGAACTTACCGAAGTAAGACATGTCGAATATGGCGGCTTTTTTGCGGCATGCCAGGCATTCCCTCTGTATCTGTCACATGAAAATTTGGTATTAAAGAACTACTGGAGATGTCAGTAGGCAACTGTAGCTCAACAGTAGATTAGCATGCCCACTGTTGTGCTCCTTATTCTGATATATGTACCTTTTTTTTCATTACCATTCACTCCATCTCACTGTCTTGCCAGAAGCACGCTTACACTAGTTATAAAACTGCAGCAATGTACATAATATTTATATTCAGAAATAAGCAGTAAACCCGTATGAATCATGCAAGACACTTACGGTACTAGGACATTTATAAAAGACGTTTTACCCGTCAGGGGCTTTATCAATACAGATAGGGAAGTTAACTCTGCTTAAAGAGAACTTGCTCATCGCCGGAAATAGTTACATGCAGTCTATATTCCACTAGAAAATTTCTGCTACTCTTAAATTTAAAGAAAATCAATAAGGATGTTTTACTTACTGTGTGATGATGTGTTGGAAAATCAAAGGAATAATCAGCTGTGAGTAGATTCTTATATAGGTCGTCAGTATTGAGTGGGTTTTCATAGGCACCATACCAGTCGTATGTCATAGTAGGAGTTGGTTGTGAGTTGAACCACCCAGGTCGCTCCCACCCATGGCGCTCTTGGAACACACAACCCTTATCCTCCAGTACCTATTGTGGAACAAATCAACACACCACTGAAGAAAAGACAACGTTTGCAGAGGATTTTAGTGCTAAAGCTCTACACAACGAAACGTAGTTACAATAAATGCTTGCTCTGTAACCAATGTTGCTCTTTCCACCACCCCAGGGGGGCGGTACCGCCCACTTCGAAATCACTGGACTACACAAAGGTTATTAAGGCTTTAAGTCATCTGTACACCAACAGTCAAGAATACTTTGAGATTAAAGTGAACTCACTGTATACACACTTCTAAGTGTATATGTACACTGACATATGTACAGATACACATCACTGTATATAACCTTGTTCTGCCACTGTGTAAAAACAGTTTGTTGTTGAAACAAAAAAAAAAAAACTCATCTGACCTGATGAAGAGGAGAGCGTCTTTGTCCACGAGCGGCCAGTGGTTCGTCGTGAGGAAACACAATACTGTAGTTCTTGGCATATGACTCGTGGGAACGAGCCGAGACCCAGGCCTTGTTGCTGTTGAGAGGAGGATGGAACCTACGTATGTCGTAGCCGAACATGTCAAACTCGGGGCTACCTTGAGCTACCCACTTAGCCAATTGGTCACCACAGCCACCGCCCAGCATCATCCCACTACTGTTGAACCCACAGCAGTGGTAAAAACCTTGCACCGTGGGGTCTTCCCCTGTGGCAGCCAAAGATTGAAATGTTATTACATTTGAGCTCACAACCTACGAACTGGAAATGCAAACTAGACATTCCGGTCCGTCCTAAACCATTATGCTAAGGGTTATGCAGTACCCGGGCAGTAAGAGATTCAAAAAAGGATTGGGTAGTTCCAATCCCTTAGTTCAAGAGCTTTGTCAATATATATATTAGATAAAACACAGCATATACATACATTATATTGAAAAACTCTTTTACTTAAAACAGTTTAATTTAGAACTGACCCATAAGAGGTTTGTGATCAGGAGTGAAGGACTCCGGCCCACACACTGTAGACTTTATGCCTGTGGTCTTAAGTACAGGCACCCGGTTCACTGCCCCACTGATGTGGGCACTGAACGCATCCCAGTCCAGTTCGTACAGTCCAAAAGCAAAGTCCCGGTCCAGCTGTGGGGAGAGAAACAGTTGATCAAACGGGTCATAACATGTGTCATTTACAGCCAAATCGTCAAAACTAGCTGACACCAGGTGACGCTGGTGATACAAACAGGGTGGGAGATACAGCAGGAGGCAAAACAGGTGCTGCTGCTGCTGAGAGGCATTCATTAAGCATACTGCTTTGATCCCACAAAACTACAAAATACTCTTAGTTGACTAAAAGATATCTAAATCAAGTGTTGTAATTTTCTCTCAATTTAAAAACTACATTTGAATTAGGGAACAGCTACTGTGTGTGTAATACACGCACTCAAGGGCTCTCGATCAAAGGAATTTGAGCTACCCTCTCCTTCCTCAATTCAGACTTGTTTTTTTTTCTTCGCATTCCCAAAAGCTCTTTATATGTTTTACGGGTTTATCGCATAATAATTAGCTATCAGAATGCAAGGCACCCACAGTATCGGTCACTCAGCATCTGTTCCTTAATACTGGTGAAGAGCTGTTGATCCAAGAAGCTGGACTTCCTCTTCCTTGGATTGAACCTGATTATGTCCCAATTCCAGGCCGCTATATGATCTTTATGGATTTAGTGCTTCCCTTAATTAAAAACAAAGAGACACCATTATTATCGTTTACCCTCCTTTATCTTACCCTTTCAAGAAAGATGGGGTTGTTTTCGTAGCCTCCCACAGAGAGCGCGTCTCCTTGCAGCCTCAAGTACACAGATGCATCGTGGTCTCTCACATTAGGCATGTTTTCTATGCCTGGGATCTTCTCAGTTACCACATAAGAGTGTTTCATGGGTGTCAGGGGCACCTCGATACCCACCATGCTCGTAATGTCGTTTGCCCAGCAACCTGAAGTGCATGTACGCTCTGGGTTATACATACATGTCAAGTTATATTCAACTGAACACAAAATATGGAGATAAGTGTGGAGCTTGCTATATATTAAAAGCAGCAACCAACTGTAACTGTGCTGCAATCCATGTAATTTTTTTTCTTATTCGCCGGTACTCTGTAATTATATGTATAAACATAACTAATGTAATCTGTGTAGGTTATTTTTTGTAAATATAATTTTGTAATTTGTGTAACGTCTAAATGTAACTGTAATGTATATGTAATTACGAAAACGTAATTGTACAATCTATGTAAAATTAATTGCGTAATGCAACGTGATATGTTTGTTATTCAACATGCATTATTTCAGGTAATTACAAACTTTTTTCTAAATTAATATTTACGAAAACTGACATGAACATTTGTGAAATTATTTTTATTAATGTAATAAATGCTACTGCATAATGCATTTCCTCTTATACAACTTTATACGCATCTTGCTTAATGAAGACACAAAAGTGCGATATTCACTGGGGAAGCACTAGACCTGCAGGGTGCCATACAGAGTCTGGTAAGTGGAAGTAATCAGGTTTGGTTCATATCCTAGCACCTCGAATCCTTGAACATCAATGAACTCCTGCCCTTGAAGTGTAGACTTGCCAGTAGCATTGACGACTGCATCTGTCTTGATAACACCATATGGAGTGTGCACCTCCTTCACTTTCCTACCACCTAACGTGGTCTCCACCGTGCGTATATCACTAACTGGGCATTGCTCCACCACTGTGGCTCCGGCGTGTCTTGCCCACCGCGTCAGGGCGCTGCATAAGCCAGCAGGGTCCATTGTACCTGCAGAGTAAGCTGTGTTAGTCCAGCAGCTGTCAGTGATATATGAACCAAGAGCTGAATATCTGTGCATACACTGAGAGAAGTATATATATCTAAATGGTAGGCGCATATATTGAGTACATACAGTTTAAGTCCCTATTTTATTGGAAGCGCCAAACCCGTTGGGATCATATGGCACCTGGGGAATTGAAGGTAACTTGGTTCGATCCAAGGAGAGAACAGGTCCAGTTCCTTAGATCAAGAGCACCTCTGGCATCATCACCTCCCTACTTCCCTTGAGGAGGGTCTTAAGACAAGTTGACACATTTATCACCATAAGACTCAAGGCTGTAAAATCAGTCTTACCATCACCCGGGCAGTACAAAGTACCAGTAATGTCTTCAACATTCAGGAGTGGGTAGAGTTTCTTCGTCTCTGTTGGGTCAAGTACATAGCTCTCTATGCCATGAACCCTCCCGATGGTCATGAGTCGCTTGTATTCATTCAAACGCTCCTAAAAGTAATGGTCATGTAGAGTACATTATTATTATTATCAAAAAGAAGCGCTAAACCCACTAGGGTCACAGTGCTACATGTAAAAATATTACTTTTTTGTTAGATATATTCTCAGCTCGATCCGTGTGGGTTATTCAGCGCTGTCTCTAGATATTATTAGATTAATATTTATTGTAGATTTTCCAGTGAATTTGGAAACTACATTTAGTTTCGAAAATTAACAGTTAAAATGCCCATGGAGACAGTTTTCTTTTAATGCTATATTTATAATCGAAACCAAAATTTAGAATTACAAATTTAAAGTCTAACTGAAAAGTCCTTTGGTATAACGAGAAAGTTCTCATTTTTTTTCCTGGTTTTTAGATAAGTCATCTTAAATTTATCACCTCTGAGTAATACATGGGAGTAGAGCTGTTTAAAAATATGTAATCAATAATAGGTTTAGCATTTAAAGTACGCATTTATAGGCTATAAATGACAAGTCAATTACTTTATTAGAGGCAATGAAGAGTCCACCATTGTTAATCCAGCCAGGATTGACTCCTGTCTCTTGCTCCAGTCTGATGAGCATCTCTCGTGTGGTGTGAATAAGCTGGATTTCTGTATCGCTAGGCCGTAGGCGCCACAAGAGCCCCGCTGTGTGCCATGTTGTTCCTGTCAGGTGAAAATGTAATATCCATTATATTTCCTTCAAAGGGAATGAATGCTGGTGAAGATTACTTGATCTAATTTACATCTAGAAAATCCTAGAGGGACTGGTCCCAAATCTGCTCACACAAATCACTCCCTATGAAAGCAAAAGACTTGGCAGGCGATGCAACATACCCCCAATGACAAGTAGGGGCACCATTAGTACACTAAAAGAAAACACCGTAAGTGTCCAGGGTCCAAGACTGTTCAACAGCCTCCCAGCAGCCATAAGTGAAATTACCAATAGACCCCTGGCTGTCTTCAGGAGAGAGCTGGACAGATACCTGAAGTCAGAGCAGGATCAGCCGGGCCGTGGTTCGTACGTTGGTCTACGTGCGGCAAGCAGTAACACCCTAGATGATCAGGCCCTGATCCATTGGGAGGCCTGGTTGTGTACCGGGCCGCGGGGGCGTTGATCCCCGGAATATCCTTCATGTAGCCCTAAGGAATTGGAGCTGCCCTCCCCTTCCTTGAATGCTGCATGACTCTACGGGTTTAACATTTCCCATATTATATATAATGCATATAGTTTAATATCTCTTTAAATACAGATAAGACAGTACCTGCGGTGAGCTGGTGTGCTTCAAGGAGGACGGTGTTGGTGATGCCGAGCCTAGCCAGGTGATAGAGTGTACTACAGCCCAGTGACCCACCACCAACCACCACAACTTCTGCTTCTGATGGTACTCTTATGTTCGATGACGACACCTTCTGATCCTATAAATACCATACATCCAAAGGAGAGGAGGGGCTTTTGATTCAAAGATTATAGTTATTCCCACTTCCCTAAATCAAACTCATTCTCTCTATTCCCCAGTCTCCAGGCGCTACATTACTATTATTATAAAAAAATATATCATTTATTAATATGTAGCAAATTAAATACGACAGCTACAAGAACCCATAAATAATAATAGTCTTAGACTCATTTTACTTTAAAATAAATTACACTAACTTTATTGTTTTAGGTAAAATACGTGCAAATGAAATTCATTCCAACAGTATAGATAACAGTTATAGTATTTAGCAGCTGTATAAAATATTTTACTTGATGGATAGCTGACTAACACTATAACATGAGTTGGGAAACTGAACATTTGGGTCCCTCCTGAACCATATTCCCCGTGACTACAGTGGTCCAAGATGGACTGAAACGGCATAACGTATATACAATATGTGATTAATATTCGTCAGTTTAATTACTGTTTACTTTAATGACAAACCCGAGTTATAATTTTAATAAATTTACATTAATCGTCCTGTAAATCCTGACGAAGTGAGTGGCTTAGGCACTGACCTTCATAGTGGTTTTGTGAGGGACACCCTCCATGCCACTGGATGCTCGTACCCCATCCTTCATGCAATTTAAGGGCACCAACAGCTCCCTCAGTCGTCTCAAAGGCGCCGCCATCCTCTCCTACCGTTACTGTAATACAGAAAATTACTGCTCTCTCCATGGTGACTTGGATGTTTCAGTCGCAGTGGTTAACGCGACGGTCTGGAGTTTTGAGACTTACCGCGGGTTCAAACCCCATCCGTGGTATGGTTTGTTTGCAATCGTGTCATTACGATTTCGTGAGTCAGTCCTAGGGAAGTATGACCATCATAGATACAAAAGGAACTACCAACAGACCCCTAGTCTCCAAGAGGAAACTTTCTTGATAGGTTCCTGATCAGGCCAGCAACCATAGTTCCTTCTGGTAGTTCCTGATCAGGTCTCAGTAGTTCTCAGTAGTAGTAACCAGTTACCAGTAACCAGTGTACCGTTGACTCAACGACCAACCGTCTCTGCCTGAGTCACTATCTGAACTCATATTGCGCTGACCTGGCATTATTCAAAGACCCTCTATGGGTACGTGGGCGGCCAGCCAGTCAGTCAGTGTTACGAGTGGGAGCAAGGAGGCAGGTCACGGCTGTAAGGGCGCAACCCACCTTATCTGTAATTATACGTACTACCAGCCTACGTGAGTATTTCTTACCTAATCCACGTGTCGAACTCCCACATGATACAGGCCGGCAACCATAGTTTCTCCTGGTAGTTCCTGATCAGGCCGGCAACCATAAAGCCTCGTCCGCTACCAGGCCAGCAACCATAAAGCCTCATCCGCTACCAGGCCAGCAACCATAAAGCCTCGTCCGCTACCAGGCCAGCAACCATAAAGCCTCGTCCACTACCAGGCCAGCAACCATAAAGCCTCGTCCACTACCAGGCCAGCAACCATAAAGCCTCATCAACAAATTTTGACGAAAGGAGAAATCTCCCAGCCATTTATCTTGCAAAAGATGTTGGGTTCTTAGGCAAGCACCCTGTGAGGAAAGTTACTCAGCGAGCAGTGGCAACCTGTGAGAAGTGGCACCCAGTTGGGAATGGTACCCTGTGGGGAGGCACCCTGTGAGGAGTAGTAACATGTAAGAAGTGTCACCTTGTGGGAAGTAACACCCTGTGACGAGGGGCCCCTGTAGGGAATGTGGCACCCTGTGGGGAAAGTGGCATCGTGAGGAGTAGCACCTCTCCCAGAGACGAGGCCCCTATCCCTATCCCCTAGGCACAAACCACTCATCATGCCACCGCGTTAAAGAACCCAACATGAGAAATAAATGAATGGGTAACCACTTTGTATTGCTGCCAGGCATCAACAGAACTACAAGTCAAGTCATTTCACAACAACTTGGCAACAAACTCATGTCACTTTCAAGCAACACGGCAAAACAACAATATATATTATATATATATATATATATATATATATTATATATATATATATATATATATATATATATATATATATATATATATATATATATAATTTGTTTCAAAGATATACGTTGACAACAACATATGACATAAAATAATTCTTACTTGTATTAGAGTAAATATGTCCTCACAAAAAATACTGTCATAATATGAATTAAATTGAAATTTAACTATACATTGTAGTTTATCGTCTTAAAGTAAATTTTTACAGGCGCAGACACGTAAACGTTAAAAATGCCACCAAAACAACAAGTAATTTTTACAATGAATCGTCCATTTGTGAATGATCACTAGAGCTTGGAAATAATTCCGCAGCACCTCACTTCTCAAGCTTCAAGCGTCTACTGGCTCGATCAGCGCAGATTATCAGATATTATTTTTCTCATTGCTGGTAGTCTCTTCCACAGTGTCTTATTTTTGTTGCTGTTGTTTATGAAAATTACACATTCGATTTTTTTGGGTCGCAGTTAGTATTGAAAAGGCATTATGTTTAGAGAGAAATGTCATCTTCCTCGGAAAGAGAACACGCCTCTAAATTCTAGGAAGCTGATTGGTCGAAAGGGAACGTGTGTGGCATTGCGCATACACACACACACACACACACACACACACACACACACACACACACACACACACACACACACACACACACACACACACACACACACACACACACACACACACACAATTGGAAGTTGAAGACACAAATGAGTCAGAGAGATAGTAGGAAGTATTTCTTCAGTCATAGAGTTGTAAGGCAGTGGAATAGCCTAGAAAATGACGTAGTGGAGGCAGGAACCATACACAGTTTTAAGACGAGGTTTGATAAAGCTCATGGAGCGGGGAGAGAGAGGGTCTAGTAGCAGCCGGTGAAGAGGCGGGGCCAGGAGCTAGGACTCGACCCCTGCAACCACAAATAGGTGAGTACACACACACACACACACACACACACACACACACACACACACACACACACCTCAACTAGGTGAGTATACACACACAGAGGAGGCAGGAACCATACATAGCTTTAAGATGAGGTATGATAAAGCTCATAGAGCAGGGAGAGAGAGGACCTAGTAGCACTCAGTAAAGAGGCGGGGCCAGAAGCTGAGTCTCGACCCCTGCAACCACAATTAGGTGAGTACACACACACACCTCAGTAAGGAATCGTTCAAGACTCGGTACACCGTGTACGTCAGGCCCATATTGGAGTATGCAACACCATTTTGGAACCCACACCTGGTCAAGCACGTCAAGAAATTAGAGAAAGTGCAAAGGTTTGCAACAAGATTAGTCCCAGAACTAAGGGGAATATCCTACAAAGAAACGTTAAGGGTAGTGGCCCGGTGGCTTAAGCTCCCGCTTCATACACGGAGGGCCTGGGTTCGATTCCCGGCGGGTGGAAATATTTCGGCACGTTTCCTTACACCTGTTGTTCTGTTCACCTAGCAGCAAATAGGTACCTGGGTGTTAGTCGACTGGTGTGGGTCGCATCCTGGGGGACAAGATTGAGGACCCCAATGGAAATAAGTTAGAGTCCTCAATGACGCACTGACTTTCTTGAGTTATCCTGGGTGGCTAACCCTCCGGGGTTAAAAATCCGAACGAAATCTTATCTTAAATCGACCTGACGACACTGGAGGACAGGAGGGTTAGGGGAGGCATGATAACTACATATAAATTACTGCGTGGAATTGACAAGGTGGACAGAGACAGGATGTTCCGGAAATGGGACACAACAACAAGGGGTCACAATTGGAAGTTGAAGACTCAGATGAGTCAGAGGGATGTTAGAAAGTATTTCTTTAGTCAGAGTTGTCAGGAAGTGGAACAGTCTGGAAAGTGACGTAGTGGAGGCAGGAGCCATACATAGTTTTAAGACGAGGTTTAATAAAGTTCATGGAGCAGGGAGAGAGAGAACCTAGTAGCGATCAGCGAAGAGGCGGGGCCAGGAGCTATGAATCGACCCCTGCAACCACAAATAGGTGAGTACAAATAGGTGAATACACACACACAGAAGCGATCATAGAAGAGGGCCCAGGAGCCATGAATCGACCCTTCCAACTACAGTTAGGTGAGCACACAAATACACACACACACACACACACACACACACACACACACACACACACACACACACACACACACACACACACATTCTCTCTCTACACACACATACAGAAGTGCATATCGAGAATTATCTGGTTAATACCAGCCAGACTTGGTGTTGCTGGCTATGTGTTGTGGAAATTTATCGAGAAATTCCACCGACGGGTTAGTTTGTAAATAAGCCGATGCAGCGGGCCGGAACCCTTAACACCCACCCAAACAACACAAAGACAACTTTTGAAGTTTACATACACTAATTGAGAAATTTACACGTTAAGGAAGTCTTAGGTAGCTTTAAATTGACTCACGAAATCGTAATGACACGATTGCAAACAAACCATACCACGGGCGGGATTTGAACCCGAGGTCAGAGTCTCAAAACTCCAGACCGTCGCGTTAGCCACTGGACCAGCTAGCCACAATAAGATTCGTCCAACTAAGTATATTTCTACACCATAGGAAGGTTAGCATAGGCACCACTGTGACCACAAATGCAAGTCATGTTGACGGCAGTGAGGGGACTTGAGCTAGAATTCGTCACGGCCACGCTAGCTGGAGATTCGTCTGTAAAAACTTGCATTTGTGGTCACAGTGGTGCCTATGCTAACCTTCCTATGGTGTAGAAATATACCTAGTTGGACGAATCTTATTGTGGCTAGCTGGTCCAGTGGCTAACGCGACGGTCTGGAGTTTTGAGACTCTGACGGCGGGTTCAAATCCCGCCCGTGGTATGGATAGCTTTAAATTGTTAGTAAATAATATTAGAATTAATATTGTAGCCTTAGACCATAATATTAGGTTGTATTACCTTGAGTTTACCTGGAGAGAGTTTCGGGGGTCAACGCCCCCGCGGCCCGGTCTGTGACCAGGCCTCCTGGTGGATCAGCGCCTGATCAACCAGGCTGTTGCTGCTGGCTGCACGCAAATCAACGTACGAGCCACAGCCCGGCTGATCAGGAACTGACTTTAGGTGCTTGTCCAGTGCCAGCTTGAAGACTGCCAGGGGTCTGTTGGTAATCCCCCTTATGTGTGCTGGGAGGCAGTTGAACAGTTTCGGGCCCCTGACACTTATTGTATGGTCTCTTAACGTGCTAGTGACACCCCTGCTTTTCATTGGGGGGATGGTGCATCGTCTGCCAAGTCTTTTGCTTTTAAGTGAATAGACTATATAAATTGAGACTGCTAGCATCTTGCAAGGTATCACATAGAAGATTTCCAAATATATATACATATATGTATATGTATATATATATATATATATATATATATATATATATATATATATATATATATATATATATATATATATATATATATATATATATAATATATATAATATATATAATATATATATATATATATATATATATATATATATATATATATATATATATATATATATATATATATATATATATATATATATATATAATTTGTAATTGTCTAGGTAGTAGGTTGGTAGACAGCAACCGCCCAGGGAGGTACTACCGTCCTGCCAAGTGAGTGTAAAACGAAAGCCTGTAATTGTTTTACATGATGGTAGGATTACTGGTGTCCTTTTTTCTGTCTCATAAACATGCAAGATTTCAGGTACATCTTGCTACTTCTACTTACACTTAGGTCACACTACATATACATGTACAAGCATATACATGTATATTCATACCCCTCTGGGTTTTCTTCTATTTTCTTTCTAGTTCTTGTTCATTTCCTCTTATCTCCATGGGGAAGTGGAACAGAATTCTTCCTCCGTAAGCAATGCGTGTTGTAAGAGGCGACTAAAATGCCGGGAGCAAGGGGCTAGTAACCCCTTCTCCTGTATAAATTACTAAATATAAAAAGAGAAACTTTCGTTTTTCTTTTTGGGCCACCCTGCCTTGGTGGGATACAGCCGGTTTGTTAAAAAAAAAAATTGTAATTGCGTATTTGTTGCTATATGGGATCCCGTCTTCTTTCTTCATCATATAATTTTTATTTTTAATATCCAATTATTAAAGCATTTACTGCATCCCTTTGTAATTCATTCCACTGATCCACCAACCTGTGAAGAAAAAATTCCTAATATTGATATTCTTTGTGGTTGGGGTTGGTGATTTACGCTGCTTAGTAATATATTCGTCTCTGTTTTCTTCTGCCTAGTCGATTTCTTCACTTGGGTAAGTTTTACAATATATAGGGATAATTACAATATATATTTAGGTACACCTGTATACCTGCTCGTTAATGCAAATATCTAATTAGCCAATCACGTGGCAGCACCTCAGTCCCTAAAATCATACAGACATGGTATAGAGGTACAGTTATTCAGACCAAACATCAGAATGGGGAAGAAATGTGATCTAAATGACTGTGAACATGGAATGATTGTTGGAATAGGGTAACCACCTCTCAAAATATAGGTATGGCGTGATCACCTCCCATAGTATAGGTATGGGGCGACCACCTCCCATAGGACACGTATGGAGTGACCGTAACTACCCCCGATAGGATAGGTATGGGGCGACTACCTCCCACAGGATAGTGAGAGGTAACTTGCTTCCCACTATACTATCAGTTTGCTTCTCATTGTCCACTTCGCCCTATCATACTGATTAGCCATCACATAAACACAGCAGTCCGATATGGACCATAACTTTTTTTTTAATTCTGGTATACCAGTATTGTACAGTTGCCTTAAATTATAAGAGGTTACAAAGATTTTTTATTAAACTTAGCTACATAATACTGTGTGGTTACTCTGATCTATATGACATTTTGCAGGGTAGGTTAGGTTAGGTAAGATCGTCAGGAAACAGGACAGTTGTTTCCTGACGCGGGTCTTAGTCATATGACGACCGATGAGAAGATAAAACTTCATACACAAGGTAAAGAAATCTATCTGCTTGAGCTGGGAAACATTTGTAGGGCGATAAGGCTATAGTTTCGGTAGTTAAGGCAGCCGTAAAGTTTTCCTTCAAATAGGGCTGGAGTTACTTTTAAGTGGGAATTTTCATATTGGATGATATATCACATGTTTAGTAGAAAATGGACGAGGACTTCATCATCGTAAATTAATCATAACTTACTTCTTACAATATCTGTAATAAATTAAAAGATGAAAGATAAAGTAGCAAGTTGTGGATGGACAAAGAACATCAACAACACAATTTGTAAGATGCCTCAAGGGGTATATAGTTATAATATAAATGCTATACATTACCGACAAGCTGATGAGAAAGATACGTGTCAACATATGGTATCTTTATT